TTACCTGCCATGGACTCTTTCATAAGTTCCATGAAATCGTCTTCGGACAATCCGGGGAAAAGTACAATGTCAGTAAGTATTCTCTTTACATCCTTACTTAAACTCTTTGCTGTCTGTACACAAATGACAACAGAGATGTTAAAGTGTCTGAGCTTCTTAAGAATTCGACACATATCTTGTTCTCTGTTCTTTAACAAAGGATGAGAAGCAAAGTCATCTAAGATAAGAAGACATCTATGAGGGTAAGTCTTCCAATCGTAAGATTGCAATTTCTTCGAAATGTATTCTATCTCTTTCTGTTTGTTTCTGAAGTGTTTCTTCTCTAATATTCTCTGCATTTCCTCATTTGGGTCTTTAAACTTAGAATTGACATACTCATTTATAGCATTGTACTTCAAAACTCTTCTTTGGTACTTCTTTATCCAATCTAACAACTCAGAGTCTTTTATACATACTAACTTAGACTTTTTTATAATATCTTTGAACGAATTGACGGTTTGGTCAAATTGACCCGAAGTACTACAAATGACAACTAACTCATAGAATGGGTTCTTCTCATCTAGTTCTTGTTGTTGTGCAGCCATTTTAAGATAAGTGAATGTCTTACCCGACCCAGGTGGTGCGATTAGACCTGTTATACCATTCTGAGCAAATAGGAACTTGTCATGTATGGGTTTTATCTGAGCATTTTCCAACTTCCTCTTGTTCTTGTTTAAAACATTCTCAAATTTCTTGTCAATGTCAGCAAACTTTTTTTCTAACATATTTTTAGAAAAATTAAAATTTTTATCTTTTAGGAAATGTCTAGCGATTTCGCTATCTATATTCGAGACAAGCTTTTCGACAGCAAAACATCTGTCGACCATAAAATCTTACATAGTGTAAACAAGAAAGGGGAATTTGTTCTAAAGTTCTGTTTCTGGGAATATGACAAGAACCATAAAACCTTAAGCAGAGAAGTCTTAAAATTTGTCAATGACAGACTTGTTGACAGAGATGACGCCTCTTGGAGAGATGAAGTCCAACAAAACTTCTTAGAATGCAAAGAAGACACATGCGCTGTTCTTGAAAATGAAATAGAAGACAGAATAGAAGAGCTATTAAATGACAAAGCACTTTTACAAAAATATGGTTCTGAGAAGTTTGATATAACTCCACCAGAGAAGAAGAAGAGAGAAAAGAAAGAAAAGAAAGTAGAAGAAGAGAAGAAAGAACCTGAACCAGAGAAAAAGAAATTTGACATGTAAAAATAAAATTTTATTTTTAGAACATTTCTGGGTCAATGTCAATGTTCTCTTCCTCTTTAGGAGCAAACACTGGCTTAGACTCTAAAATCTTTTTACCCAATTTACCTTGAACTTCTACAACTTTAGACTCATAATATTCATAGTCGTCTGCTTTCTTTGGTTCATAAGGTATAACAAGTTTGTATGCTTTGCCTTCTTTAAGGTTTGAAAACCTTCTGTCAAAACTTTCTTTGACTGTTAACAAACCTTCTATGTCTAAGTCTTCAAATTTCGCACCATTTTTAGTCACAATAGCAAACTTAACTGGTTCGATGTTCCAAACTTTGTCAAATGTAGACTTTTCAAAATGGTAGAAGTAAACATTCAAATATGTGAATGGGTCTAGTTCTTCTTTAAGTCCTGACATATACTTGTTGACTGAGATGAATTTCGTCATCTTTTCTATCGGATAAAAAAAATATTTTTTTTAAAATTTACTCAGAAAAATTTTTCTTTGTATATACACCATTCTGAACATCTAAAAGATTTTTGACATTTGCCAAGAATGTTCGTTTAGAAGCTGCCATATAACCATACTCTTGACAATACTGTTTATACGAATCGTACAATGACCTTTCATCTAAACACTCAAAGTTAGTCTCATCTATAAACAGTTCATATACACTCTTGTTTGCTTCTAACAATGTTTGTCTCTCTTCGGTATGTGGAATTTGTCTTGGATTGAACTTAGAAATGTCTAATGTCATGAAATATGAGAACAAGTGGTTGTAAAAGTTAGGTGTTAAAGTTTCTGCTAAGTCGTCAAAATATTCTGTATCTTGCATATGAGCTTCTGACGTTCTGACAACTACATATCTTCTGTCAGAACTTTCTAACTTCATCGGAACGGCGTTGTTTGAAACCATGATGAAATTTGCAACATTTTCACAAACTCTTTGGTCTCTATACTTTCTTTCAACAACTCCAACTTTGTCTGTTATAAGACTCTTCAAAGCATCTGAGTTCAAAACTTTTGTTGTATCTATACTTTGAAGTTCGTTACATACTATAAGTTTCATATTCTCTATTGAAGAGTTAAATTTACCGCAGATGTTTTCTAAGTTTGTCATATTAGGGTTCGAATAGCCCTCTAACAGTTTGCACAAAATATCTGTAAAGAAAGTGTTCTTACCTGTTCCTTGTTTTCCAATTATGATGAGAGCAGTTTCATTTTTAGCACTTGGATGTTGTAAGATGTTTGCAAACCAACATAAGATATACTCATAGACTCTTTCGTTTCCATTGCATATAATTTCTTTGACATGGTCTAACCAAGCTTCTATAACATTTTCTTTCCATTCTACTTGTTCGTATTTATATCCAGTGAAGATAGAATAGAAGTTTGGAGATGGTGTATAAAACTTTATACCACGAACTGAAAAATCTTCAAGTTTTGACAATAAGATATCCCAAGCATCTAACATCTTCATGCCAACTTGTACGACTTTTATTTTCTTAAGTTTCTGTTTACATTCTTGTTCTGAAACTATTGTCGCTTTAGGTTTGTTAAAGACTACATCCCATTCTTTCATGACATAACATTCTGGGGCAGAGTCGACATAAATGACTAAACGTTTCAAATTCTCGACCGCTTTGTTATAGTCTCGAAATGGACACATATTTCTGAACGCTTGGAAGTCATAAAAATCTGAAACGTCTATTCTGTACATTTTTATAAAAATAAAAAAAAATATTTTTTTATTCTTGAGCTTGTTGTTGCATTTGTTCCATTTGTTGCATTTGTTGTTCTTGAGCTATTTGTTGTTGAAGTTGTTCTTGTAGTACAATACTTTCACCAGTTGCATCTTCCAATTCGAAACTTTCTGCCGTCATTGACAAATACATAGGACATAAAAGTTTTACAGGAACAAAGTTTGCGTCAACTAAGGTTAAGTTTATGTTTGCTAAAGTGTTTGAGTTTACTAAAGCTGAAAACTCTGCATTCGAATGAACAATAGGCAAACCAGCAGAGAAAGTGTTGTTTATACGCATGAGTATCTTTTGGTCATAGTAGTTTCTGTCGACATTCGAATAGCACTTTGAACCTAAGTTTGAAACAATATATAAATAGGTGTACTTAAAGTCAATGGAACAGACATTCCTTGTATGACACCTTTTCCTGTTATAGGAAACTGTTGGTAGTAAAAACCAGATATAAGTTTTGTATTATAGCTCATATCGTTTATACTAAACTCAGTCGGACATCCAAACATAATGAAACCTGCTCTAGTTGCAGCACATGTTACATCCGTCCTTAAAGTATTAAATAAGTCAACAAAACCTGTTGGTGGTATATCTGAGTAAGTATCTTCAAAGGAGTATTTTTTACCATTCACAACAACAAAGTCTTCTGGTGTCAAAAGAGCAAAACAGGCTTTAGTCGTCATCGTGTTTAAGGTCAGTTTACAATATCGTCCTTGAGGACTTTGTAAGTTTGTTGTTATAGAATTATATGACTCAGGGTTTTTAGTCGTAATAGTATAAACCACTATGTCTTCTGCCATTTTTACTTAGCAAACAAACTTTAATGAAATGTTGTGGTCGTCAAATATTTTTATGACGTCTGGGAAACTATATTTTAAGTTCAACGTTTCACCTCCTTTCATAACGTATATCTTGTCAATGACATTATATGAAACACCACAGCAAGCAATGTCGGGTTCTATTTCTTTGATGTTTATATCGTCTGCCTCTGTCAAAAGTTTCAATAGTTCTTTCAAAATTTCATGAGGTGCAATGACATATGAGTTCACTTTTACAGGGTTGTGCTCAACCAAGTTTAACATTAGACCTAAAGCTTGACAAATCTTCTCCTGAGTTTTAAGTTTGTCTTTAAGTTGCATGTAGTCGTTTCGAATATCTGCAACAGAACTTAAGTCTCTGCTAACTTCAGGGTATGTTGGTTGTTCTTTTACAGGAACTATTGTTATACCATCTTCGTCTTCGTATGGTTTCCCCACTTCAACATCTCTGTCTTTGACATTGACAACAACACTTTGACTGTTTGTTTGAGTTGGTGAATTTAACTTCACATCTGCCATCGCCATTAAACCTTTTGAAACACTTACGCTTCTATTTTTCGGAAATGACATTTTACTTAGAATAAAAAGATGGACGTATTTGAGTATCTCTTCGAATTGAAGCAGAACAAAGTTTACACACACAAACAATACAAGTTCATTGACAGAATAGTTCTTTACACAAACAATGGAAAATGTTATAGAATAGCAGTCTTTGCTGAACCAAAATATTTTCATAAAGCAAAGAAAGTTGGTATAACCGAGATGTGAAAGTTCTTGACGTTGACAAAAATATAACAACAAAACTTACAGATATTTCTAAAGGTAAGTTTTTAATACAATATTATATATCAAAACTGGCGTACTGTCAATATTTGACGGAGAGAAGTCAGTTCAAGAACAACTTACTGACCTGCTGCCAAAATCTGCTCGATGGAAGCTGTCGTTATACCAATCTGAGGAGCCCCAGCAGGTTTCATCGAACGAATCTTCAAAAGAGCATCTTCCGTGAAAAGTGCTATTGGTTTTGTAAACTTCTTTGCTTTCAATTCATCTGGACCGTCTCTGTCACCAGTATATTGTATTTGAACTGTACCAACAGTTGAAATACCACCCATAAAGTCTTCTGAGTCAGCAAATGGAATGCCAAGCCAAAAGTTTGAACGGTCTCCATTTGTATATTGAGTTTTTTGACCTCCTGTATGGGTCCATACTTTCACATATGGCATAATAGAACTTTGCATTTCAGGGTTAATGGTTGTTGTGAAGTTGTTGTTAAAGTTCATAGCATCTAATGTCAAGTTGTATGACCTCATATCCTCAACTGTGGAATATTCTTCTCTTGGATAGTATTTGCCATCTATGTTTATATGGTATTTAATACCGGGGTTGTAGAAACAAGAATAGTCATTTATAGTTCGTCTGAACAGTACAAACATAGTATCTGCATGTTTCATTGCAGTTGTTAAGGCAATATCTGTTCTTGCACCTGGGTCAGCACTTTGGTTTCCAACTTCACCTGCAAAGTCTTTGACAGATATTTGGTGTATAGGGAACATAAGTGGAACTGCAATATATTTGGCAGCTAAAGCATTTGAAATATCTGGGTCCAACATATAGACTGCAAGTCTGCTTTCTATTCTCTTGCATTCAAATTTTTCGCATGTGAACTTAACTGGGTCCCAAGCAGTTCCAGCAGCATTGAAGTAGTAGTTTACTTCAGTGTTGAGGTTTGAGAAACCAAAGTCTAAGTCAACTTTGTCTTTGCAAAAGTCGGCGAATGACGTTTGATTTGCTCCCTTTACGTCTGTAAGAGTGAATGGGTCTTGCGTTGGTGCAATGACTAAGTTATTTTTGCTTGGAGTAAGTTCGATAGAAATTTTTCCTGCCCAGTTTGGCAAGTATCTTAAAAACCTGAAGATGAGGAAAGATGACAAAGGAACTCTAAGTTTCAATTTTACTTTGGTTACTGCTGCTGCAGTTTGTCCAGAAAGGTTAACATAAACTCCTGGAACGTTAGGGTCAAGTCTTCTTATTTTCTCAATAGTTGCATACTGGTCTGTTTGTTCTCTAGCTTGTGGTTGTACTGAGTTTCTCAAAGCGAACCATTCATAGTTTGCCCATGTTACTGTTTGAACTAAGTCAGAGTTAGAATATATCTTATATCCCATGAAAACTTCTGGAGCATATTGGTATCCGACATAGAAAATTCCATTGCAACCTTTCTTGTCAGACAACTTGGCAGAAGGTTTTATTTCAATGTCTTGTTCCACGTATAAGAAAGAGTTGTCAATAGAAATTATATGAAACCTGTCGCAAGCAATATCTACTGTTGTTGAAGAACCTTCTCCAAACTCACCTACGTTTCCATAAGAAACAGCAGTTGTATATTCGTAAGTTCCAGGAACTATTTCTGACCTTCTAATGGCATTGTCGCATTCGTTATACCATTCGGAAACATTTCCATTCATGGCATCCAAAACTGTTGGCGTTATATTCTGAGCGGCGTACATTTCATATGTGTAAAAATATAGAATAGTTGGGTTTATGTGTCATAATAGAACCCACGTGGACCAAGCTTTACTTTCTTCCTGACTGAGTTTTTAACTCTTCTTTTTCCTTCATTGCCACTACTTTCACTTTGTTCTTCACTACTTTCACTTTGTTCTACTCTTCTCTTCTTCTTTGGTTTCGCTTGGTAACTTGCCCTCTGCTTGAAGTTGTTGCATCTTTGCCTCATGTTCACCTAGTATGTTGTAAATTTCCCATGTCCTTTTTGCCTTTGGGCTCTGGTCGCCCATCTCAGGTAACCTATATCCTAGAAAGAGTTTGTCATAGTTTGTATTTGAGTCTTCGCGTATTGTTTGCATGACTCTTTCCTGAGTTTCCGGTTCAAGCTCTTCAAACAGTGCCTGTCCATATGGAATAAGCTCGTTTCCAAATATATGTTTTTGTAGCCATTCTGGTTTTCTTTCCATGTTACCAACTATATCTTTTGTGAATGGGAAAGCTTTTACCCAATCTTTCAGTCTTGCGTCGTTTATTTCTGTAGTTGGTTTTATTTTGTCAAGGAACATGTTTTTCAATACTAACATTTCATTTGGTACTGTCCATTTGAGTTTTCTTAAATATTCATCCCTTCTCAGTTCATTGTCTGCAAAGTAAGTTTTTATGACATTTTGTAAACTTTCATTTGCAAGGTCATGTACAATAGGTTCTCTTCCTTCTCTGTCCATAACTTTCTTTCTAAACTCTTCACCAAATATACCATCTCTATGGTTCTGTGTAGTTCTTTGAGATAAATGTTCTAGAACGTCAGGTGTTATATTTCCATCAGCCATGTTCATTTCATACTGGTCCAAAATATCTGCATGTTTCATATCTTTCAATGGCATTAAAGCCGCGCTTAAAATACCAGCTATATCTGGTTCACCATTGACTTCCATTGCGTCTACAACTTCTTGGAATTGTGGTTGTAAGTTTATGAACCACCTATCCGGGTTAGCTTTATGACCCCATCTCATTGTAGTTCCATCGTCTGCAGAAACAAAAGTAGGTTTGTTTCCATCTTGGTTAGGTTCTGAATGAACTTTAAACAATGTTTCATTTCTATATGTTTTCTTGAAATTTAACCTTTTATTTTCACCGAGTTCATCCGAAGATTGAACGTTAAATGCTCGTAAGTAAAAAGGGTTGTTGTATTTGTGTACATTTTCTTTCAGTACTTCCATTCTATGCTGAATATTTTCATCTGGTGTTGGAGTCTTTTGTATGTCGGCAAACATTTTTCGATATTCTTCTACTATGTCAGCCGAATTTTTTTTAGACTCTTGGAAATATTCCATATTCTCCGCATACTCTTGTTGAGGGTCAAGATTTTTCGGCTGTTCCAAATCTTCATCTAGTTCTGTGAAGTTAGTTTCCAAAGGAGTGACTTGTTCGTTTCCTTCAGGCTCTTCTAGCTGTTGTTGCTGAACTATTTCTTCCATGTCTGGTTGTATCTGAACTAGTTCTTCCTGTGGAGTTTCTTGTACCTCATCTGCTGGCATTTCATATATTCCGAGACCGTTTTTAACAACTTCCCTTTCTAAGTCATCCGGACTCATAAACCTTTCTTCTTTCGTTCCGTCTCTATTTTTTACGCGTTTCATGACGGGAGTTGAATTGTCATTTAGCTCTGACATCAAATATCTCGGAGTAAATTCAGTCATGTCATTTGGATGATATGCTATTAAATCATATCCCTTAGCGAGCTTGTATTTTCCAGGTTTGAAATTATATCCGATTTTATGCTGAACCATAAAGCTAAATAGGTTCGGGTCAGTATTTCCATCCTTGAACTTTCTAATAGCTTCTTTATATCTGTCACTAAAGTCAATACTATCTGGGTAACCATAGTCTTCCTTAAGCCTTTTTAAGAATTCTTGGTTTCCTTGTTCTCTACTTCTTTTATGTCCTTGCTCTGTTTGTGGTTGCTGTGCAGGGTTTTGAACTGTTGGTTGTGGTGCTGGTTGTGGAGGTGGTTGTTGTGCAGGGTTTTGAACTGTTGGTTGCTGTGCTGGATTTGGTGCATGCCTGTGTCTGTGTCCATGTGACGATGTAAATGTTTTAGGTAGTCCTGGTGCAGGTGCTTCTCTTGGAGGGTTTGGTGGTATATAAGTTCCACCAGCTGGCACATATGTTCCATCTGCAGCGTAATGTCCTACCTGACTTTTCGTTTTTAAGAAAGCATTTACTAGGTCTGTTTTGGTCTGTTGTAACTCTTTTTCTTGACTTTTCACAACAGTTGCTCTAACGGCGTCATAGGCACTTTGAACTGCCTGTCTCGTTGCTGCATCTGTTATTTTCGTCATATTTTGTGCTACTTCTTTTAACTCTTTGTCGAAACCTTCAGACTTCAGTTTCTTTCCAGATGAGAAGTCGTTCACTTGTTTCACCTTACTATGAAGAGCTTCGAAGGCGTTCTTAAAGTCAGCATTTGTTAAAGCTTCATTTGAACTGTCTTCATCCGCTTGTATTTTTGTCCTTATTGACCCTATAAGCTGGGCTGCTTTAGCGTTGGCTTGGGCATCTAACCAGTCATTGTTAGCTTTTATATATTCTGCGCTTTTCATTGCCTTTTGCATGGCTGCGTCGTTATTTTTACTTTCTTGTGCTAAGTTTTCATACTGTACGGTTTGGTTTTGCAACTGTAAAAGTTTTTCTGCCTTTACATTTGCTTCAACTTCTTTTTTATACTCATCGCTATCCATATATGTCTTCAGGGCTTTTTGTTTTATCTCTTCATCTTTCAGTATTTTATATTGAGTAGTATGGTTTTTCAAATTTATGACATCTTGTTCCATTTTTGCTACTTCTGCTGCTTTTTCTGACACTTTTTTCGCATATTGCTCTGTACTTAGTTCTTTCAGTTGTTCTTCTTTCTTCTTTTTCTCTACGTTTAACTCATTGAGTTTCTTTGTGTGTCTGTCATATTCTAGTTTCTTTTCGTTTTCACTTATTTGCTTCTGTATGTCTATGTTTGACTTTTTGACATCTGTTATTTGATTTTTGAGTGAACTCAAATTCATTTGACTTTGAGGGTTATAGGCTGTTCCGTCTGCAGCTCCACCATAGCCTGCCATTTTCGCTAAAAGTGCCGCTCTTAAACCTCCACTCTGTGCACCAAGAACTCGGTTTAAAAGCATAGGATTGCTTGACATTTGTTGCAACATAGTGGGGTCATTCAGCATTTGTTGTTGCAACTGTTGTTGTGGTGTTAGTCTTACTATTGGATGTTTCAATGCTCTCTTCCTCTTACGTATATTCTTACGTAGCTTACGTGGCATTTTAAGTGAAGTTAAAAAGCGGCTTTTGACAGATGTTTATATGACACTTTCTCCGGTTTATAGGACCTCTCTCATATTCTATCTTGTTAAGATTTCCTGGACTGTTGTCAAAATGTCATGTTGTCTCATTTTTTCAGAGAAGTTCGTTTAACCGAGGGACCGAGGGACCGAGGGACCTGGTGACGTAGCGACGATAGACCCTTACTTGTCCGGACATAGTTCTACTATTTTGAGTCCTCTACCGAAAAGTCAACAGCAACGACTTTCAAAAAATTTTAGGGGCTAGAAGGCACGAAGTGCCTGGAAGACCCCACACACCCAAAAAAAACCTCATTTTATATAAACTGCATGTTATACTAAAAATCTTCAAGGGGGTAGAGGGGCGCAGCCCTGGAACCCCCAATACCTTTTTTTTTTTTTTTTTTTTTTTCATATTTTCTGAATTTGAACTTTTCAATAATTTATAGATAAATCACAGATAACAAAAACCATTCTTTGTAATTATAATGAAAAATACAATTTATATGAAATAAAATAAAAAAGATATACATGAAATATAAATAAATATAATAATATCTAAACAAATAAAGAAAAAGCAGAAAATGGGATGATATTCAACGCCCCATGAGCGCTGAAAGTGTAAAAACTCTTGTTAGAAAGCCAAATGCAGCACGATTGGATGCAAATATCATTCTGGAAATTGAATATTCGGCATTCAATCTCTGATTTATTGATGTTGAATGGGAAATATGCCAATGAATTGTTTCCGAATGCACCAAAAACATCACCATCGAAAATGACTTTATTAAGATTGTGTTTCGGTGGTAATAAGATTCGAAACAGAACATTCCCACAGCAGTCAAACAAAACAAATGATGTTGAGAACAAAACACCTGTCAACAAATTCTTCGAACAGTTGATAGAAATAGGATTTTCTTCAAGTTGGATTGAATGTCGAACAATCATTTTGCAGTCCAAATAAACTAGCAAATTTGATTTAGAACAGACTCGCATCGATCCTGTTTCTTCTTCTAAAACAAAGATGTGAGTGTCGTGTGGCAAGATAGGATCAATCTTCTTCGTTTTGTTGTTATAGAAAATGAATGCAGATTTGTTTGTAGTTCCATAAACTGCGTATTCATTAACATGATAACTATCGGGAACAAAATCCAAACTGACAAATCCTTTCTTGTCTGGGATAACGAAAACGCTTTCGTTGTTTGTCATTGATCTTGTAATCGATATCGCCATTTTCAACATTGATCTTGATTTGGATGTTTTGTTTCATCGTAATACAGTTGATTTTCACTGATGAGTGACTAATAGAACAAATAGTTGATGCGATGAGATGTGATATATTTGTCTGGAAATTAAACGCTTTCGTGTTTTCATTGACTTTCTTGATGTCATGTTTGATGAAAAACAACTGTGGCAAATTTTTAACGCATTGATTAACACCGAAAACTAAATCAATCCATTCGTTCAATCGCTTAGAAACATAATTACTTTCAAGGATAAGTTTGTTGATGAAAACATAAAGATTTGGATCGTTCTTACAATAGTTAGGAAGTTGTAAATTTTTGAACAAAATGCCACAGCCAAAGAAAGGGGGAGAAAACTCTAAAACAGGGGAGTTTAGAGCTGATTCGAAATCTTCAAAATCTGGACAAAAAACACTAAAATCTTTGTTCTCGTAAAAACTTGCTTCTGAAGCAGAACTTTCGTCTAAACTGAGTCTGATATTTTCCGATGACATGGAAATATCTGAATTTGAATTGGCGGTTATTAACGGTTGTGTAAACCTCAGAAAAGGTAACCATTTTTCTGTCATTACAGAAACAGGAGGATCTGTATTAAAATCTCTCATTGCGATCTTAGAAGAAGGGTTTGTCAATCTCGGTAACAAAGGATATTTAATGTAGTCATTAAAACTCCTTCCTGCAATGAAATTAAGCAGCATCAAATACTCATAATTTGAGATTTCGTTGTTCAACCATTTCGCTGTCAGATTTGAGTTTTCTGACATTGCATTTCCAATGTTTTTGTACAGATGGATGTACTGGCAGTTCGGAATTTGGCATTTGGAAATTCCTTTGATGATTAATGATGATTTGTGAGGTGAAAAATCAAGTAAAAAAGTATCACCTGTTGTCAAAATTATTTCGACACCTGTTTCTGCTTTAAAACAATGGCTGAATACGTATTTGATCTTTGCTGTCTCGTATTCACGTGTTTTGTTCTTAGATGTCAAAATAAAACGATTGTTAAACAATACAAAAATGACATTATATGTTTGATTGATTTTGTATCGTTTGCATTTCGTTTTTATGAGATTTTCAGTTTGATCATTAAACGTGAATGAGAAATTGTATTTAGGAGCTTTCGGCCACCATTTCGTATCATTCTGCATGAAGTTATTGATTGTTAAATCAATCCTTTCGAAGTTTTTATCGGAGTAATCTTTCCAAATCGAAATTTCATTGACTGTTTTTCTCAAAAACTTCCAAACTTTCAATTCTGTCTTGAGTTTCTCTGATTTGTCACTCAAACAATATTCATGCAATTTCAGATACGAAACAGTCGAAATATTTTTGACGGTTTGAGCGGTTTCACTTTGAAAACATGTATTTATATAAGAATACATTTTTGAAATGATTTCGTAGACTCTTCTTGGATAAGAATTGATCATTGTATTGACGAAGAATCCAAAACTAGACATCAATGATTTCATTTCATTATTTCTGTCCAAAATTGTTTGTTGGTTATAATTCTTCAAAAAGAATTCACAAAGTTTTTTGATTGTTTGCAATGTCGTAGTTTTGTTTTCTTCTGGAATTGTTTGTAAAACATAAACAATTGCACTTGCCAATGAAGAATACAATATAGAATGACCATTATCACATAAATCAACACAAAAAACTAATCTCGGTAAATTTGTGGCTTTCTTCAAAAGTGACAAAAGTGAACTGATGTCCGTTATAAAGAATTCAACTTTGTTTTGTCTGAAAATCGTTTCGTTTTTGAAAGGTGACTCCAAAAACGATAATTTCAAAGCGGTGTTACAAAACCGTTTTGACAAAATTGGAAAAACAAAAATTTTGCGCATCTATGTACTAATTCTATCTTTTCTTCAAGTTTCCAATCAACGATTTCGACATTACATAATAAATGCAAAAATCTAAATGTAAAAATTGACATATCACTTTTTTCTAATTGAACAACATCAAGAAACGCAATTATTTCATCCAATAATTCAACATTCGGACTTTGTATATAAATTAAATGAAGTAAAATGACTGCTTCAACTTGTTTTTCTTCTGGAATTCTCATTGCTAAAATGATTGGCCAAATATACCAATAAGGGCAATTAATTACCCTTAAACAGAAATTATGATCTTTCGACATATCCTTGAGAATAGAAACTGTCTTGACGCATTCATCCACGTTATTTATAACGTGTGCAATATAACAAATTACAGGGAAAGTATAAGAATATTCATCAGGCATTGCTCTGAGCTGTAACAACATTTCTAAAGTGCAATGTTCTTTAGAAACATGATAAATCAATCTCCTTGATATTTCGCCTTTCATTTTCGGAAGAAATTGCAACATTGATCTGACAACTGCGCAAAACAACATTGGTATTGGTTTGTTCAACAAACTAAACAAAAATTCGGATATATTAACGGAATCCTTATGCTTAGAAAACATCGGCAACAATTGTAATAAATCAATTTGTTGTTCAATATCAGGAAGTGAAGTGATGTGACTAATTAAAAATTCCAAATCTTCTTTTGTCCATAATTGTTGTGGATAATTAGACAAAAGTTTAAACAAAGACATTCTTATGTTTCTTACATTAATATCCGGGTTTCTTAATCTTTCTGGTTTTGTTCCTAAAATGAAATCTTTTTCGATTGGATGATACCATAAATAAACTCTCATTATATTCAAAATATCTTTGAATGTCAAAACAGTCCATAATTCGTTATCATCTTCACATAAATTCTGGTACCAATGATCAACAATTTTCTGCAAGTTTTTGTTGGAACAAACCATCCATAATTCGAGATTTAACAATATTTCTTTCATTAAACTTCTGCGGCAAGAAACATCCGAAATTTCTGATAATAAATAAGTAAATCTCAAATATATATCGTAATTCAATGTTTTCACGTGTTTCTTCATCAAATATGAAACAATTTGATATTTGCCACTTGACAAACCGCCACAACGTTTTATCAAATCAATAACTGATTCAATATAATTAGAGCTCAAATTATCCAACATGAAAAATGGAATAATAGTCTTTGTGAACTTGTAATTACTTGAAAGATCATAAATAGGACGAAAATAATCATTGATTTTCGTTGGAAGTTTGGGTAATCGATCCGTCACGTTTTCTATCGTTCCATGATTCATCAATTAATTATTTCTGATTGGTTCAAGACGGAAAAGTACAAATGGCATTCAGCTAATATACAAATGACGCTTTTTGTGTATTTAGGAGCATCAGAATTGCAATAACCACCAATTTGCACGAAAAAGTTTTGAGTTTTGAAATTTGGATCTTTGATAATTGTCAAAATTGGTTGTTCTCCATTTATATACAACAATAAATGAGAAGTATTGTCATCCTTTGGCGAATAACAGAAAGTAACAAATACCCATTCTGATGGCGGCACATTCATAGAAAGAGTTACAGAAGTAGGAACTAAATTTGGTCCACAAATTTGTGCGATCAAAGAATTTCCTTTCAAATATAAAATAATTGATGAAGAACTGTCATCCGCCAAAGAAAATATCAATGGTTGTATATTCAAGGAGAATCTGATCGAGAAATCAATGTTAATCCAAAAACAAAATGAAAAACCGTTCTTGATTTCTTCAGTTTTGAAATCTAAGAATTGTTTGTATTCCGACGGTTTTTGGAATAAAATTGTTGGATTATGATTGTGACAACATTGTGCCAACGCGATGTTTAAGTAATTAATAGGTAAAGAGTCGATTTCGCAGTTTGGCTTTGGAATGCTTAAACTCAAATATTGATAGCAAACTTGTTTTGAACTAATTGATTGACACATATAATTTAAAATTGTAAAAAAATTTTCAATGTCACTTTTCAAAATATTATTTTGAAAATTGAAACCTCTAAATTCGAAATCATTTGGGAACGATTTTATTGCTTTGATTATCAATAAATCAAGTTCACCTTTGTGGCATTGTATTATATTTGTATTAGAGAATTTGCATAAATCACCAAAGAATAAAATTGATTTTGTTCCCATGACAGAAATAAACAACAACAAAATTATTTCATTTTGTAAAATAAACATTGAATCTTTTCCTGATATAGATTTGTTGTTTGCCATCAAAGATATCATGAATGATATTGTTTGGTCTGATGCTCCATTTGGTTCTGCTTTCTTCATACTTGTAGAAAACAATGATCTGTTTTCAATTGTTATAACTTTTCCTGTGTGTTTAACTTGTGTCAATGCAACAAAACTCAAAACAACACAAAGGATTTCACGTGTTGGACTAAAAAAGAATAAGTTAAGAATGGGTTTCTCTAAGTCTATAAAGTAATCGATCAAATCAGTGAAATATGATAAATGTGAAATTAAATTGGACAAACAAATAGAAATAAAATGGTAAAAAGATGGTTGTTGGTTGTTATAATATGATAACAAATAAAAATAGAATGAATGGATGCAGGAAATGATGTTTTCGTCACGATCAGGTAAAACCATGATGTCCGTAAATGATGAAAAAACATATTGAGATGTTAATGGGTGAAAACTAAGAAGCATGAAACAAGTAACAAATGTTTGTGATGAAAAAGCTGTGAAAAGTTGTCTCTTTTTCTTCATTTCTTCAATTAAAAAAATTAAAATGGAAAACCATGCTTCGTTCTCTGTTTTCAAATGGATCAAATAACTAATAACACGAATACTTGATTCAAAGAATCGTTTGTTAACAATAAAATCAACTTGTGACTGTTCTTTTTGACCATGAAGACGAATAACGTGTTCTGCAAAAAGCAATGGATATTTTTCCGATTCAAAAATGATATGTTCAAGAAGATATGGCCATTTGTTGATGATACCTTGGAATAAACTTTGACGAATAAAGTTGACTTGTTCATTTTTGTTGGAAAAAATGGTAAAAAATGGGGATAATTGTGCAGATGAATAGATTGCATCTGAAACAACAGTAGGAATAAATTTGTTGTTCATACAAACTAATAATGAACATAAAAACATAAATAACTCGTTAGTACAACTAACATCACGTTCAACATTAAGTTTGTATGTGAATTCTGATAAGAATGTAACTGGAATTGATTCTTTTGGACAGTCAATGATAGGTTGAACAACACCAATAATACGTAACTGTTCTTCACTGAAGAATTCGTCAAGTTTAAGTTTGCTTTCGATGTCTGATGGATGGATGCATCGTAAATCTAGAGGTAAAGAGAGGATATCATCTGGTTGAAGTTGATAAGCTTCAAGTTCGTAAATTTTGTAGTTTTTAAGTTCGAAATAGGATCGGTTGGACGCAGATTTGAATAAATCATAGACTTTGTGTGAAAGTTCGATAAATGAATCGTAGATATCGTATTGGTTTGTATGAAGTGCGATTTGAAGAAATAAATCGATAGAATTGACGTTCAGGTTAAGAAAGTATGGTGTTGACATGTTGATGATATATCTAAAATCGTAGTCTGTAGTGCCTTTGATTTGATTAACTAAGTGAATCAATGTAACAACGATTTCTTCGTAGTTATCACGATCACAGAGCATAATAGATATGAATGAGATGTGGTTTTTGCTGAATTTGTTCATGTGTAAGAAAATTGTTAAAAGTTGTGTTAAAGATTTTTGAGGAATTTGTGAAAATCCTTGTTTGTAATAGTATGTAAGACACATGTGTAATGAAAGAAGTATGGATTCGTTAAATTCGACGTATAAAGAAGTAACTAAAGAGTTGAAAAGAAGGAAAAAGTCATCGACAAATGAGTCATCTATAGGGGTCAATAGCCAACCAAATGCATTACAAATAAGACCAGCGACTGAATTCATACTAACTGAGATAGATAAAAATTGAGGTGAAAAAGTAAAGAGATTTTGTGTGTTTTGAATACGTGTGATGCACTCATATATGTTGTTTACATCGTATGAAATGAGTTGAAGATTTTTCTTAGGAATATTAGGAATATAAAATTTCATGTTTTCGATTTCAAGAAAATCATATGTCTTAGTGAAGAGATGGAGAGCTGATGAGAATCTATCGGCAATAGGTTCATCCCCTTCCGTCTTCAATATTGAAGTACCGGTCGAGGATCGCCGCATTCTCAAAAAATTGAACTTTTTTTTCATGCATCATCTTTTTATATCAAACAGTATCTCATTCATAACATATAAATTTCTTATCATATATGGTAAAAAAGATCAATCTTTTAATATCTTCATCATATTCACATGATTTTTTATTATTGCCCACAGAATAGTCATGGAAATACAATTCCAGAAATGATAATCTCATCTTATCTCTTTCTTCAGAAATTAGCAAACGTTATCGAACAAACAAAAGTGAGAATCCTCAAATACTATATCATTTGTGATACATTACTTGTAGAAGCGTAAGCATGAAACAAGTATTTAGAATTAGAATAGAAAAAAATTTAGAAATTTGCATCTCAACTTGACTCTATCATTTGACCTAAATATTACTAATATTTTTGAAATAATCGAATTATTTACGAGATATGTTTATGAAACATTCAAGAGAAAAATTAAATGAAAGAAGAAATCCAAAAAAATGTTTTTTCTTATGTTTACTTAGACATAAAATAAGTTCAAATGAAATTGGAGATGCTTCACAACTTCCTAATGCATGCAATGAAAGTGTAAGATCAAAAGAACAAACTTTCATTTCATTTGTATAAACTGAAGCATCATAACTACTTGCAGTCAAAACATCTCCAGTACAGTTTATAACTGTTATAATAGCACTATATGCACTAAAAGTATTACTTGCTTTGTTTTTTAAGAAAATACATTCTGAAACAGTAACATTTGATGATGAATAAGAAGAGGTAATAAGACCATAATATGAATTACTAGTATAACATGAGTTGTTTCTGAATAAAGATTTTTTCACAAATGAATCAGGTGTTTTATAATGATACATGCAAACATAATTTGATTCATGATTATCATTAGAAATGAAACAACAATAGTTAATATTAACTGGACTATTTAGAAAATAATAACCAGCATAGTCCCTACATCTTGTTTTAGTGTTGTTTGTAGAAATTAGACTTTGTAATCCGTAGTTATGATATATACTGGCAGATCCAGTGTAATCATGACCGCATTGATAGAGAGAAGTTAAATTTACAACATTTTTGTTTGTATTTGTTTTAACATATGTGTATGAATGTTTTCCATAGTCTTTTGTGTAGCATTTAAATGAACAGAATCGGTCTTGAACAATAGAACTAGAACATGAGAAGTAGATGCAGCCACCGTTGCCTGATGGGCGATTAATATTACTGTATGTGCAGATAGAATGAAGTAATTTGATAGAATTCTTTTCGCAATTAATAACATTGTCAGAAAAATCTTTGAATTCGGAAGAAAATAAGAAAAAGTCTGAAGAAATAGTTGGTTTCGTGTTATTTGTGATATCAGTATGGTCTTGTGTTGGCTGGCCAAAGCATTCTTCCCATATGTCACTTGGAACTCCAGCCTCATTGAAAGCTAGAGTTGAGCAAAGATTTTGGAGAAAAAATAAAAAATAAAAAAAAATGAAGAACTTCCCTTTTTTGTACATCGTTCTAGAGTTGAAATATCCTCCGAGAGTAGTTTTCATAACTCTCACATACATACGTATATCCGAGGAAAAGATAGTCAAACAAAAAATTCGTTAATATATCATTTTCTATTAGAAATTTAAATATTGATATTTGGAAAATGTCTATCAGCAAACTACAAAACCACAAATTACATGCATATTTAAAATATTGTCACTTAGACTCCTTATTCATCTTATTAACTTTAACTTTGTTTCTCAGCAAGAAAATAACTTTCGAATTCTATATGATAATGAATCAAATATATATTAAAAGAACTTCCCACTAAGAAATTAATGATCAGAGCGAAGTTTGGTCTAATATTCATATTCATTCAAATAAGAAGTAAAATTCCCAAACCTACAGTTAATTTTTAGAAGCTGATAGGAAATATGATTATCTATGACAAAAAATATTTGTAAATACGTTGACTCATCAAGTTTAATCTTGCTATTACAAGAAATCTCCAATGATTGCTTATGTATTATTCAAACGTTATGTAAAATGACATTAAAAAATTACAAGTTTTTAATTGAAATAAAAAATGAAATAAATTTTTACACAAAACTTGTTTTTTTATAAGTTAATTAAGGGTTTCGTTTTGCGAAAAAAACGTACAATACGCAATTTCGCTAAAAAACATTTAGCTAGCAATTTCGACCTTTGACTCCACTCAAGACGTCACTTTTTTAATTTTGCGGTATCATATTTTTGGAAAATCTTTATGAATATTATATAAAAAGTCTCTTTAATATCTATATTTCATATTTTTATCGATTTTTAAAGTTTTTGCGAAAAGTATTCAATTATTTTTGCTATTTGGTCGGGAAAATGTCAGATTTGCGACATTTTCTGATATGATATTCAGATTCTACGTTGATAATAATGCTTATAGAACCCTCTTGCTATTGTGTCAAAATTGCGAAACCGATAGCAAAAATATCTCGCAATATCAAAATTGAGATATTGAGTGAATTATGCATTATAGAGATTAAAAATCTGATTTGTGAAAACATCTCATCAGTTTCTAGCTAATTCAAAAATCTTTACTATCTTATTCGATTAAAATGAAAAGGGAATAGTTTCATTATGCTTTAAATGACAGCCTTATAATATAATCATAGTTTTCGCTCAATATGCAGCATTTTTTTTCGAAATCTATGGTCAATATCCTAAATACTGATTGCTTTGCATTCATATCTCTTACATTTTCTATACCCGCATCACTATTCATTGCTATTCCTATCTTTTTCATTTTTGTTTGTTTCTCATAATTTCTCAAAAAACATGATAACTTGATATTTGTAAATATCATACTTTATAACGTAAATAAGAACTTGACCTATTAAGAAAAGCAGTAATGAAAAGAAAATCTGAAATTCATAAAAATTACAAGTTTCTGATGACAATTAGCTTAATTAAACCAGGTACAAGATTATATAATTGTATTTTCTATCCAATTATCCATATAATATCTTATCCAGAAAAAATAACTTGATCAATACCAAATGATTTTTTAACTAGTAAATAAAGTATTTTCTTTACACACACATTGTATATCATAGTTTTTTTTTGGTTTCGCAAAACATCCAAAAACAAATATGCTATAAAAGTGACAATTTTAGCAAAACGAAACCCTTAAGTTAATTAAATAAAAACCTAACTACTCTATTATATTGCGAAGTAAAAAAATTAGTACTTGATCGATTTGACTTTCTCCCATGGAAGATCGATGTCTGTACGACCGAAGTGACCGTATGCAGCGGTCTGCGCGTAAATAGGACGAAGAAGGTCCAAATCTCGGATGATAGCGTATGGACGAAGATCGAAGTTATTGTTGATAATATCGACAAGTTCTTCGTCTGTCTTACCTTTGCCGGTGCCGTATGTGTCGACAAAGACTGACAGAGGGTGGGCAACACCAATAGCGTAGGAGAGCTGGACTAAGCATCGTGAGCAAAGACCAGCCGCAACAAGGCTCTTGGCAACCCACCGAGCGGCGTAGCATGCTGAACGGTCGACTTTAGATGGATCCTTGCCAGAGAATGCACCTCCACCGTGAGCACCCCAGCCACCGTATGAGTCGACAATGATCTTACGACCGGTTAAGCCAGAGTCACCAAGTGGACCACCGATCACGAAACGGCCACCTGGGTTGATGTGCAGGATAGTGTGATCATCAACAAGTTCTTTTGGAAGGACTGGATCAATCACGTGTTTCTTGACTTCAACACGAAGTTTGTCTAATGTAACTTCATCAGTGTGCATAGTGGAGATAAGGACGGTGTGGATACGAAGTGGTTTGAGGTGACCGTTGTTACGTTCGTATTCAACGGTAACCTGTGTCTTACCATCCGGACCAAGGAATGGAACAGTGCCATTCTTACGGACTTCGGTGAGCTTGCGAGCAAGATTGTGTGCAAGAACATGTGTAAGTGGGAAAAGTTCTTTAGTTTCGTCGGTAGCATAGCCGAACATGATGCCTTGGTCACCTGCACCTAATTCTTCTGCCTTCTTGTTAAGGTGGACGGCCTGTGCGATATCTGCTGACTGCTGGCTCATAGAAACCATCACTGCGCATGTGTCGGCATCGAAACAGAGCTTGGATGATGTGTAGCCGATGTTGCGAACTGCATCACGAACAAGCTTCTGGTAATCGAGGTGAGCATTCGATGTCAATTCACCAAGAAGGCAGACAATGCCTGTCTTTGTGCATGTTTCGCAAGCAACTTTCGAATTTGGATCCTGAGCAAGGCAAGCATCAAGAATTGTGTCTGAGATGATATCGCACATCTTATCTGGGTGTCCTTCTGTGACAGACTCACTGGTGAAAAGGAACTTCTGTGACATACCTTTTATAAAAATGAAGAGAAATATCCAAAAATTTCATAATCTCTCAAATTTGTATTTCAAAATTTGTGACAAAACTAATGAAATATGCTGGGATTTTTGTGCTCATTAAAATTATCTCATTACGTAAAAAATTCAATACATCTTGGTCGAATGACCATTTCGCAAAATGAATAAGTTGTTTAAGATCAAGTTTTTTCAGGTGAACATTTAATGGGAAAGTATGTTGCACCATTATTCATGAATATCCTATTCATCAGTATATTCCTATCAATTTCTGAAGGGTATTCAAAAAAATAAAAATTGCTATCCATTTGATATATCGTACATCATATATATGATAAGAAAAGCAACAATTAACCCAACCATTATTCGATTATTTTGGCCGGATGAACACTCAATCATTTGAAACAATCCCCGTCGAATTGATTTGATTTACGACCAGTAAGGTCTCTACTATTGTTATTGGCATGTTTCGACTGGAAAATGATCTTAAATTTTAAAGAATCCATGAAATACAATCTAAATATTCTAACTTTTTTTTCTGATTTTTTCTATTTCAAAAAAATTTTGGAAAGAAAAACATCTTTTACAGCGATTTTAACTAATACATTCTAATATACTTTTGGCTTACAAAATAATTATATAATCATTATACTTTGGAAACTCTCATAATGTTATTTTTCTCATTACATTTCGTCGAATAATAAATTTTTTGAGTTTATCATATTACAAACCCCCACATAATAAGCAAGTCAAGAACGAATATACTCTTAATTCATGTTAATCTAAAGGAATATTAAATTTTAGATTCAAGATGAGTGTATTTCTCTTTCATTCATTTGCAAACACGATTTCCTAGACCAAGAACATATGCTCATAACAATAACAGTCGCTTATTGTTTTCCTTCAAAAATTGCTCCAAAAATTTCAGGTGAACTAAAAATTTGTAATGTCTACTCTGAGTAGTCGAAGATCGACTGAGTCGAAAAAGACTAGCCCATCTAGTGTAAGAACGAAAAGTAGAACAGTGCAATCTCATTTTGAAAATCTAAAATCTTTTGTTCATCAAATTTCATTACTCGAAACTAGTGCTGTAGGATTACTCACCACTCTACATTCAATAGAAAAGGCATATAATGGACTTTTCGACAATAATATTCGTGCAGTACCTGTTTATAAACAAGCTCGAGAGATTAGTGCTCAGTTTTCTACTTTTGAAGGAACTCTCCTTAGTAAAATAGAGCTTGCAAAACATCTCGATGTTCCAAGCAATATTACATCAGAACTCGAAAAATTAAATTCTACAATTAAAAAGGTCAATTCAGCTCCTCCAGCGACATCTCGTGCGCAGAGAGAATCAAAAACATATTATAAAGAAATTACCGCATCAATTTCAGATATAGAACAAAATCTTAAAGATCAAAATCCCGTCCAAGCCAAAAAATTACTAAGAAAGCTAAAAACCGATTTCCTCCATAAATACGAACAATTCTTCCGTCTCAGTCAACTGTCGAAAGGCTCTAAAAACACAAATTCAGATAATTGCCGATTTTCAATCGACAGAATCGTTGCTCTTTTAGATTACTCGACAATGCCACTTGAAGTACCAGATGTTGTAGAACAAATTAGTGTTAAATTGAAAGAATTATCTAAGAAACCCGAAAATACAGAATTATCTTCAAGACCTTCAACGAGATCTTCCGTCAATAGAGTCTTATCAAAAGCCAAAGCAGCAGTTAAGCAAGAGGTAAAGCCAAAAACTACAAGATCTAAGTCACAACCGAATTTTCCAAATTTATTCCCTCCTCCAGCCCCAGCTTCCCACAAAAGGATAGCGGCAGTACCATCATTGAAGAGTTTGGCGATTGCTCCTCGCAGAGTTTCCAATTCCAGCAAGAATATTCTACCTTTAATCCAAACAGTCAATAATTTACCGAAAGCACCACCAGAAGAAGCAGAACCTGACTTGGAAGCGATGTCAAATTCGAAATCAGAGAGATCCCCATCAATGAAGAAGCTCGAAAAGACTTTAAGCAAAATAGAATTATCTGATGACGAAAATTTGAAGAAAAACACTCCACCTGGCTCTCCAAGCCTATCCAGCAGCCAACTAATGCTTACAAAAGAATGCGCGGAGGCTATACAAGGCCTAGAACCAAAACTTTTGAAGCATTTATCTGCAATTGACACAAATAGTACTTTAAACCAATTTATTGAGCAATTATCACTTGTACAAGAATCAGTACAAGCAGGGAATCCTCAAAATGAGCAGCTTCTTCGCTTGAATTTTCTAATTTGTCAGTTGGAAGACGAATTAGTTGATACAAAGGAAAGTGGTAATTTCGATGAAACGATAAATAAAGCCAAACAGATAATTGACTCTTTGGAGCACTCGATTTCGGAAAATAAAACGATTTCTTCGGAGTCATCAGATATTATTGGAAATGTAGGTCGAAGATTGAAGCGCTTGAGCTACAATGAAACCAGCCCATCGGGATCAATGCATGGAGACTCGGAAACTAAGATAAATGAGTTAAACGCTGAGTTAGAAAAATTAAAATCAGAATTAAAAGCTGAAAAAGCGAAAAACAGCGAATGGCAGCAAAAATCCGAGACAAGGAAGAAATATATCAATAGATTATCTAATAATCTTAAGCACGCGATGGTCGCAATGCCTCCTTCTGGTTGTGAAGATTTGAAAAAAGTTTTAATGAGGCAGACCAAAATTATTAGTGTTCTTGAAGAACTACAGTAATGTATGATTAAATGTTGTTGTTTTATTTTGTTAATTTCTTCGTTTTTTCAATCAATTACAAAAATTATTTAAAAAATTCTGACATTTATTTTCCTTATCTAGAACAACTAGCCATCATACACAAACTAATATTCCGAAACAATCACTTTCAGTTTTTAAAGTTTTATGATGGATCTTATCTTTTTTTCCTCAGTTAATGCATTAAAGTTAGTAATATTCATATTGACGTGATACAAAAGTTATATAATATGAAAATGGCTGGTCTGGAGTACACAACCATCCACATTTTTCCAATGACAAATTTGATTGCCAGACGAAATATGTATAATGATGATATTATGTTTTAAATACATTTTTCGTTTAGATTTAATGCTGATGACAATCTATATTTGTAAAAAATATACTTTTTAATTTATCCAGTTTTTTAAAATATTTAGAACGAAACACTTTTAAAAGTTGGATCATTACTAGTTTGCCTCTTCAGTTTGGGCTTTAGCCTTTTCAATCCAAACGTTTTTTTCTTCTTCACTTAATTCTTTCCACATCTTTCCTATGATCTTTGCGATTTTTCCGAAGCTTGCCTTTGGATTCTTCTCTTTGATTTCTTTCCTTTTCTCTATACTGAAGATGATGTAAGGGCTTTTCATTTCGAAGTGAAGTGTTTCCGCTGTTTATTTTTCAATAAATCTTTCACAAATTTTTTCTGAAAAATATTAATTTCCAAATGAAAAATATAACTAGTCTTACAACATATAATATTTTTATTTTACGCGCATTGAAATATTGTCATGTAAATGAATGCTAACGAGTCTGACAAGATAAAATTGAAAGAAATCATCCTATAGCTCCTGCACACGAATATAAAATTTCCACGAATTTCTGGTTTTTGAATGGGGAGAATAAACTTGTAATTCTTCAATACGTGCTTAATAGTCAATCAATATATTTAAAAAATTTTCTTATCAAGCCTAATTTATGATGAATTTGCATTTAAATTTCCTCTCAATATGAGCAGTATATCGTTCCTTTGCAGAATAATGATTAGATGCAAAATTTTAGTAGCAGCCGAATTAATAAACATCGTTATACCTGATTTGAAATTTCATCTTTTGAAATTTCTTTAGCGGAAGCGCATATTTTTCCATAGCAAAATTATTTATTTCTGTATGATTTACAAATTGCATTACTTTTAACAGATAATTCGTATGTAATCGAATTTTCTCCAAGCATCAAACTTGGTGAACCGAATGCACAATAATGCGCCGGCAAACAACCGAAAAATATGCTTAACAAATTTTGCAATTAATAATGTAAAAAACCCGTAAGAGCCCATTGGGCATTATAATAGAAAAATATTTTATTACGCGATTTGATTTAACAGCAACCTTTCTTATCAGATGATTTAGCTACTGGCTTGACATCAGACTTCGGACCAACTTTAATACCACGATTAAGAATTTGAGCTGCTGTACGAACAAATGCCTCCTTAACATTATCACCACCCTTAGCGGATGCCTCGAGGTAAGAAAGTTGTTGATGTTCTGCGAAGGCTTCTGCTTCTGCCAGTGTAACCTGCCTGTTTGCAGCAAGGTCTGCTTTATTTCCAATCATTTGTACGACAACGTTTGGATCGCATAATGCGTGGACATCGTTCAACCAAACTGTTAAGTCGTCGAATGTCTTTCTCTCGGTGATATCGAAAACAAGAAGAACACCGACTGCATTTCTGAAGTAGGCTTTAGCAATAGAACGGAAACGTTCTTGTCCAGCTGTATCCCAGATCTGGAGCTTGACTTGGCGGTCATCAACTTGGATGACTGTAGAATCGAATTCAACACCAATTGTTGACTGGCTTTCCTCGGTAAAGACGTCTTCTACTAAACGCTTAAGAAGAGCAGTTTTTCCTACGCCGGAAGAACCAATGATGATGAACTTGAGCGAGGTCAATGAACAAACTTTGGTTATGGGCTAAATTTACTATTTAATAGTCGTTATAAAATATTATGCATACATGTTTTTGGTCACTCGGAATTTTGAGAAAGAAAGTGGCGAACTTTTGATAGAATTCTTTTCGTCCAGCTACTTATCAGTCACAAAAGTGATTACTGATAACTTACGTTCCTTAGATTTGAATAGTATCTGTTAATTAATGAATAGCCTAAGCTTCTTTATGTAGATTTGAATTTTATTTTATCAGATGTTGGATCAATTTTACATTAAGTTAATTTATGTGTTTTTACATGATGTATAGCATGCAATTGATTTGTTAAACAACATATTATGACATATAGGCTTCGCAAATGATCATCTTGTTTTATTTATTGATTCCAACTGTCCTCAATGGTGATTCAAAAGTTCAACTTTACATTTTTTTGGAATTAAAATAATTATAGAATAAGGTAAATACATCATCTAATCATGTTTTGAATACGAAATTTTGAAAAGATCCACAAAATATGTTTTGAGATAAAATGTCTTTCGTTTTTGAAATTTTTTAATAGATGAGTTATTAACTATTATGATTGTCAGTGGGGAAATTTGAGAAAAACCCTAAAGATACATTCAATTTAAGTACTTTCAAATAAAATTTATCAAAATGAATAAACTTCTTATAATCAGGATGATAATATATGCATTAAAATATAAAGCCAACACGACCTCAAATTAATATCACTTTTCTGAGTCCCACAATTTTGTTTAATCAGATTCGTTAATATAATTTTATAATATCATATTATCATCTGGAACTAACTTCTATGAAAATTTTTCTTATAATACAATTTCTACTTTTCTATGAATAAATTTAGCCTTCTTAAATCTAAAAAATCAAATTTATTATAACATTTATCTATTCTTATATATGTTATTACAATATGTTACATTCTGCTTTCAATAATTCAAATCAATAATCTCTGAGAAATTTCATATTTCAGAAATTATTCAAAATTTAAATCCAATTCATCATTTATGGGTCCTCTAGAGCGATATACTTTTTAAATTCTATAATATTTTATCTTCCTTTTTTTTTAAAAAAAAAATTATTTTCAGACAGTAAATTTTTTAAAGATGGATTCTATGAAATATCATTATATCTAAGTTACTATTTATCCAATAATGAAGATTATTTATGACTATTTTTGAAGAAATTAGTTTTACTTCCTACTTTTGAGAGACTGTTTACAAAACGTGCCAATTCAATGTCTCATTATTCTGAAATGTAATCCTAAATGTTATAGTGTATATAATCATATTTTCCATCAATTTTGAGTTTTTTTGTACTAGCTTAGCGATTAATAACTACTTTTGAGAGGATCATTCAACATTCTACGCTTTCAAAAGTTTGACTCTCAATTTTAGCACATAACTTTCAAAATTGTCACTTTTAATTAATATGAAACTCAGCTCTCCAGTCCATTCCCCAACAGAGATTTATGATAAATTACACGATTATAACATTAGCAGTCAGATTACAAACTACGGCCTATACAGCCAAATTCACACAGCTTATCATCGCATACATCGCATACCATTAGCAGTTAAAATCATTTCAAAAAATAGAATCGCTGATCTCCCTAAAAAGGAGCGCATTTTATTCAACGAAACTATTCTCTCGCCATTACTAGACCATCCAAACATCATTCACGTAGAAGAAATTATCGAAAACAATTCTAAAATTTTTCAGTTTATGCAATTCGCGGAAAAAGGAGATCTTCTCCACAGTTTACAGAAATGCCCACCAGATCAGAAAACTTGCTTTAAATACGTCGAACAATTATTAGCTGCAGTCGAAAGAATTCATTCGCTTGGTATTGTACATAGAGATATCAAACTCGAAAATATACTTATTACTTCAAACGATGTTCTTAAACTTTCAGACTTTGGCTTGGCTTCTATCACATGTGATGGAATCATGAAGGACAACTGTGGATCTTACGAGTATTCTGCTCCTGAGGCTATATCTCATGCAGAGTTCGATGGATTCAAGGCTGATATGTGGGGAGTCGGTATTATAATTTATGCCCTCTTCCAGAAGCGACTTCCGTTCGAGGATGTTAGGATGGGATATAACTATAACAAACCGGTTGACTTTTCTCGCATTCCTGACCCATTACAAGAACTTTGTAAGAAACTTTTATCTTTGGATCCAAATGAGAGGCCATCAGCTGATGAAGCCCGTAGAATGCTTGGCCATACACATACAGTTCCTGTCTTCTCGGCTTTGGCCCAAGATCCAAGAACATTCGATCAATTTACCGCTTCCAAACTTTGCCAGACAATTGGTCTTCCGATCAACGAAATCAGAGCAGATATACAATCTGATGAATTTTCCGAAATAAAGGTTTTAGCTGTCTTGATAAACCAGCGTAACCTTATTCTCAGACCTGCTTCGAGGTCTGTCTCAGAGCCAGCCCACCGTCCTACGCAATTATATGCTAGTAGGTTGAAGGCTGATGGTTGCGACGTAATGCAGGCAATAAGAGATTATCTGTTGCCAAAACGTTGCCTTATTTCTTCGCCTCTTTCCGATACACCGGAAATAGTTCTCAATGGTAAATACGCAGATAAACGAGTGTCTTTTACCTGCAACGATAGCCCTGATGGTTACTGTTCTATAGAGATGTACCCAGATGAAGGGTCTGATGATGTTTGCAAATCTGTTATTCACCATTTAGAAAAAAGCTTTTTTGTTGTTTAAATATGTTAATTTTCTTTTAATTTTCATGTATTTTTTTAATAAGATTTTCGAAATTTTTCCTCAAAAAAGATAATTGATTTCTTCTTTTATCCATGATCCGTTCTCACATTGCCTTGATTAAGAGTTTAATCTTAGTCAAATGCATTTTGACTTCTTACAAGATATATCAGTAAACACATTATTCATATTAAACCTATGATCGCATCAATTCATAACTACATTGAATGAAAAAGTTATTGTAATGATAGTTATTTTGGCTAAATATAAGTTTTTTTGAATATTGCCTAAAATTTAGAAGATTTTGGCTATTGTTTTTTTATACTCTTGATGTTATTCGCTTAATTATCACGAAGTCATTCTTACCACATAATTATTATATGGAAAATAAGCTTATTTTCAAAAACTATTGCAAATTAAAAACAAAAAAATATACAAACAAATTTATTTCTTTGGCCTAAAGTATGGTATGTGAGAACCACGTGCAGGAACAATTGGCCGCACTTTCTTGACTGGCAGAAGAAATTCAGAGACAGATGTATCGCTATTATTCGATCCATTGCTCGCTCTCGACATATTACTTCCAGAAGCTTTCTTGGGAGTATTGTCAGGCGATGGGCGGCTTTTAACTTGTGGTAATTTTGCCAAATTCGGCAAAATTGATAATTTCGACTCTTTTTGCTTCGAAGACTTATTAACACCCTTATTCTTTGGTTTGGCATTATTATTTACAGGACTATTGTTCTTAGAGCTGATTAAGGAAGAATCCGTAGATTTTTCTTGAGGAGGCGAAGAAGGACGAGTCGATTTGATTCCAAGCAGTTTCTTTCGAAGTTCTTGGAAGTTACTCTTCGATTCCTTGATGTTTGGTGGGTTTCCGTAAATTTTTGCCATTCTCCATTTTTGTTCTTCTTCAAACTTCTTCATTTCCTTCCTTCTGATCTTATCATATGTTCTTTCTTCACGTTGCATCTCTTTTCGCGCTTGAGCCTTTCTATTTTCGAATTTTTCTTCTTGTCTAAGTTCTTTTGCTTTGATTCTCTCTAATCTCTTGGCAGCACGCTCTTTCAACAAAGCCTGCTGCTGTTCTCGTAATAAGTTCTTGTTCCTTTCAGCTGCTTCTACCTTTTTCAGTGCGTTTAAAGCTGAATTGACTTTTGACTCTTCATTTCGAGCTTTAGCGAGAGCTGCGTTCTTATGTCTGCGCTCGATAAGAGCAGGGTCCTTAATCCGTCTGTTGGTATCGAGATTAGTTATCTCTGACTTAGTTTTCGATACAAATTTCTTTCTTTTCTTTGGTTGTGGAATTTTTGATTTAGGCTTATCATCTGATCCTTGAGAGGCTTTTGGTGCTCGTACTTTCCGCTTTTTCGATTTTTTTCTTGTAGATTTTCTGCTTTTCGGTAAATTTATTTCAATATCCTTTTTAGATCGATTTAATAATAACTGTCGTTCTGTAATAACACGTTCAATGGTTGCTAATCGTTTTTTCTCGAGTTCTATTTGAATTTGCATCGCAATAATTGCGTTATTTGCTTGAGATTCGGGAACTTCATGAGGAACCAAGTCCTCTGGCTTGACACCGAGGTTTTGCATTGCTTGAAGAGTTTCTTCTTCTGTGAATACTGGAGGAGCCGTAATTTTATCGGGCCGAATATCTAGAATTCCAAAAGTTTTAGGCGGCTCATGTTCAGGAATCAGGAGATTATGTGGTATTGTGCCGAGGAAGATTTCACTTCCATCGTTATCGAGCACACCACTTTCCATCAATCCGTTATTTTTTTGAGAGAAATGCCTCAAAACTCAATTATCGTTCAAAATTTTCGATTAAGTCCGGGTTATATCATACATTATAATTGACAGATTTATTGAGAACGACTCCAATCTGAATGCAATTCCAATTCTTTTACTTTCATTTCTGACTTCAAGGAGTTTATTTTATTACATTAAAGTCCTATTATATTCATTCTATAGGATTTCGACTCTTCGATTCAATACTTGTTTTTTGAAATTATGGACAATATAACTCATTGATACTAGAAAATCGCATTAATTAGATTCTTTTCTCCATACACATCACTATATTACATGAACAATGTTCAAAACTTGGAAAATTGGATTATCATTATTTTTCATTCCGATCACTTTTCAAAATTTCACCTAATTTCTGAACAAATACGGAATGAAAATTAAACACTTCATCGTAAATGTTCCATGTGGATAATAAACGATTCACATACATTTTCTGATCAAAATCATACTAATTAAGGATGAAATAGTATGATGTCAATATAAAACATCATTTTTATTTCTTTTGAAGATAGTCTCGATTAATTATTCATATCAAGCAATAACAGATCTAGAAATATAATATCCTGATATAGGCATGCAACATAATATCCGTTATCCATTGATTTGAATACTTTTGATCAAATATATATCCAATAATTATATTCATCTAATTGGTTTTATATAAACTCCATGTTTATGAACAACATTGATGATCTACTAATCGTAAATCATAGAACAACAGCCTAAATTTAATACACAATTTGCTTTGAGTAGATCTTTGTAACATAATAAGTTTAAAATTAATTTTTAAATCAAGAAACAATTCATAAATATAAGTATAAAATGTCTAATTTTATCCTTTTCAATCCCCTCGTATTTTTCAAAAATTTTTCGACCTAATTTGCATAACAATCGAATACCAGTAACATATCAAAACATTTTCTCATTTCAAATCTGATTTTTTTAATGTTTGATAATTTTGGATTGTAAGATGAGTCACCAATCAATGACATTTCAGACAAGTCTAGGTAGTACTTTAATATTCTATAATAAAATCCATACCCACTTTATTGAACGATAGATGTTTCAAAGCTGATCGTTCTATGGCCGTCTTGTCAAAACCCCCGTAAATCTTCAGAACTTAAAATATGGCTGAATTAACTGAGCAACAAGTTCATGAGGCCAACGTCGCCGCGGCGTTACGCGACTACGTTGTTCACCCACGTATAGAATATCGCACTGTTACATCCGTCAACGGTCCCCTTGTTATTTGCGACAATGTCAAGTTCCCACGTTATTCAGAAATCGTCCGCGTCACACTTGGTGATGGCAGTGAGCGTCGTGGTAAAGTTATCGAAGTCCAGGGCAACAAAGCTGTCGTCCAAATCTTCGAAGGTACAACAGATATCGATGTCAAGCGTACACGTCTTGAATTCACAGGTGAAACACAGCACACACCAGTTTCCACCGATATGCTTGGCCGTGTTTTCAGTGGTTCCGGTCAGCCACTTGATCACGGTCCACCAGTCCTTGCTGATGCTTATCTTGATATCGAAGGCCAACCAATTAACCCATACGATCGTCAGTACCCACGAGAAATGATTCAGACAGGTCTTTCCTCCATCGATGTCATGAACTCCATCGCTCGTGGCCAGAAGATTCCAATTTTCTCCGCAAACGGTCTTCCACACGATCAGATCGCTGCCCAGATCTGCCGTCAGTCCGGTCTTGTCCAACATAAGGGCAAAGACGTCAATGATAACTCCAAGGAGTCTTTCGCTATTGTTTTCGGTGCTATGGGTGTTAACAAGGCTACCGCTTCCTTCTTCCAGCAAGACTTCGAACAGTCCGGCTCCATGGAGCGTGTCGTTCTTTTCTTGAACCACGCTAACGATCCAACAATTGAGCGTCTCGTTACACCACGTATTGCACTTACTACCGCCGAATACCTCGCTTACGAGCAAGGCATGCACGTTCTTGCCATTCTTACAGATATGACTTCATATGCTAACGCTCTTCGTGAAGTTTCCACCGCCAGATCCGAAGTTCCCGGTCGTCGTTCATATCCAGGTTACATGTACACTGACTTTGCCTGCATTTACGAGCGTGCAGGTCGTGTTAAAGGCAGACCAGGTTCCATCACTCAGATTCCTATTCTTACAATGCCTTCTGATGATATCACTCACCCAATTCCTGATCTTACAGGTTATATCACTGAAGGACAGATTTACGTCGATCGTCAGCTTTACAACAAACAGATTTACCCACCAATCAACTTGCTTCCATCCCTTTCCCGTCTTATGAAGTCCGCTATTGGTGAAGGTTTCACACGCAAGGACCACGGCTCAGTCTCCAACCAGATGTACGCTTCTTACGCACAGGGTAAGGATGTCCTCGCTATGAAGGCTGTCGTCGGTGAAGAATCTCTCACTGATGAAGATAAGAAGCACATCGAGTTCCTCGAAAGATTCGAAAACAGATTCTTGAGACAAGGTCCTTACGAGGCTAGAAACGTCTTCGAATCTCTCGACTTGGCTTGGGAAACACTCAGAACTCTTCCAAAGGAGTCACTCAAGCGTATCGATACAAAGACACTCCAGGAATTCTACGCTCGTGACGGACAAGCTCGCCAGGAATAATTGCTTTAAACGTTTTTTTTCTATACTCCAAATTTATTCTTAATTTTTTTTTATATAACTTTACTTTTTATCGATGAATTCTATCACTGATGATGATAAGTATCGATTGTTCATTCATGGGAAAGATAGTTTTGCTCTTTGATAGTTGAATTTAGAAATTGTTTCAGTTATTTTTCGTCGTTACAAATTCATTTAATCAAGGGATCGAATTGATGGGTATTTCATTATACAATTGTTCATAGATGAGAAATAGAGAGAAAATATTGGTTTGCTCTATAGACTTGAAAGTTTCTGCCTTTCTCTACTTGGATATGTCAGTCAAATCTGTTAGTTAAATGAGAAAATGGCTCAAAATGTTTATAAGAAGATTTGTCTCAAATACGATTTTTTTCATATCACATTTCACCTGAGACCATCATCTTCTACTTCTATTCAAAAAGCATCGGTAAAGCAACTTATATTAGCATTAGGAAATAATAAAACCTGACTAGAAAGTATAGTTTTCACTAATTTGTTGAAAATTTGGAAAATGATATTCGAATTTCCAAAATTTCATGCAACACCTTTGCTTCTTTCACATCACCAAGCAATGGTGGGAGCATTTGCATCACAGATGCTAAAATTCCAATTGAAATCCAGAAATGTATTTTTATTAACGTCACTTCTTCATTAGAAGGTGGCGCAATATACTTATATAATAGTCCAACAAACTTATCTTATGATTACTTTTTTGGCTGCGCTTCCAACTGTAAATATAATGGAAAATACGGAAACGCAATCTTTATTAAATATTCTCAATCTGATTTTAACGAATCCTCATGCTATTTGTGCGCAAAAGACTATATAGTATATACTGACACGTGCGTTTATTCATCTAATGATAAGTTCATATCCGTATATGGAAACGGAACAAATAACTACGGAGTTGAAGGATCTGGTTTTTTAGGAATCCATTATTCACAACCAGGAACTTATGTTAAATTTTGTCAGGTTTATAAATGTTTTGATAGGTTTTATATTGAATATGGACGAAGTAGTTACACTGCATCATTCTGTAATTTCATTGATGCATCTGGCCAAGTAAGTTCATTTGGTATTGCTGAAGGAACTGCTACTTTCGAAAATTGTGTATTTATTGATGCATTAAATAAGCCTATATATCAATATGGCAAAATTACGATTCAATATATAGATTGCTCATCAAATGAAAATAGACCAGATATGACTTATACTTCTCTTGAAAAAACCAATTTTCAGACATCATTTTCATATGATCGAATAGTTTGTAATCAAGTTCAATGTTCAAAATTTATTAACCATCGACTAATCTATTTTGAATTTCTCTTCGAAATTGCTACATTGCAATAAACATTGTCATGTTCTTGGAAATCTCAAAATCTTCAGATTTTTTATTACGAGATTATTTGTCTCTTCTGCTTGCTTTGAATAAACAATAAACACAACAGTAATTTAGACAACTTTATTAAATTATCGATGAATGATTCATTCACTTTATTGAATAATATTTAGGATACATGCTCATAAAATTTATGGGTCTAAATATCCTTCTATTTCTTGAAATCCGCAGATAAATTTTTCCCCCACATACTCTTTTTTATGCTAGATAAAAATAACCTTTTTTATCTCAATTTTATATCACATTTCTCACATCTCTATTTTCGGTCTTATTAGGTTTTGCAGCATTTTTCATTTTAGAACTTCCATTAAATGACTTTATACAATAATAAGGCATGCATATCAAGATCGATTTGAATATAATATGGGAATTCAATGGAAATTAAAGTTAGAATTTCCCGCGTTTCATGCAGTACATTTGCCTCTTTTTCATCTACAGAAAATGGTGGAACCATTGGAATCTCAAATTCAAAAATTCCAATTGAAATTCAGAATTGTAATTTTATTAATAGCACATCTTCACTGGAAGGTGGGGCGATATACATTAATAATAGCGAAATAAGCTTATCATATAACTATTTTTATGGATGCACCTCAAATTGTAAAGAAAACGGAAAATACGGAAATGCGATGCTTGTAAGTCAGACTCAATCTGATTTTAATGAATCTTCTTGTTACATGTGTGCTAAAGATAGTACAATGTATTCTGATACCTGCGTTTGCTCCACATTTTGTAAATTTATTACAGTTTCCTGCAATGGAACAAATAACTTCGGACAAGAAGGCTCTGGCTGCATAGGAATTCACGATTCGAAACCAGGCTCATATGTAAAATTTAATAGAGTTTATAAATGCTTTGATAGGTTTTATATTGAATTTGAAAGACCTGTTGTTACCGCATCATTTTGTGAATTTATTGATGCAACTGGACAAATTAGTTCATATTCTTTAGTAGAGTGTACTGCTTCATTCGAAAATTGCGTATTTATTGATGCACTAAATAACGATCCATTTCTAGTAGGAGAAGTTCACGTGCAGTTTATAAATTGTACATCAAATAAAAATCATCCAGGCATGACACATAAATCACTCGATAAATCAGATTTTCAAATTACATATTCCTCTAATCAAATTGTTTGTAATCAAGTTGCCTGTTCAAATTTTGTTAGCCCATATATGATCTACTTAGAATCTCTCTTCACATTACTTTCACTTCAATAAAAAATATCTTCTAGTGAACGCTTTAATCGTAAGAATGTATTATTGATCTTATTCTAAAATTCATGGATTTGATTATAATTAATTTAATGAAGATTAAATATAAATTGTGAAAGCTAAAGAAAAAATAAAGTTAAGTGACTCAATTTCGATAAAAGATTATAGCTATTGAGTATTTCATATAAAATTCGAATCTGCAATGATTACTTAATGCTTAAACAACTTATGAGTACATATCAATTAATTGAGGGTTTATAAAAACGTGTGAAAAATAAGAACTCGCATAAGAAATTAGTTTTTAAAAAGTTGAAGAATCTTTCCATAACTTTAGATTAAATAAATTCCTTGACATTTTGAATTTTGAACATATTCATGAATTCTTATTTATTCCAGAGCATAGGATCTTCAAACGAGATCAATACAAAAATTGAAGAATTAATACATCAAAATTCTCACAATTTTATATCAAATTCTAAATCTTCCATTCTTTCATTTTAAGAACTAGAGCAAGAAGAAGAACAAGCAGCATGCTGTAATAGCTATCTAAGGGAATAAAAGATTAAAATCCAAGTCAGATTGGAAATAAATTTCCAATGGAATTCCAAAATTCCAGAATTTCATGCAGTACCTTTGCTTCGTATTCATCACCAAACAATGGTGGATGCATAAGCATATCTAATGCGAAAATTCCCATTGAAATTGAGAATTGCAATTTTATTAACACATCATCTTCATTAGAGGGTGGTGCAATATATTTATTTAGTAGTCCAACAAATTTAACCTTTAATAGCTTTTATGGTTGCGCTTCCAATTGTAAAACCAATAACAAGTACGGAAACGCGATGCTCAGTCGTCAGTCTGTGTCAAATTTTAATGAATCATCTTGTTATTCGTGCTCTATTGATTTCACGATGTATTCGGACAGCTGTCTAAGCTCTCATTATGAAAAATTTATTTCCATTTTTTCTAACGGAACTTATAATCATGGAAGAGGGCGCTGGATTCATTTCTATCTATGAAACAAAAGAAGGCACATTTTTGAAATTTAATAAAGTCTTTAGATGCTTTGATTATTATTTTATAGAATTTATTCGTAGTAGTTATGTTGTATCATTTTGCGAATTCGTGGATGATTCTGGTCAAGACTATTCGTTCTGTATTGTAGAATGCACTGCTACTTTTGAATGTTGTGTATTTGTTGATGCACTTAATAAGCCAGTTGATTTACATAATTCTCCAGCAATTCGATATATCAATTGTGTTTCTAATAAAAATAAACCAAGTTTGACGTATTCTCCTCTTCAAAAATCAGAATTTGAAATGACATTTTCATTGAATAAAATAATTTGCAATCAAATTCCATGTTCCAGATTTGTTCATTTTATTCCAATCTATTATATATCACTCATCGAATTAGTTGTAATTTAATAAAAATTTTAAAGAGTCTAGATCTAGTTTAAGCTTGTTTAACAATGAAAGGAATTTATAATTTCATTCGCAAAACATTTGTTTATAAAAGCTACATTAGAAACGAAATCTCATTATGTGTTCTTATTGAAAACATATGAAACTATACAATTTCCCTTATTGAAATGCAATCAATATTTAATTGGGAATCTGTTGAATTTTTATGAAATTTGATGTATTTTTTCTCTCAATTTTATATCACATTTCATTTCGTTTTTCAATGTATTCGTTTTATGATTTGGAGCTTAAAATGTCCCTGAAGTTCTCTTAAGGGACTTTACAAAACAATAAACCATTAAAATAAAGATAAGTTTGGAGTTATTTTGGATATTACTTTTGAAAATTCCAGAATATCATGCAGCACATTCGCATCACTTTCATCAGTTGATAATGGTGGAAGCATTAGCATCTCGAATGCGTCTGCTCCCCTTGAAATTGTAAATTGTATTTTTATAAATAGCACATCTTCACTCGAAGGTGGTGCAATATACTTATTTAATAGCGCAACAAACTTAACTTTTGATTGTTTTTACGGATGCACTTCATGTTTAAAAACCAATGGCAAATTTGGAAATGCGATGCTGCTTAAACAATCTGAATCGACATTTTGTGAGTCCTCTTGTTATCTGTGTGCCAAAGATCATGATAAATGCACTGACAGTTGTGTCACCTCATCAGGAGAAAAATTCATTTCATTTTCTTGTAATGCAACAAATAATTACGGAGTATTAGGTTCTGGTATGATGGGGTTTCGTGATACGAAGCCTGGATCATTTTCTAGATTTAATAAGGCTTACAAATGTTATGATTATTTTTTTATGGAGTTTGTGAGAAATAATATTGTTGTCTCGTATTGTGATTTTATTGAAGCTTCTGGCCAAACTTTCACTTTTTGTCTTGTAGATACTGTTGTCACATTTGAAAATTGTGTATTCATTGATAATTTTTATAAAGATTCTTATAATTCTGGAACGTGTCAAGTACAATATATTAATTGTACATCCAATGAAAACAAACAAAGCTGGAAGTCAACTTCTGTTATAAGAGAAGAAATCAAAAGGAACTTTGCATATGATAAAAGAGTTTGTAACCAAGTCCTCTGTTCCAATTTCTTAATGGTAGGTCAAGTTTATCATGATAAACTCTTGAGATCATTGTCTTTTCATATAATAGTAAATAATTATTAGTTAATTAATCTAGATTCTTTCAAATATTCCATTCAATTTATTTGACACTTTTAATTGATGTCAATTTTTTAATGAAAGATTTGATTATTCAATTGGATTTCTAAAAAAGTTTCACTTGAGTGCTTTATTTGATATTACGATATAAGTATGGCTAATATAACTTATATTCCAAGAATCATATCAGTTCTCTCAAGTTTATAATCAATTTCATCTTGATTTTCAATTTAGACACCCTTTTTATGGTTTTAATTATTTATCCAGATATCAACTTGCTTTAGAGGATGAAATATCAGCATATAGAATAATTGCTCTTTTTGTGACATTTTTTTGAATCAATTCAATTTATTGAATATCTCTCAATTTTATATCACATGTGATAGAATGAATATATTTTGAATAATGAATTAAAAACTTCCCGAGTTTCATGTAGCACCTTTGATACTTTTTCATCTTCAAACAATGGTGGAAGTATCAGCATCTCGAATGCTAAATATTTTTTTGAAATCGAAAATTGTTTATTTCTGAACAGCACATCTTCATTAGAAGGTGGTGCAATATACTTATACAATAGTCCCACTAATCTAAGTTTTAATTGTTTTTATGGATGTGCATCCAATTTAAAAACAAATGCAAAATTTGGAAATGCGATGTTAATAAAACAATCACAATCAAATCTGAACGAATCTTCTTTCTATTTATGTGCTAAAGATTATACAGTATATTCTGACAGTTGTGTTTGTATGTCTGGTGATAAATGTGTTTCGCTTTTGTGTAATGGAACTAACAATTACGGAAAATCCGGTTCTGGCCTTATAACTATTTTTGACTCAAAGCCCGATACATTCATGAAGTTTATTAAGGTTTATAAATGCTTTGATTTCTTTTTTATTGAATTTGTTCGAACAAATTACACTGCATCTTTTTGTGATTTTGTTGAAGCATCCGGTCATTCGCATTCTTATTGCGTCGATTCATGCATTGCGACATTCGAAAATTGTCTATTTATTGATTCATTAAATAAAGAAGCTTATCTAGTTGGACCATATCAAGTAAAGTTTATAAATTGTTCATCAAATGAAAATCGTCCTGATATGACTTTTACATCACTTGAAAAATATGATTATCAAACGACTTTTTCTTATAATCAAGTATCTTGTTTTCAAGTAAAATGTACAAGATTGGTTAATCCTGGTGCAATATATTATGCACCTCTCTTCGAAATTATTACAATTCAATAAAAATAACTATATCTAAACTCTTTGAAAATTACTTCATGAACAAGATTACTCATTATTTTTACTATAATGTTATAAACCATATATTTATATTATCAAATCTTCGTTTTTAGATGTGTTAAAAGCAAGGAAAATGACCAAGCTTTAGATTGAAATTCGACACTTTTTTTGAATTGTTTTAGAGCGATATTCCAAATTTTTGTCAAAACATTTTTTTCTGGATAATTTTTATGCTTTTATGGATGGAATAGTAAATGATTCTGAAGAAATAAATATCAATATGAATATGTATCAGATAATCCAACAGGATTTTGAAAAAGATACATTGAAATTCGATGGAATTTTGTTCAATCAATTATTAGAAAACTTTACATATGCAAACAAGAATAATGATGCCTGTAGTATTGATACAATGATCGAAATATTCAAATGTTTGCATTGTTTTCTTACATCTTTTACAGATAATCAATCAATAATTTCATCATTGCGAGAAAACGAACATTTTAAAGATGCAATTATTGAAAATTTAACATTATTCAATAATATTGATATGATTATAGGAAATTTAACGTTTTTGAACCTTTTAACTTCATTTGAAGATAATGAACTTATCAAATTTTACTTTGACATAGATACATTAGAAAAACTCATTGAAAGACTTGTGTGTACTTCAGAAATATACGAAAAATCAAGTTTTATTTCAAATCCAGAACCAGAAAGTTTAGATGATGACGAAATTCATATAATATGCAAATGTATTTTATTCATTATAGAAAACATTTCATTTTCTAATATTTATGAACCAGAAATAATAGAAAATATTTTATTAACTTTATTAGAGTTCTTAAATACATGTACTGATCGATTAGTTTTCACAACATTAACAGTTATAAAGACAGTTTTATCACAACTATTAAAACAACAAAAAGAACAATTAGAAACACTTGAATTATTATTTTCAAGATGTTCAAGGAAAATGATTGAAATGATTGAGTTAAATGATGATTTGAAGGTTATTTCTAGATGTCTAGGAGTACTTAGTGCCATTACAAAATACTGGAAATCGGATAATTCTTTAAAATATTTTTCAGAACTCTTGCCAATCATGTTTCGTTTATTAGAACAAATTGATACGAATGAAGAAGAATATGCTCCGGAATTTGAAGAAAATTACATGATTTGTCTACATAATTTATCAGATTTCAAAGATTTCAGAGATTCTATATTCCAAAACATTGACATGGATCTTATATGGTATAAATTTTATGGTATTAGTGAAGAATCCAATCAAAACTTCATTTTTTATCTTTGCCGAATAATTTGTATAGAAATATCTCAGATTTCCAATCTTAACATCATTCCAAAACTATTAGATGCTTATGTAGACTCCAATATTTCTATTCAAAAGTCAATATTCTTCACTATATCAAAATCATTGAATTCTCTTACAGAATTTGATAAACTTTTATTGCTTAAATCCGAATTCATTCAGAATTCAGAGCCAATGAGCGTATTATCTCCAGAAGCGGCTACAAACTACACAGAATTAGTTTTAGATCTATTAAATACTGTTACAGCTGATGAAAACTTAGTTTCTCTTTATATAGACCAATTCAAAGATCTCTCAACATTGGGTGAAATCGAAGAATTAAAAGATATCAACTCTTCATTTGAGAAAGCCGGGCTTCTAATAGAAACAATCAGAGACACATTGAAGAGTTTTAATATAGACTTGTAATTTATTTGTAAATATTATGTTTAATTTATCGAAATTTGTTTCTTCCTTCCATATTTTCATGTCAAACTATCCTACAACGCCACATTCATATTAAAATTTTTAAACCTCTATGTCTTTTGTTTATTTTTATATGATTGTATTACCAGAAATTTTATATTACGTCTCTGGAATAAAAAGATCGGCAAACCATGTTCAATCTTTGAAGTAATAATTCTACTTATCATTATAAAGTTCAAATAACTGAATAATAAAAAATTTGATTTTGATATCTCATCATAAAACTTTACTCAATCGAAAAAAAGGTAAATAATAGACAAACAGTTCCGTAATTATAAAGCAAAATTTTAGAATTACATTTAATTACGAAATAATAATAATTTTTTCATTTTGATGACGAATAAGAATAGTATGAGTAGCTACCTGATTCAGAATCAGAGTCAGAGCTAGATTTCTTAGCCTTCTTAGCATCATGTTTCTTTTCTTCCTTCTTTTCCTCTTTCTTTGGCTGCGGTTTCGGTTCTTCCTTCTTTGGCTCCGGTTTTGGCTCTTCTTTGGCCTTAACCGTTTTCGCTTTAACCGTTTCTGTAAATGGAGCCGGTTCTACTTCATTTTCAGCGTCTGAAGCTGGTGCTGATGGCTCCTTCAATATATGTCTTACCTGGATCTGTGATTCATCTGGCTTCAAACATTTCTTCTTTGAAGAAGATTTTTCTGCGATTGGATAAACTTTTGGTGCAAACTTCTTCATCATGTTCTCTACGGCCTCTTTATCAAGAGATGATAAAGAAGTTGTCATAATCCAAGCATCTGCTGGACGATCTGTATCAACTTGCCTGAGATAGGCTTCTGTAACATGTTTAGTAGCTAAATCGACATCTGATGCTGCTCCTGTAAATCCGGCGTATGTAGATTTGAATTGAACAATATTCTTTTGTAATTTCTTAGCGAAAACGTCTGATTTGTTGAGTACGAGGCAGATTGGTGTCTTTGCGAATGCTGGATCTGCTGCAATTTGTGAGAATAATGTAAGAGAGTCGTTTGCTTGAGATGAACCTGGTTCATTAGGCAAAGCTTGGCCAAAGTTGGATAATGATGCAACATATATGATTGCATCAACATCCTTGTAGTATTTGTGCCAATTCTCGCGCTGAGTCTTCTGACCACCGACTTCGATGATTTCGACTTCGTATTGGTTGAATTTGAGGGCGTGTCTGTCGAAGCTGAATGTTGGGATGCATGCTTCAAGTACTTGTTCGTTCGTAGCTTTATAGTCATTCGGTGCAAATTCTTCTGCATGGGCAATGAGGACGTCTTCGTTCTCGAAAAGATTGTCATTCTTAATAGAATAGAATGATTCTTTGAATGACTGATCCGCCCAAAGTTTTGCGATACCTGAGGCGATTTCAGATGTATAATTGTCACTTTCTGAAGGAGTAGAGCGAATTAAATGTGCTATTTTTGCGAGTTCATCGCTAAGATAGACTCCTGCCTTGTCAAGAGCCTGTAAAACGAGTTTAACGTCTGTGATTAAATTCTGTCTGATTTGTTTTGTATATATTTCGACAACTTTAGCTGGGAAAGTACCAGTGTAGATGTTATCAATTTGACGGCAGAGTGTTGTTTTGCCGCTATCTCCCGAACCAAGGACTAATACACGTAAGGTTGCCTCTTCGAATTCACCATTTGTGATTTTGACTTCAACACTGCTACTTCTAGCAACTTGTGTTGCTTTAACACCCGTTGGTTTGGTTGGAATGTCTTCTGGAGCAGATTCCGCACAGCCCATTTTTTCTAAATATCCTTTTTTGCTTTTTGAGAAAGAAAGAATTTTTTTTCTAACTCAGATTTTTTATTACTTCAATTCAAATCATTTTAAATTATAAAATGGAAGATCATGATTGTTTTGTTCTTATAATGATATTTGAATTTTGGCATCGATCATCTAATTAATTATTTATCCGAAATTTATCAAAAATTGAATGAAATTGATTTAAAATCGCGGAATATTAATAAACTTAATACCAATTTGGCCACATTGCGTTATTGATGATGCAAACTAGGGCAGATAGTTCCCCATTGGAACAATTCAGATAATTTCATCAACAGATCATGAAAATGATATTATTGTCATTTTGTAAATTTTTCAGAAATTGATAACTTTACGTGACATTTTTAAAGTTCAAGTTTAATTATCTAGCTTCGAGCTAGAAGCTGAAAGGATAAGCGTACTTTCTTCGTAATTCGACAGGATCTGCCAATGAAAAAGTTACTCAGATCAATGACTCATTTGTATTTGAATATCCCTGTATTTCAAATACAATCTGTGAACCATATATCATTCAATTCCAAAGGGGAAGATATAGAATCGAACTTTGGGGCGCCTCCGGTGGAAATGGTCGATTCGGGAACTCTCCAGATATTAGAATCAATTCTGCTGGAAACGGCTCATACGTTTCTGGGGATATCTTCTTAAAAGAGCCTGTCAAATTTTATTTATATCTAGGTGCGAAAGGTTCAGATCAATCCTCATTAGATGACTATTCCAATCAAACATCGGGCGGTTGGAATTTTTGGGGAACCGGCGGGATTGATAAGCAGGACCAGACCCAACCATCACAATATGCTCCTCCAGAAAGTGGTGCGGGTGGAGGAGGAGCCGTGGACCTTCGAATTGAGTATATCGATATAAACCTTCCCAAATTAGATGATGATGTGCTATTGAGTTCTTTGAAAAGTCATATCGCCGGATCTGGGGGTGGTTCCGTATCTGATGATGTTTCATTAGGATTTCCAGGAGGAACTATTAAAGCTCCCAACAATGGTAGATACATGTTTGGAGGCACTCAGACGCAAGGTGAATTAAGAAAAGGACAAAAAGGTATTGATTCTGTAAACAATCAAGGTGGATCAGGGGGCTGCGGAAGCGGATATCAAGGAGCATATCATATATTTAATGAAAACATGACTGGTGATGGCATCTTCCAATCCGGAGGATCAGGAGGAAGCTCATATATAAGCGGGCACCCTGACTGCATTAGTCCTCAATATCCATCAGACACAGTTGCTAACGAATCCACTCCTTTTCATGAATCGAAGTTCTATTTCACAAACACTAATATGAAAGGTGGCAATGAGTACATGCCAGATTCATTCAGTAATGATAAAATACTTGGGCATGTTGGCCATGGCGCTTGTAGAATTACATTTTTGTTCAATCCTATTTGTCAAACAGAGATGATTTGCAACATGCATAGATTTACAATCAGTTCGATCTTTCTATTTGTTTGCTTACTTTCATAATAGGAAATGCTGCAGACATTGAAGGGAAAATGGAAATTAAACCATCTAAATTTCTTCAAAATTAAATGTTTTTTTTTCTTTATAATTTTAATGATTATGTGGATTACATTATTGTTAATAGTTCACAACTCCTTATGACTTAATAGTTAAGCTTTTCTTCTCAAGTATTATCCTAAAATTCAATTCGATTAATATTCATAACGAATAATAATTACTACATCTCAAAATTTGCACACCTTGCTCGAAAGGAGTATTATTCTAAAAGCTTTACTATATATCTAAATAAAAACAAATATAATTTTATTTTTATGAAATTTTAAACGAAAAATTAATCTTTAGTAGCACATATAATGGCATTTTTCACTAATGCTTTATAATCTGAGATATATTTAATTTGATTTGAAAAGAATTTGCTACAATCACCGGCAGAGATCTCAAATGGGATAAATGTAAAGTTGTTATACTTAGTGCAAAAGGCTGTTGAATCAATAATTGCATTTCCTGAATAGCTATCAAAACATGAATTTCTAACAGTAACATCGCTGGAAAAGTAATTGGCTTCAGATTTAAGATTCCTTCCATAACAAAATTCCAAAAGCACTGTTGCACCTTCAGCAGCTCGGATATTTTCCAATTTTAAATCACCTTTCAAAGAACAATTTTGAAAATTGGAATAAGAATACTCCGAATGCCCTGTATAGGTTGCTTGAATCATTACATAATTTAATAGGGATATATCATTATAAGCTTGAATAAATCGATAATATGTATTTCCACCAGTATATGAATGATACGAACTTATATGATTAGCAATATTGTTTGAGCTATTCATCGAGTGAGAATTAGCTTCTTGACATGTTAATGCAAAAGTCCATCCATGTATCTTTGATGAATCAGTTTTTATTGAATTTTTTGAAATCGATAATAAGGTACTAGTTGAATTGTTTGTTATAATACCAATTGCCGTATAACACAAAGCAATATTATTGAAAAAGATCGAATGAGAGCATTTTGCATATGTCGTATTAATAAATGCACCACCTCCATAGTTAGTTGAGGAGCATCTATTAAAACATGAAGAAAATATCAAAACTTTGAAATTAGTTTTATTGATGCAAAGGCCACCACCATCAGTATTGGATGATATATTATAGAAAAGGGATGATTCTACGCGAATATTGAACACATTTTCATACATTTATATATTAACATCACAATGCATTTGTATGAATTGAATTTTTACAAAATTGAATGAGGGGAGCAGTTTTCAATTGTTTTGGGAAACATCATTATACCTGCGAGCTACACCAAATATTCAAATGTATCAATATCCGAAAAGATTCCCTCAAAAAAAAATCGTTCACGTTGTGGCTTCTTGAATGAATATTTCATCTAATCAGAAATAGAATTTTCATGTTAAAAACAAATGGATAGATTTATAATTTAACAACAAGATTTTTTTTCTTCTTGGAAATCATCAGGCAGCTGACCTGACTTACTATATGATACAAGTCGAGATTTTAATGTCGGATTTTCGTTTAGGCCTTTAATAATGTTCTGAAATAGAAGTTCTATACCTATGCCTGAAAGAGCACTTGTTTCTATGTATAAACATTCAAGTTGATCTGCAAGCTCTTGACCATCTGTATCATTAACTTGTCGATTCTGATTTAAGTCAATTTTATTTCCGACTAAAACAAGTAAAGGCTTTTCACCAGTAGCACGGACTTCACTAATCCAATCAGAAGCAGATGCAAAGCTTTGTCTGTTGGTAATGTCAAAAACGACAATAGCCGCATGACAATTTCTATAATACATTGGAGTAAGGCTCCTATAAAGTTCTTGTCCTGCTGTATCCCAAATATTTAATTCATAAACCTGTTTCTCAAACGAAATTGTTTTTGTAAGATATGAAGCACCAACTGTAGGAACTGCGTTTGGTAGAAAGGATGATTTAACAAATCTAGAAGCAATGCATGTTTTTCCAACTGAGCTCTGCCCTAGCAAAACAATTTTTATTGGAATGTTATCTGCGGAACTCATCGAATGTAATTTTTGAGCAAATTTTTTATTGGAGATAAAATTTTGTCAATCTCACAAAATTGATTGAGATAAATTTTGGCCATTTCCAACAAAATCATCATAGATTTCAAAGTATTCTTTAAATAAATTTGATTTGGATTTGAAGTTTTTATCGGAATGAATGATTTTATTTAATGCATAAAACACATCCTATATAATATATTTGATCTCTTTATTTGAATAGTTCTGAAACAATTTGCTGTTATTCTGTTAGTATATATGACATGGAGAAATTTCATACTTTCGGATCTTATCGTAACATTCAATAAAATGCACAGATTGAATGATTTATATTTTACAATCATTGAAAATTTTTGAAACAATTTTTTGATCTCTCAATCTAAATTTTAGCTGTTTCTACGTGCTACAGCTAGGATTTTTCAGGGTTTATCAACAATAATAGACTCAATTAAGTGGTTTCCAATCTTGTAATGATTCCAATGTATACAACATTCCTTATTTTTACGATAACCGATATTTAAAAGTGACATTCTTATGACTACTTTTTTATACAGCTCTGATAAAAAATATACTGCCGAAGAGGCAAAAGCAATGGAAAAAATCATGAAAAGTGGTTATAGAGAATCACATGCTGATGCTATTCTTAAAACAGAACTAAAATCAATGCGTCAAGTTGAAAATTATTTACAAAAGAACAGAAAGTCCGATGCAAAGCCACCAGAACCTATTCCCAAAAATACTGGGAAGCCTTACTCTGAATGGCTTCGCGAAAAAGAAAATAAACAGAAACTTAATCGCGCAAAAATATGTTTGCAGATGCGCCTCGATAGGTCTCAGGTAAGAAAGAAAAAACATGATCTATTTTTTTACAAATCTTCAATTATATTTTTCATTTTTTCATTTTCCGAAACAAAACATATATTTGTTTGTGAAAAACAGTAGCTAATATCAACTCATTTGTATTTAACTAAGATATTGACAAAAAGATAATTACAAATCCGATTGATTACTTTCAAATAAAACGAACTAAGAAACAAGCTACAAATACCTAACAATTAATTTTGCAATGAAATTATACCATAAATTCAAAAATATTTATTCGTAATCCTATTTTTCTAATTAAAGATAATTTACGAATCCCTGGATTGAACAGAAGCCAGTAGGAGAGTATCATCTACAAGTTAATTTTGTATAATTCATTATATCAATATTAATATCGAAATAATTCAAAAAGATTTATTAAAATACAGTAATAAACTCTTTGAGTATCAGTAAATATTTCGATTTTTAACTATTAAATCTTCGCATTTAATGATTTATTTTTTTTCGGTATTTTTCAACGATAAATGACTGTTTTATATTTGAATGTTTTAAGTTAAGCATTTGTTCAATTTGCTTGATATTTCGTGTATTCGTTTTAACCCTACATCAGTTTTCGTCAAATGTTTGAATAAATGTCAAGTTTATCAAAGTAGAATGCTTGACAAAAGCTAGTTATAGTGATTTGCATTTGAGTGTGTTAATTCTGAATGATTTTGCTTCAAGTGCTTTCATTAATTCCATGGACATGATTAAAATAGAGGATAAATCTTTCTAAACTTATTTGACATGATTCGACAAATCCTTTCTTACAAGAAGATGTTTGCATTGGTCAATGAATAATTTGTGACTGAGGATTTTGTTTGGATAGTACACGATCAAATTTTATCAATATTATCGACATGTGCTAATGGTATAATTTCTTGATAAAATAGATTTCGAATTTTAACTTCAGTATAGCCTTCAGAATTGGTTCGATCACAATTTGTGAGGTTGACTTTCTCTTGCGAAGATATATAATAATATCTTTTCCGGTAGGATGGAAATGGCCATTATGATTTCAGTTCGTCATCGTGCCATTTCAAATTTTTGAAAAAACTAATTAAGCAATTGTTTGAAAGAATTGCTCATATCTTGTGTAGATACGAAGATCGAAATTAAAACAAACCCGGTTGGTTCTTAATTAAATCAATTATTTCAAATTTTTGAAAACTATTCAATTTATTCCTTATGATGTATTGATATTACTCTTTTAGGTTTTATAAAAACAGAGCAATGAGATTTCAAATGTGACATTTGAATTTTGAAGGATTTACATATTACATTTTCTTTCAAATTTTATTTTCTAACCAAAACTTATTGAAAACATCTCTCTACCTTTTGCTTAAACAAATCACATTTGAGAAGTATAGGAATGATGGGTGGACACTGAATTTCGAAATATTTTTAATTGAAAAAACTGATATGAGAAAATCTTACCAAAATACCACACATATCGATTGAACATAGTAGTTTGCAATCGCCACAGGCAATTCAATATTTCAATACTATTTAGTCGGTTTTGAGAAACATTTGATTTTAAATTGTATTCTTCACCTATGCAGATTCTAGTTGATAATCCATGGCTCGAACCCTACAATAACAAAATACAGGAAAGAATGAATGATTATCTTAATGCTAAAGCTTTTATTTCCCAAAACGAAGGCTCTTTAGAAAAATTTTCTCAAGCATACAAAGAATACGGCATTCATAAAGTGGATGGAGGTATTATTTATAAAGAATGGGCTCCTAATGCCGTAGAAATCCACTTGGTTGGCGATTTTAACGATTGGAATGTCGATGATCCATACACGAAATGTGTTAAAGAGGACGTTTATGGCCATTTTAAATTATTTATACCAGATTATGAAGGAAGACCAGTCATTATGCACGATTCCAAAGTAAAATGCGTATTAAAACTCAATAATGGCGAAACTGTTTGGAGAATTCCAGCATGGATCCAATATACACGCCAAAATGAACATGATGTTGAATACAATGGTGTCTTTTGGAATCCTCCTCACAAATACGTCTTCAAAAATCCAAAACCAGGACCACTTGATGACGCATTGCTCATCTACGAAGCACATATCGGCATGGCCGGTCCTGAACATAGAGTTCATACCTATAAAGAGTTTGAAAAAAACGTTTTACCCGTTGTAAAGAAGAACGGCTACAATGCGATCCAACTGATGGGAATTATGGAACACCCATACTATGGTTCCTACGGTTACCAAGTCACAAACTTCTTCGCTGTCTCATCTCGCTTCGGTACGCCAGATGACTTGAAATCCCTCATAGATACAGCCCACTGGATGGGTATTTGTGTCTTCCTCGACCTCGTACACTCCCATGCTTCAAGAAATGTCTCTGAAGGTCTGAATTATTTTGACGGGTCAGAACATCAGTACTTCCATCCAGGCGAGCGTGGAAATCATCCTTTCTGGGACTCAAGATGCTTCGATTACGGATCATATGAAGTCAGACGCTTCTTATTATCGAATGTCAGATTTTATCTCGAAGAATACAATTTTGATGGCTTTAGATTTGACGGTGTTACATCAATCCTCTACGTTGATCATGGAAAGAAGTTCGATTACTCATCCATCAACGAATATTTCGATGATAATGTTGACAGGGACGCAATTACATATTTAATGCTCGCAAATGATATCATCCACAGCTACGATCGCAATGCCATTACAATTGCCGAAGACGTCTCCGGAATGATCGGAATTGCTCGTTCGATCAAAGACGGCGGAATCGGTTTTGATTACAGGCTCTCCATGGGCGTGCCAGATTTGTGGATCAAAATGCTGAAAGACCAATGGGATGAAGAATGGGATATGGAAAACCTTGCTAAAGAGTTATTGAACAGACCATACAAAGAAAAGACAATTGCTTATTGTGAATCACACGACCAAGCACTTGTTGGCGATAAAACAATTGCTTTTTGGCTGATGGACGCTGAAATGTACACAAACATGTCCTGTTTGAAGCCAGAAACGGTCTGTATCGCAAGAGGAATTGCTCTTCACAAACTCATTCGTTTCATTACTTTCACATTAGGTGGACAAGGATATTTGAATTTTATGGGTAATGAATTTGGTCATCCTGAATGGATTGACTTCCCTCGTGAAGGAAATAACTATTCATACCAACACTGCATCAGACAATTCGATCTTCCTGTTACTGACCACTTAAGATACAAATATCTTTTAAGATTTGACAACGCGATGCTTAGTCTTGAGCAGCGTGAACATTTCTTGTCTTCTGATAATATTAATCTTATTCTAAGTGATAATGAAAGCAAAGTTATTGCTTTCGAGCGCGGAAATCTCTTATTTGTTTTTAACTTCCATTCTACATTCTCTTACTCCGATTTCGAAGTTGGTGTCAGTCAGCCTGGTGACTACAAATGCATCCTCTCGTCAGATGATGACTGGTTTGGCGGTCACAACTGCATTGATAAAAATGTCACCCATACTTCGTTCATGGGACCATGGCAGGGATGCCCCCATAAGATTCCTTTGTATATCCCTTGCAGAACTGCATCTGTTTATAAGAAGTTTTAAGTAAATAATTTTTTCTATCTCTTTATAATCGTGTAAACATGTTTATCTTTATTCAATGTTTATATTAGAGATCTTTCTTTTAAAATAACAACAGAAATCTCCCAAATTTCAAAATATTATTTTCTCAAATTGGAGTTAGAGAAGATTTTTTTATCCAAATGTAATCTCTATTTATATGTATTTATAAATTTGACTTTAATGAAATTATCAAAATTCAATTTTTTAGAAATTTCATTAAAAATAGAAGAAAATTAATTGATATAGAACAATATGCATATATTTCTAAAAATTCGAATTTTGGATTTTTGATTTTTCACCCAGCCGTAAGACTTCAACATTTGAGAACTTTACACTGTCAGCCTGCTAATAATTGCATTTTATTTTTCATTGTTTTAGTCTCTTTATCATAAGGATATTCAATATTAATAAAAACTTAGGTTCAAAATCGATTAGTTCCGAATTTGCCGTCAAACTGACAAGTAAAATATTTTCAAGATTTTTTCAAATTATTAGTGATTTACTATCTACATGCCAATGCAATTCTATTTTGATGCATGAAAATATCTAGAATTACAATTGGCAAAATCGCGTCAACTTGACTTTGTAAATAAAAAATATTTTTTCATAATAAAAGTGACTTGGCAATTGACATGTAAATAAAGCTCCACTATCTAAATTTAAGAATATTGCTTAATTCAAGTTTAATAGATATATCTCAGACTTTGATATCTATTTTCATCAACTTTAGCCCAAATCATATGCTATTGACTATGATATTTAACGGCGTGCAGCACCGATATTATATACATAATAATGACACATAATCAAATAGGTATAAATTTAGTTTCCAAAAATATTCAAGTTCTTGCTGCACTAGAAGGGGATAAATGCATTATTGCTTTGCAAAACCATCAAATTGAAACGTCAATGAATGTTGCCGTATTAATCAGTGAAAGTATTCAACAAATCCATTTGACTGATCTAGCTACAAGGAAGTTCAGTTTTGATATTCGAATAAGTCATACTGCGTTTGAACTTTTTAAAAATTACATCAGAACAGGAGTTTTAAAAGCCAAAGTTGATAAGAAGACATTTGATGACCTATCAAGGATAGGTGAAACTCTTGGGATAAAAAACTTAAGAAAATAAGTCAAATTAATACGAAAATAGAAGATTTATCAATTAAAAACATATCTTCGCTTATTGAAAAGGATAATCTGTATAATCATGCTGAGGAAATCGAATATATAGCAAGCCATTTCTACTCATACAATCTCAACGATTTAATTCCTTGCTCAATCAATTTAGGCTTTGACTTCGTTGAATACCTTTTACTTTGCCAAAAGCTAGTTGTTAATAGTGAAGATCAATTATTAAAATACATAATTGGCCTTTCAAAGGTAAAACCAGAATTCATCCGTCTTTTCAAAGATATACATCTTGAATATGTTTCAAAGTTGTGCATTTCTGAATTCTGCGACTTCGTAGATGGCCTTGTTTCCAATGAATTCGATCCCATTTGGAATTGTTTGAAAAAGCGTTTAAATGCAGATCTTTCTAAACTAACACGATATCCACGAAATACTCCAATCAAAGGAAGTCAAACTTCTATGACACAAAATAAAAAATATGAAATTGAATGTTCTTCGGATCTTAAAAAATCAGAACTTGACCAAATTAACAATTTCGAATTACCTGATAGAGATGTACAGACAGAGGATGAAGAAAATTCTTGGTTTAAGTTCAAAATTAAAGATGGTTACTTTATTCCTGAAAAATATGAAATAGTTTCAAGATGTTCTCGCACAAACCAAGATTATTGTCTTCAAAGCTGGCGTTTGGAAGGCAAAACTATAGATGGAGAATGGATAATAATTGATGAAGTGGAAAACAATCCTTTATCACTAAATCAAACATTTAAGAAAGATATTGATATTGAAGGCAAATTTAAATGCTTTAAGATAACGCAAATTGGTACAAATACTTACGGAAATTATTATTTCGGTCTTCAGACGTTTGATGTAAAAGGCCAATACTTTGAATTGAATTAACACATGGTCAATGAATTAGATTTATATATAACTGATGATGTTATGTTTTTTTCCAATAATTTTCTTTTGTTTCTCATGAAAATACAAAAAATCAAACATTATATAAATTTAATGAAGGAACCTGATGGATTTATGATCGAGACAGGGGATTCTGCTTATGTAACTCTAAATTTCATCTTGAAATTTCTTATTAATCATAATTTGAGGTAATATATAATAGGGAACATTGTTTGTGAAGCATAGGGATTTAAAATCAAATAAATTATTAACTCGATATCTTAATTTTTGTTTATAAAAAAATTATCGAAAAAATAATCATACCAAATACTTGATCTGAGGTTGAATTTCTTGGAAGTGTTTGAATCCAATTCAATTAAATAAAGATTTGTATATTTATCTGTCTTTGGATTTGGTAATTAAAGATTGAGATTACAGAACGTTTGTCAAATGATAATATATGAGCAATATTATTAAATGTTATTCGAACAAATGCTGGTTATTTAAATAGAATAGCAAAGTGAACGAATGTTAACAGTATATGCAAATGAACAATATAAACCTTATATGTAATCAATTAATTAGAATTTATAACAGACAACAAGAGAGTTTTATGAGGTATCGAAAATAATTTTCTTATCAGAATCGCGATCATATAGTTTTTAACATGCATCCTAACTTCATGATCTGAATAATGCATCATTCATTGCTTATTAAACATAGAGCAGATAAGAATTTTGAATACTATTGATAAATCGGTTTTATAATTTAAATTGAATAGTAATTTTTGTCACGAAAAATTTTCGTTCAGTAAATATTGACTGAATATTAATTGTATTAAATTTGGTAATGATTTGAAAAAATTCGAAATTGAAGTTTAATTTTTGAAGTTATGTTATACCTAGGAATGATCAAACGAATTATTCCATAACATGTATAAAATCTCTCACAATCTATTTAAGAGGATTGTCATTTTATTTGAGTTTGAACCGTAAAATCTGTCAAAAAAAATTTCCGATCAAGTATAAAAATCATCTAGTATTAATTCAAACAATGTTTTATATCTTCGACAAATTTGAATTGAGAATGATTTGAATAGTATTCAATATATTAATTTTTTTTATTTTTTTATCTTCCCGAATGAAAATCATTTTATGATAATAGTACAATCAAGAATTTCTATTTTTATTAAAATTTTATCAATACATTCAAACTCGAATTTCAATTTATCAATCTGTTTCCCTTTTTTGAGCCACCGAAAATATTTGATTCATAACTATATTATAATGAAACTTTTCAACTTCTTCAATGACATTTGGCTTTTGATGAAGCAAATTTTTCAGAACAATTTTATATTTTTATTTGTTGATTATTTCATTTATATCACAATCATCTCCAAGTAATTTTGAGATTAGAAAATTTCAATTACCAATTTAAATTCTAAACACTCTCAAAAATCAAGAAAATTCATTGATGATTCAAATTTTTTCACAGTCAATTAGCGTAAACATATTTTATTGGCCTATATCAAGTTAAGTTATAATCAGATTCTGTCAAAATCAAATTCAAATAATTGAAAACATTTCATTTTTCTCAAAATGGAAGCTATATCTAATATCCTTCATCAATATGGATACGAATTCGTGAAGGTTCTGTATAATGGACATTCCTCTCAGATACTTCTTATCAAATGCCTGAATTATCACCAAACTTACATTTGCAAAGTTACTCATGACAACCCCAAAGATAGATCTATCAACGAATCTTATAGCAGAGAAGTCGATGCATTGCTTGCTTTGGACCATCCCAACATTGTTCGCATTTTTGACGCATTTAGGAAAGATTTATACCTCTTTTTAATAATTGAGTATTGTAGCCAGGGAACGTTAAATCAATTCATTGGCTCAACACAAAAATTACGTGATACACAACTCATGACTTATGCGCGTGACCTTATCAGTGCCCTCTGTGCAATGCATTCAAGAGGATATTCTCATGGAAACATCCAGCCTTCAAATATTTTACTGGATGAAACAGGATCTATCAAACTACGTGATTTTGGTTCAGCACGCGGCACATCTTCTGTAGAAACTGACCAAAATTTAATCGTAAAATTTTATTCTGCTCCAGAAATATCGTATTCATCAATTTACGATCCATTTAAAGCAGATGTATGGTCACTTGGAGTTACTCTGTACTCAATTGCTTCTGGAAGATCAGTTTTCAGTTCAAAGAATATCAACTACTGTATTCATGAGCTTAGAAATGGACGAGATCATTTAATTTACATTTCACGAACAATGAGGACTGTAATAAACGCTTGCTTGACTAAAAATCCGGCTGAAAGACCTACAATTTACGAAGTAAAGCGAATGCTAGAAACTGTCCGCTTATCAAAGAGAGCATTATGCAACTCCCGTATTCAATCTGGCGTTTTGGCATCAAGTGCCAAGTCATCACTGACAGATACTGCCAAATTTATTGCTCAAAAGAATAGGAATAGCTATTCTGGCTGGTAAGTTGTTGCTATTTGTTTGTAAATGTATTTTTTTTCCAATTTCTTCTTTTTTTTTCGCCTAATTGCTTTACTAATATGATAAGGATTCTCTAAATTCGGTTCTATTAGTATTGAAGAAGATATGTACGCGATAGTGTGTTTGATTGTACAATACTGATCAAATTTTTTCGAAGTAATTTTTTGGTCTCAATCAAATATTCAAGATGCAAATGATATAAGGACGCAGTGTTGTCCCCCTTCATGCCTATTGGGTCACCTCAAGTCGAATGCCTTCTTAAACCGCTCCCTATATAATTATAATACAAAATAAGTGTTTATGATCTACTTAAATTAATTAAACATTCAAGAGAAAAATTAAATGAAAGAAGATCTTCAAAAACAAGTTTTTTCTTATTTTTACTTCTAAATAAAATAAGTTCAAATGAAAATGGAAATTCTGCTTCACATTTTCCTAATGAAAGTAATGAAAGTGTAAGATCAAAAGAACTATTTCGCATTTCATTTGTATAAACTGAAGCATCATAACTACTTGCAGTCAAAACATCTCCAGTACAGTTTATAACTGTTATAATACCACGATAATCTGCACTAAAAGTATTATCTGCTTTGTTTTTTAAGAAAATACATTCTGAAACAGTAACATTTGATGAATAAGAAGAATGAATAAGACCTAAATAATAATCACCAATATAACATGAGTTGTTTCTGAATAAAGATCTTTTCAAAAATGAATCAGGTGTTTCATAATGACACATGCAAACTAAATCTGATTCATGATTATCATTAGAAATGAAACAACAATAGTTAATATTAACTGGACTATTTTCAAAACAATAACCAGCACAGTCTTGACATCTTGTTTTAGTGTTGTTTGTAGAAATTAGACTTTGTAATCCATTGTAATGAAATATACTGGAATATCCAGTGTTATCATGACCGCATTGATAGAGAGAACTTAAATTTACAACATTTTTGTTTGTTTTTGTTTTAACATGTGTGTATGAATGTTTTCCATTGCCTGGTGTGTAGCATTTAAATGAACAGAATCGGTCTTGAACAATAGAACTAGAACATGAGAAGTAGATGCAGCCACCGTCTCCTGAAGAGCGAGTAATATTACTGTATGTACAGATAGAATGGAGTAATTTGATAGAATCCTTTGCGCAATTAATAACATTGTCGGAAAAATCTTTGAAATCGGAAGAAAGTAAGAAAAAGTTTGAAGAAATAGTTGGTTTTTTGTTATCTGTGATATCAGTATAGTCTTGTGTTGGCTGGCCAAAGTATTCTTCCCATATCTCGCTCGGAACTCCAGCCTCATTGAAAGCTAGAGTTGAGCAAAGATTTTGGAGAAAAAAAAAATTAAAAAAATTAAAAAAATGGAGGAACTTCCCTTTTTTGTACATCGTTGTATAATTGAAATATCCTCTGAGAGTAGTTTTCATAACTCTCACATACATACGTATATCTGAGGAAAAGATAATCAAGCGAAAATTATGTTATTATTCCAAGGAAATAAAAATTAATTGATACAGAATTCCAACCACCAAACTTCAAATCCACAAAATTCATGTACATCGCAAACATTGTCACACATACTTCTTATAAACTTTAACTACGTTTCTCAGCAACAAATAACTTTTCGAATTCTATGTGATTATGAATCAAATCGATACGAAAAGCTTTTTCCACTGCGAAATTAATGACCAGAGCGATGTTTTGTCTAATGTTCAAATTCAGTAGAAAGCGGAAAAAAAGAAACTACTCAACACAAATGGATAAACTCACAGAAGCTTGTTTATCTCATTGTAGTTGATATGTTTATTACGCTTGCTTCTTTAATACTTCAAAACACAAATCCAACTCAACAATATTCATATTTCAGCGTAATATTTCGAATTTTGATAAATCATCATAGAATGAAATACGTAATAAAAATCTTTTTGTTATGGAAACGGCCATAATCATTCAAGAGCCTTGAGAATGAAATTGATCAATCGAACAACAATGTGTATTCTTAAGTTTGTTTCTCTTTCTGTTTAAACTCTAAAACATATTCTTGAGAATGAAATGTAAAAGATACTAATTTACTGAATAGAAACAAGTAAATGAGTGTTTAATTGTATTTTTCTTTTAAATTTTTGAAAATCAGAAAATTCAAGATCAAAAATAGCAAAACAATGAGTAATAGTGTGTCCAAAATGTAATATTAACATATTATGATAGTTTTAATATTGAATTTTGAATGAAACATCCTTTTGTTAGCGAAAATAAGTTAAAACACACAAAATGTTGTGTTTATATAATTATGAAGACAATGTTTTGTATCGATATCATGTGATAACTAATAAATGATCAACAAATACTTATACGCGGCGAGTGACCAAAATTGATCAAATAAAAATAATGAATATTCTATAATTTTGTGTTAATAATATCTCTTATATGCATAAAATTATATAGTTCAAGAGAAAAATGGTGAATTTAATTTTACTCCTTGATATATCTTGACTTTAAACGCATACTTTTATTCTATTCATTAAATCCATTCTAGTTTGTTAAGGTAATAACTGCACAACCGGAATACTTGAAATACAATAGTTTTGAGTTAGGAAAATTTTGAAAAGAAATTTTTGATAAAAACGATAAAAAGTCAAATTATAAAACAGAATCACTATACTGGAACAAAATAAACTTTGAAATTTTCATATACAACGTCGGTTATCAAATTTTATAACAATAATTATATATTAATCAACAAATCAATTTGTATGATATACTCACAAAGAAAAATTTTGAATAACTCTAAACGCTTTATGTTAAGTGTATCGGAATAAATTAAATATTTTATTAATTATATCTAATAGAGCAAGTTATCTGATAAAAGATTTGAAAAAGCTGTTTAATTAAGCTTTCAAAAAGTGGCTTAGAAATCAACTAAATTTGATTACTTACGCAGTTATAGTTAGCATAATTTTGAATTTGGATGCGGCAGACTATTAAGAGCACATGATGATTGTGCCAACGATATCTTGAAAAACAAATTTTGAATACAAACCGATCGTTTAATCAATAAAAAAAATCGAATGAAGCAACAACCTGCAATACTCAGTAGTCGACTTCCTAAGCGAGGAAATCACGGACATCAAAAGAAACTTACTCCTGTCACTAGTGACACAAACTTACCTGTCTTTTGTTTTCCAACTTTAGATTCCTTATTAAGTCAAGATAAAGGCGTATCGATCGATTCATCGAGAAAAAACGCAGTAAAATCACCTTATGAATTGCAAGACAATCAATATATTTTTAATAATCCAGGATTGTATAATGACAGATATATCAAAACAGCAATTAATTCGCCCCGAATTTCCAAATCTCCACCGCCTAGGCCAGTCCAAAATAGTTTTATTCCTTCATCTGATTCGTCAAATCAGATATCAATCGAAAATTTTAACCCTTATGCATTCCCTAACTTCACAGAACCTGCAACTTTAGAAGCAATGAAGAATCTCCACGTTAAACCTTCAGATTTATACTATAAAATTAACGCTTCAGACGAAATCAAAACGATTGTAAATTCTACAATTATATCAGTTAAAAAAGAACGCGAAAGAATTCTTGCATGTAAGACGAGTAATTTCCACGTAAAATCTCGTAACCTTTCGCCGCCAACTCGAAAACCTGTTCAAGAGACTTTTGGAAGTAATAATTACTTGTACGGATTCTTCCCATGCAGTAATAAGGTAAACGGTAGTTTGCTCGATCCGGATCGCTTAAAAGGTCAAAATGCGGGTACAAAATTTTCATCAAGGAAATGAATACTGTTTTTATTAATTTTTGTTTGTCGTTATAGATAAATTAAATATGTATGACTTTTCTATATGCGACTTCTTTCGTTTTGATGATATGAAAAAATCATATGGTTCATTTACAATCCTTTTGTTTGTATTTAACTCTGCAATCCTATACTCATTTGTAAATTCCTAGTGATTCGTTTCATTAATGAGAAACAATTAATATGATATTTAAAATATAGTATTTAGGCATAATTAATAAGCTAGTGTGATTTCAATTTAGCAATACATTACATTTTTCATCAATTATTTTGTAAAAAAGCTAATAATTTTCTGGACTTCAAATATTTACCTTAAATAAAGGGTTAATATATAGATAAGATTGCTATTTGGTTTCAAATGGAACTTGATAACTGATGATCTGAACATCTAATCGTTTTGAATGAATTCTTTGCTATTCAGGAATGGAACAATTTAATAAAATGAATAGAAAGCCTTATGGTAGATTCATTTAGAAGCAATATCAAGAAATATGCCTATTCAGTAAAGGAACTCATATTTTTTTCTAGATTTTTGTCTTTTCAACATAATATTCAACGATAAAATCAGATTTTGATATCCAAAACATGTGTATCCATACTTTAATTGGCATACTTAATCTCGTTATGCCATTAATGTAAGCCTATCGGCAAAATTTAGATTGGTCTGACAATCGATTTTTCAAACGATGATTGAACTTCAAAAAATTAGCATATTCTTAGTGTGAACACTTCAAATTAATCCCAAAATTCCGAAAATGAACACTTCTTCTGATGGCATAAATTTATCCTCTCAAATTCATTTTTTTCTTTCGGAGAATGGTTTATTGTGGACCTCTTCTTCTTGAAGCTCTAGTAATTATGCTTGGTGCCCTAACATTTGGCTACGTCCTGGGCTACCCATCACCAGTTGTTCCTGTAATTCAAAAAGATTTTAATTTAACTGACTTCCAAGCTACCATTTTCAACTCAATTTCATCACTTATTGCTATCGTTGGCCCATTCTGCTCTCACCTTCTTCTCAAATTCTTTGGCCGTCGTGTAACAGCTTTCATTATTTCCGTTGTTGGTGCAATTTTCTGGGGCTTATTGCTTTTAATGACAAAGAAGTTGTTCTGGCTCGGTGTTGTCATTCGTGCTTTCCTCGGATCAGTCATGGGAGCTTATTCTTCCATTGTTCCAATGTATATTGTCGAAATTGCGCCAAAGGATCACACAGCTTTCTTCGGAACATTAAACAATCTTGGCATTGCCATCGGTCTCGTCATTGTTTACCTGTGCGGCAACTGGTTGAACTGGCGTGAGTTAACAATCATTGGTGGCGGTATTTGCGCACTGAATGGTTTACTTATTTGGTTTGTCAGAGAGTCACCAGCCGTTTCAGACAAGGAAGAAACCAACGAAGAATCAGTTTTCCAGAAGAAATACGCCAAAGGTCTTATTGTTGGCATCGCTCTTATGTTCTTCCAGCAATTCTGCGGTATCAACGGTATCCTTACAAACCTTACAACATTATTCAACAACGCAGGCATCAAAGTCGATTCCGGTATCGCATCAGCCATTGCCTGCAGCGCCCAGATCATTACAATCTTCCTCTCCTCATTGTTCGTTGAGTGGGCCGGCAGAAGAGTTGCTTGGTGCACAAGTGCTGGTGGCCTTGTTGTTTTCTCATTGTTATATGGATTCTCAGTCAAATACAAATGGGGACAAATTGCTCCAGTCGCTGCCATCTTCGGATTCCTCTTCTTCTTCGGTCTCGGCACTGGTCCTGTCGCGTGGTACATTGTTCCAGAACTTTTCCCATCTGCTGTTAGATCGGCTGCAACAAGTATTGCATCATCAGCAAACTGGTTGTGTGCTTTCACTGTCATCCAGATCTTCACTCCATTGGATAAAGCAATCGGAACATTCTGGTCTATCTCAATCTTCGCTTTCATCTCTGTATTCTCATTCTTGTTCGGCTTGTTCTACGTCACAGAACCAAATAAAGCCGACGATGGATTGTACAGCGCTCTTAACTAAACATATATTCTATATTAGTTAGATTTTAATAAAAAAAATCATCATTTAGTGATTAAATTTTGTTAAAAAATTCAGTGCTTCAGATAATGAGAATGAAGCGCTTAATGCTTTCTTTATTTTGAGGACTTTCTAATTTGATCAAAGAAATCCTCAAAATTGTGATGCCCAAATAAGGGAATATTTTACTTGACTACCTTTTCCTCAGATATACGTATGTATGTGAGAGTTATGAAAACAATTCTCGGAGGATATTTCAATTATACAACGATGTACAAAAAAGGGAAGTTCCTCCATTTTTTTAATTTTTTTAATTTTTTTTTCTCCAAAATCTTTGCTCAACTCTAGCTTTCAATGAGGCTGGAGTTCCGAGCGAGATATGGGAAGAATACTTTGGCCAGCCAACACAAGACTATACTGATATCACAGATAACAAAAAACCAACTATTTCTTCAAACTTTTTCTTACTTTCTTCCGATTTCAAAGATTTTTCCGACAATGTTATTAATTGCGCAAAGGATTCTATCAAATTACTCCATTCTATCTGTACATACAGTAATATTACTCGCTCTTCAGGAGACGGTGGCTGCATCTACTTCTCATGTTCTAGTTCTATTGTTCAAGACCGATTCTGTTCATTTAAATGCTACACACCAGGCAATGGAAAACATTCATACACAGATGTTCAAACAAATACAAACAAAAATCTTGTAAATTTAAGTTCTCTCTATCAATGCGGTCATGATTACACTGGATTTTCCAGTATATATCATAACTACGGATTACAAAGTCTAATTTCTACAAACAACACTAAAACAAGATGTGAAAGCTGTGCTGGTTATTCTTTTTATTATAGTCCAGTTAATATTAACTATTGTTGTTTCATTTCTAATGATAATCATGAATCAGATTTAGTTTGCATGTGTCATTATGAAACACCTGATTCATTTTTGAAAAGATCTTTATTCAGAAACAACTCATGTTATACTAGTAATTATTATTTAGGTCTTATTCATTCTTCTTATTCATCAAATGTTACTGTTTCAGAATGTATTTTCTTAAAAAACAAAGCAGATAATACTTTTAGTGCAGATTATCGTGGTATTATAACAGTTATAAACTGTACTGGAGATGTTTTGACTGCAAGTAGTTATGATGCTTCAGTTTATACAAATGAAATGCGAAATAGTTCTTTTGATCTTACACTTTCATTACTTTCATTAGGAAAATGTGAAGCAGAATTTCCATTTTCATTTGAACTTATTTTATTTAGAAGTAAAAATAAGAAAAACTTTGTTTTTGAAGATCTTCTTTCATTTAATTTTTCTCTTGAATGTTTAATTAATTTAAGTAGATCATAAACACTTATTTTTACAAACATCATGAATTTAAAGTGTTTTCTTAACTATTTAAGGCTATTATATTGAGAACTAGAATCTGGATAATCCATACATTCGAGTTCTAATAAGGTTAATTTTGTGATGTTTACATTATCGTTATAGGGCACCCTTAAAATTTATGAGAAAAATAAGTATTATTACATTATATTTTATTCAAGCTTTCTGTTTTTGTGAGTGTTAATGTATAGAATGTAGATAAGAACTAAAATTAAAGAGAGTAAAGAAGAAATTAACAATAAATAAAAGTTTCTTCTTGGATCAGATCTGATATCTTGAATATTTGGTATTAATATTGGTTGAGACCAAGAAACAGCATCAAAAGAGACTGAAGCAACAAACTCGTTTGTAATATCAATTGGTATTGTACAATTAATCACACCATTACGTGCATAATCTGCTTCAATTATAATGTTACCGATTTTACAGAATCCTCGTTCGATATGAACGTGGTCAATAACACCCATGTAACGAAATGCAAGTTTATCGCCTTTTCTGAAATATCTGATAGAATTTGAGTAATAGCCGATTACATCTGGTACAGGAGGAGAACATTTTGTGATGCCATCACCGATATATCCGGGACTACATTTACAATAACCTGGATAATCGCAAAAAGCATTAACTAAACATGATTTGAAACATTTCCAACATCCTCTATAAGTGGCTGGTTCATCTCCAAAATATCCCCAATCACAAACAACAATTCCTTTCTCATTTAGGTGCGTATGCGGTGGGAGTGATTGATCACTAAGATCTTCTAATTTGAGTTGATCAGCTTTAGCACCATGATGATGAACCAAAGTTTTTTTTTCTTTTTTTTTTACAAGACCAAATATTTTCTTTTTATCGTCTGAAATATTTATCAGAAATTATTTCATGGTGCAAAACGGCAAAAATCATTTGTCACTTTTCCAGTTTTAAATTTTTTTCTAAAAAAAGTCATGAATAGACAAATTGATAGCATTAGATTTAGAATTCAACGTGAACTTACTATTATGGATGACGAAATCGAGCGATTTAGGAATTTAAGCAATTCTTATACATCAAAAATAAACGAATTAAAAGATAAAATCAATATAATCGATCAACAATGCGGATTAATCGATCAAGAACTCAAAGGAAAGAAATTACGTATTGAATCTGCTTTTGGAACATTATCTTCTCGTCAAAATTCTATAAAAACACTCGAAATTGCCGAATTACAAAAAATTCATGATCAAAACATTAGATTTATGCAGGATGCATTTCAGCAACGAATGACAGAAATAAATCAAAAGTATTACATGCAAACAAATGCTAAAATTGCATCAATTCAAAAACGTATCAATAAATTAACGGAATTTAATAAAAGCTTAACAAAAAGACTTACTAGTTTATCAAAAGAAGAGCTTCGCGTAAATACTGTTAATGAAGGAGACGTAATTTTTGAAGCAAGAAAACAAGAGCTACAAAAGACTCTTATTCAGCTTGGAAATGAAAGGCACGAGAATCTACGTCAAAACAAGATGAAATTATCCAAATGTATTGATGAATTAGAGCACAATGAAAATCAATTTAGATTTTTACAGAAAGAAAAGCTTACAACAATCACTAGTATGGACTACAGATATCAGCTTGAACTTAAGAATGTTGAACATCATCATCGATCTAAAATGGAAATTCTACAAAAGAAATTAAGAAATATTGAAAGTTTTCTTAGAAGTAAAGAAAGCGTTATTGAAAGTGTTAAAATTCAAGGAAGTTTTTATGTTACTCAGGCTATGAATGACTTCAATAATCTTAAAAATAATCCTAAAGTAATAGATAACGATGATGAGCCATCATTTGAAGACCAGACAGTTAATTTATTATCCCAATTAGAAAAGAAGAGGAAAATACTCTCTGAAAGAGAAGTTGTTCTTCAAAATTCACGTCAAAATAACATGAATCTAAAACGACAGCTTGCGGAGCTTAAACATCAAGCAAAATTCGGAGTTCATTGATTTTGTTAATAAATATTGTGTTTTATTTGTATGTTTCTTTTAATTCAAAATTCATTTTTTATGATTTTAATTAACAATCGTCATAAATCTCTGGAAAAACAATAGACGTCTAGGGTATATCTTCAATTTAAGATATTAAAAGTCAAATTCTGAATTTATAATATAAATTAATAATATCTATATTTTGTACATTACTGAGAGCAGAGCAAAACTTTCTTTGCAAATTTTGCTCCGCTCTCAATAATTGACGAGATATCCAAATTACTCTTTCAAAATTGACAATAATTTGTTATATTATGAAGCATTTGCTGCTATGCTAAAACTGTATTCAATGAATAAAGTTTTGGTAATTACTTAATTTCTTGCAAAACCTTGAATTTTATAAAAAATTTAATTAAATTTTTTCAAAAATCATCAATTTTTTTTTATGAAAACCAAGTATATGAAATAATTCTTAAACAGTATATTTTATTCATAGTATTTTCAAGCTCCTTTAACAAAAACTTGGCCGTTCCAATCAACACGGCCTCCGATATCAATAACAATAGCTTTTTCTGGCTCTGCGTGGTCCATGAAGATTTGTAAATCAGTTTTTTCAGTTTCAAAACCAAGAGGGAACGTTCCATAGTGCATTGGAACAACTCTCACTGGTTCTAAGAGTTTGGCCATCTCCCGTGTGTCCTTTCCATCCATGTGTACAGCTCTCATCATCTCTGGTGGATTCTGTGGTCCAATGCCTACAATGAAAAGATCTGGACCCCTTCCAAGAGTTTCCTTTATTTCTTTGAAGTGTGGGCCAATGGCTGTGTCTCCTGTGTAATAGATACTGCAGTTTCCTGATGTAATCATCCAGCTGCACCAAAGAGTTCGATTTTGGTCATTTCCCCAGCGAGCGCTTCCGTGATGAGATGGAAAACATGTAAAATCGATATCATCTACAACTAAATGTGTTCTCCAATCGAACTCTGTAACGTTTTTGATGCCCCAATCGACCATCATCTTTCCTACGTTTAAAGGAGCAAAGAACTTGCAATCAGGATTCAGTTGGGCCAATTTTTTGATGGAATATTTGTTCAAATGGTCCCAATGGCAATGGCTGACTAAAACAAATGAAATTTTTGGTAATTTTTCAATTTCGCATGCAGGAGGTGTTTGCCTTTTGATTGTTCCTGGTATAGGAGATGCGTATTTGTCGAAAATTGGATCTGTCAGCATAAATTTGTCATTTATTTGAATTAAATTTGTGGCATGACCTATCCACCAATCGCGGATACCATTTCCAAGTTCGAAATCAGGTGTTGGGTCACGATGAGGTAATGCTGTTGTAACATCTCTGGATGTAAAGAATTTTATTGTTGTTTTAAAGCCAGTTCCACGCATTTCTGGAGCCTGTGGTTCTCCATCATTATTAATAAAGTGATCTTCTTTATGATGTAATGTGTTATATGTGCTTAATTGCTCTGGAGAAAGTCCGCAATTCGAGAAGAAAGTCATTGACACTTTTATATCTCTTACATCTAAATTTTTGCATTAAAACTAATGTAGATGTATTTAACTGTTCATAGAAGTCTTATGCTCAAACCGATTGGACAATATCTGAACAATTTATGCAAATTTTATACATTAATTGATCTTTACGCTAATCAGTATATCAGGATTTTCTCACAATATAAAATAACTTTCTAATGTCAAGTCAATCAATTTCATATTCAAGAATTAAATTTCGAATATTTGATAATGGCACTTTGGTTTAGTAATAACACCAAATAATACCAAAGATTAGGTAACAGAAAGATAAATAGATAAGAATTTGCAAAGATTTAGTTTAAAACAAAAAAAAATTAAAAATTAAATTAATTCTTCTTCTTTTCAATGAGATAAGTAACTACAGGGCCATTCTTAATTTCGACTTCACCTCTCTCTTTGATATCAAAAGGTCCGCCGTAAATCAATTCATAGACAGCTCTGCTTACGTGAACTTTCATTGGAACACCGTGATGTTCCATTTGTTGGGCCATGTTAATTGCAGGGCCAAGTATTTCGAATGTTGGCTTATCTGTTCCCAAAACACCAGCAACAATAGGACCACCAGTGTTTACACCAACTCTTATCTGCAATTTCTGGTTGATTTCTTCATTGACTCTTTCCAAACCTTCGATACATTCCAAACCGAATTCAACGACATCTTTTGCATGCAAAGCAGGTTGATTAACATCAGCAAAGATACCTCCTGCTCCCATATAACAATCACCGATGCATTTAATCTTTGTCATTGTTGTATGCATGGCACAAATTGAGTCGTATTCTTTGAAAATTCTGTTCAAAGCCGCCATAACAGTTGATGCAGGCAAACTTCCACACCAAGGAGTAAAACTAACGATATCCATGAATACAACAGTAATACTTTGTACTGCGAAGTTGATATTCTTTTCTCCGGCTTGAACTCTTACAACTAACCTCGGTGGCAAAATTGATGCTAACATTCTGTCACTTTTTGTACGTTCATCTTGAATCAATATATTGTACATCACTGTTTGTGTGTCATCTCTCATTGTAACAATAATGTTTTGGTTCAAAACAGTGAATGTAAGATTGACATGGACTTCGCTTTCATCCTTCTTCTTGTAGACTTGGCAAACTTCGAAATCATCTTCACTTGTCAATTGTTTCTTTGTTTCGATCAAAGAGAATGGATTTCCATTTCTAAAATCATTTCCAAATTCAATAACAGAATGATTAACAATATCTTCGTTTTTGATACCGAAAATTCTCTCAATTGAATTGTTAGAAGATAAAATTTTTCCTGTCATATCCAACATCAAAATTGCATCAGGCATATCTTTAACTAAAACTTCATAAAACTCTGCATCACCTGTTGATGTTTCGTTCCTTCTGTCTTTGAAGTTTCCTGCTAAAAGCTGTGCCAAATATGGGTTAGTTATAACAATATTTCCTGGACAATGCAATAACAATCTCAAAGCAAATTTTTGACGATTTTCAGAACTACTTAAAAGTCCCAAAATTACTGCTTCGAAAATTAAACCAACAAACAAAATAGCGAAAGCACCTCCTATGATTGCTGGCTTATCCTTGTTCAAAGAGACAGTCATTTTCGGTACAATCTTAGAGAACAAATCGTTATAATACATTTCAAACAAATGTATAATATGGGCATGCCACAATTGAGTTAATCTTGTGTCATTTGCGTATATAGGAATCTTTTCATTCTTATATTTAAAGATCATTGATTTGATCTCCGTTTGTACGTAAGTTGTCAACAAATCAGGATTCCAACATCTGTAGACATCATGAGAATTCTTTGGATTTTCTCCAAAAACGCAATGTTCAGGAGGAACTCCTGCTAATTCTTCACTTGTCATAATAGAGAAAGCTTGTACATTTAATGTGGAATTTCCGTATCTAACAGCTTTATAATTAATTATACCGTTATTCTGCCATTCTTGAGCAATATTTAATAGTTGTTCTCCATTATATCTTGCAACTCCATAACCAGAAAAATGACAAGCAGCCAAATTCATTGCAACAACACTACTGAACTCAAACATATAAGCAGCCATCATGTAATCGATTTGTGGACTACTTAATGTCATGGCTTTTCCGATTTTGATAATAAAACTGCCTAAAACACATATGGAAGCAATATTTGTTAACATCAAAAACGTGACACAAACGATAATTGTTATTGAATCTGATGTTGAAGAAGAATCAGATTCACTTGATGTTGAAAATATTTTGAGCATGTTTTCTTCTTGTTTGTTGAGTTCGTCGTCTTTCGTTGTAGAATTGATAGACTTCGAATTATTTGATTCATCTTTCTTTAGTACTTTAAATGAATCAGCAACACGACTTACAACATATTTAGGAAGACTTGCAATTGCTCTGTAAATTGCCATTTTATCATGTGCAATTTCTTTGACAATGAAATAAGCGGCAATCATATAAACAATGAAAATAAATGCAGATCCAAATATCATAATATATTTCGTTAATTCGATTAATGAATCATCAGTTTCGATGATATATTTTGTCAAATATTTCAAAGCTGCACTTAAATCTTCAGTCAAAACTCTTGTATTTGAAATAATTGTGACAATTTCTCTTTCACTCAATGTTCTGTTTTCGAAATGATCTTTTTTAAGAAGATCTGTAACTAAAACACTGAACTGCATAATGCCATGTTGTACAGATACTTGTTCTGTTGTTCCTGGCTGTGTTGGATCATTTGTATAAGTTGTGAATTTCACGTCATTCTTATACATGTATCCTCTAACTTTTTCCATGTTTTCATTACCTGGTTTGAATGACATCACTTCACTCAAATCTTGTGTTCTTTGTACTAATAAATCTGTAACATATTTGAGTTGTTTTCTTGTATCAGCTGTTCCTCCAAAATGAACAGGAGCAGGTTCATCATATAATTGTAGAGGAGGCATAGAAGCAACTTCTTCAACAATTAAATGATGTGTTAATCCAACAACTTGGAAAATCTGTGCTCTTATGTATGAAATCTTTTCCATGAAATTGAGAGGTTTTGTAATGCTTTGAATATTCTTAGGAATAATTGCTGCCAAAACAACAACAGGAAGTAAGAAACAAATCAAAAACAACAGAATGAAAACAATTCTTGCAGTTCTATAAGCGGGAATTGATAAATCATTGATAGATTCACGTACAGACATTCTTAAATCAGTATCAGTTTCAAGGTGTTCGTCTTCTGGTTCAATTTCTTGTGTCAAAGTATTTTCTGTCAAAATATTCGCATTCATTTGATCATCTTCTGAATAATCAATTACTTGAGGTAATAAAGGAAATGCTCTTAAACCAAACTCATGAGTTTGATCAGGAATAACAGATACACCTCTTTGTAACAACATAACATTCTGTTTCCATTTATTATACTCTGCAAAATCAGCAACAACATCCCTTAAAAATCTCGAATAAGATCTCGCAACGAATCTTGAATTAGGAAACATGCGAATTAAGTGTTGGAATTCAGCTTCACAATTATCAATAGCTATATATGCTCTGTGTACAACACTTTCCAATTCATGGACATTTCCTTGGATGATTAAATCCCAGATATATCTTACTTTGTGTTTAGTTGCTTGAACTTGTTTTCCAATTTTATCCAATTTTGATTTTAATTCTGGAATTAAATTGGCTTCTCTTTGTCTAATGATTGTTTGGATCTGTTGGAGAGTGTGTTTAGCTAAAGATCCTTTCAGTTTGTTCTGCATGATGTTGTTTGCTACCCAATCTAGTTGTTGTGTCTCTGCAGGATAAATTGCAATGAATTTAGAAAATGATAACCATATTTTTATGTCTTTTGGCCAATGTTCTATGCCTGCTTTGTATATTTTCCATGATAAACATAATGGATGTGCATATCTGAAGCCTGCAATGACGACATTCGAAAAATGATTTTTCGATTTGATGAGTTCGGTGAATCTATCAGGAGATTCTTCAATTTCATCAAGTATTATTAATGATTTGCTTGTTTCATGTTCTAAATAAAAGTTACAAACGAAATAAATTATTATCCACAAAGCTAATATGGCAAGTATGACATATTCTTTGCCATGAGTATTAACGAGCTCGAAAATAACACAAATGCATAAAAGAATGATGCCAGAAATCGAAGAAGCGAAAATTGCTTTCTTATATCCAATAACTACGAAGCCACCGTATTGATTTGTAGCGAACAGTGTTGATAGATATACTACTGCACCAAGCAATGTAAAAACTACTCTTGGATATAAAGAAAGTTCTGATGCAACTCCTGTAATTGTATATAAGGTTAGAGTTACCAAAATGACACTAACCTGTACGGAAGGAACTATCGTTTGTAACGAATCGGGCCTAAACGTAATGGTTACAGAGTATATTGCCGCAACAAGCCAAACATAAACCGAAACTGTAAACACAACTAAGATAATTCCAATGATATTCATAGCATTTACGTATTCATGTTTGTTGTATATCATTCTCCCGATGGTTTCTGCTGCCATTTCACAGGCAATAGGAGGCAAAATATAACCAGCTGTACCAAAGAATACAGTTAGGATCGGAGGAACAACTTTGGGAAGTTTAGCTTGCTTTGAATAGACTTGCGCACAAATTATTATGAAAATGTAGAAGACAATAAATAGGCAACTAAAGATTAACATGAAATATGGAGTGGCAACATCATGGAATGATGCTGGAACAATGGAAAAGAAGAATGATAGAACATCATTGACTGTTGACATTGTTGTGTCTTTACCCCAAAAACTATAATAGCGTGTGCAAAAAGAAGGTCCAAAAAATTGAAGAATTCTCCAAATACTGAATATAACATGCAAAAAGTAATATGGTGGAGAGGCTGTAGTTACGTAATCGAAAAGAATGAAAAAATTATTCCGCATTTTTTTGTAAAGTGATAGTTGAATCATCCCCATATACCTAGACGAGACATCTAATGAGCGCATTGAATTGCTCCCAAACGATGAAGATGTTGTCGTGGAACTTGGGTTTTGTAAAATCATATTTAATAGATGATAATATTGGTTTTCAGAAGACATTGAATTGAGTACAATTGAAATTATCCATATTGTTGATTTATATTAAAGAGTAATCTACAACGAAAATTTTAAAATCGATCCTTTAAAATTTGAACGAAATTATCGGTTTTTAGAAACGTATAACTTTTGTTTGGCTATGAATTAAAATAAGTACAAAAATCCGAGTGGATGCATGTTTACAAACGTTTTCACCTATTCAAATCATTTATGCACTTTGAATAATTATTTGGTTGTCAAAATTTTCATTATCGTTTATTTCGGATTGAACCAAAATTAATACTGACTCAAATAATATATTCCTTTTTTCCTCAATTCAATTGCCGCTCCAACTTCAATCACTTTCACGTTCAATTAATATTACCTTAAACTTATTAATAAGTTCAAGTAGTAATAGTATCTTCAATATCAGGCAATTTAATTCCTTTTCGAGATTTTCAATTCTTTGAATATCTGATCATGTTCAAACGAAATATTGAACATTTAATTTGATCTGGTACAGAGATAAATCTACAATTTTTCATTCATTTGACTGATTTTAATTTCATTTATTATTTTCCATTGGTGAATTGATATGTAATTTATTCAGAAAGATCTGATTTATTATAGTGCTTTATAATTTCTTATTGGAGCAAAAAAATATTAAGATGAATCTTGATTTGCATTTGCCAAAACTCAGAATAATGAAATCATTTAGATCAATGCTTAGATTTATGAACACTTCAATAAATATGGAATAAATGCATAATTGTATCGCAAAAAATCAAAATATCACAGATAATTCATCAAATTTAGTATGAATAATGTGGATGGTTGAAAATTTTCATGCTATTTGATAAAACCACATCCCAAATATCCAAAATCTAGGAACTATAGAATAACATATTCATCGCTCAAAAAAAAACGTATTATTTTTTTTTATCAAATTGAAATGTTGAAAATCTCTGACACATCTTGTCTTCTCCCTTTATATTTTATGGAAAGCGAAATACCATTTAATAGTTTTTTAATTGAAGATACTCTTCCATCAGGCAAATCGATTCGTGCACAGATTATTGATGGTAAATGCCAATTATTAGATGATTCAAAAAGCTCAGAAGAGACCAGTTTTAAGAAAAAATATATGTATCCACTAGATGATACACAAGAAGATATAACAAAAGTCTCTAACGAACTTCAACGTATTATCGAAACAGTTAATAACATCAAAATTACAGAATTTAGTCTTGAGTGGGGCATGAATCCAGACCAAAATCCATATTTAATTAGAATTATTGATGCAAAATTTGAATTGAAATTAATCGAAACTAAATACATCAAGCAAACTCTATTATTCTTAATCGATAGAATGAACTATACGCATTCAAAGCGTAAATGTTATTCAAATCAGAAAAATTGCACCGAAAGCCTCTTCAATACAGATAAAATTAGCGTTGAACAGCTTGCTCTCAAAGATTACATTTCATCATTACCAGATAATGCGCAAGAAGCCTTATCTAATCAAATATTTAGTCTCATGAATAAGCATTGTCCAAATTTGCTAACGGGTTCTTGCTCTGTTTGTCCCTTATGCTTTAAGAGGATTTCATCAGAAATAGATTCAAGGCCACAAGGATTTAAAAAACCACAAAGCTTAAAAACAACGTTTTTCAAAACTCAAACTGAAGAAAGATGTTATCAAAAGTCATCAAGACCTCTAACGAGTACTACATCTCGTAGTATTCCAAGTTCTCCTGTCTTATCAACACGTTCTTCAACTACAAGTCTGCCAATGGCAACTCAAAGTTCAAATGGTTTGCGTGCAACGCAAAGCATATCTCTAGGAACATATAAAAAAGCCCATAGAATATATTGTGCTCGTCGCAGTATGTCAATGATAGCACATAAACCCAAAAAATAGAATCCTTTCACCAAATCTCTATCATTCATCAATAATAGTATTGTTTTTATAAAGTTTGTATCAATATATTACAATTTGTTAAATTCATTTTTCTTAAATACATGCAAAGGGAAAAATATATTTTGAAATCATATTAATTGTATTATTTCCCCAATGTGTAACTAAGATAAAATTAAAGGTTTCGGAAGTAACAAATCAATCTCAAACAAAAAATCCCCTTTAATCTGATTTTAAAAAAATAAAAAATGGTTCCGCTGGGGCTCGAACCCAAGACCTTAGCGTTATCAGCACTACGCTCTACCTACTGAGCTACGAAACCTCTTCGATTCTATGAAGTAATTTTAAATATTTAATTATAAAAATTATTTTAAATGACACTTTTTCGAATTTTGAATTATTGATTTTATGTTTTTCCTTTGTTTTAGCCTTTTTTCGAATACTGTCAATCTTACAGACAGACTAAGTGGTAACTGGCAAGTTACTATTACACGTGCTACATCATCCCTCACAGATAAAGAACCTGAAGTCTTATACCTTTATCAACGTTCAGAATCTAAAATGGAACTCACAACATTAGAAAACGAAACAATTGCAGAAATTCCATTCACTTGGATCAATATCACTTATTTGCAATTCACATTAGACGACATTAAATTTGACTTTCCATTTTCAATGGGTTTCCCATTTAATGACATTATATCGAATTATTTTATCAAAGTTACTCATTTAACTCAGACAGATATTCATGCACTTGTAATTGACCAAGAACAAAAACAATTATTCAACTTAGATTTCGCTAAAATTGATATCACACAACAACAATCATCTATATTCCAGAGTCCTCTGATGCTTGGAGTAGTATTTTTCATTGCAATGCGCATATTACCGCGTTTATTTGGTGCAGGCGGCCAACGGAAGCAGAAACCAGCTACGAAACAGGAAGAACATAATGAACCTTCAAAATTAGAAGAAAAAGCTGAAAAAGACGAAAAAGAAAATACAGAAGTTTCAGAAAAAGAAGAATCTTCTGTACATGAATATAAACCAGAAGATGAACCCAAAGAAAATGAAGGCAAAATAGAATAAAGTATATATTTTAATTTATAAATTTCCATAAATTATCTTGTTCGAACTGTTCGATGAATTTTTATAATAACTGAAGCCTTTTGGTTATCGTATTTGAATTAATTGCGTTGTATTTAATATCAAGTTTCATTGGAATAATGGGGAGAAGCTTCCTAAACTTTTTAATCCCATAAATATGGTCATTATCTGGAATAAAGAGTTAAGCGTCATATGTCACTTTTTGTACTAAGGAAACATCGACTTTATGCGTTATGACTTTTCGATGAGGAAACAAGTGTTCACGTATTATAAACTTCCTTATTCCAATAAACCAACCCTAAACATAATTAATTCTAAGAATGATAATGGTCTCTTTTCTATGATAACCAAATCAATTTGGTTATCATAGTAAAGCACCAAAAACAGGAATAGGAATAACCGCGTTTAAACAGGAATAGGCAATATGGAAACTAGAGAAGACTCAACTGATTTTTTAAGCAAATCTTCTTTCTGATTCAAATCTGCTTTGCTCATCATTGTATATTACTGCATTTTTATTAAGATACTTTAATGTATGATCAATGTACATCATTCTTTTAGCAATTTTTTAAATTCATTCTGCTAATTACGTTGAATTTTGTTCAAAAGATATCGTAATTCCATAATTTAATACGTAAAATGTTATTGAATAACTCTGATTATTCCTTTACATGCAAAATGAGTGTGTTCTTTTTTACATTTTTACTCATATTAGATCAAATTTAACCTGATTTTATACTATTAACACTTATTTTAGAGGGGATATACTTAAATCTCTATTGTTTTAATAAAAACTTAAAAAAAATATAAAAATTTTCAAAAATGTTAAAATATACTAGCTTTCAAAGAAAGTAAGTCATTTTATAAGGAAGACATTATATGTTTAGGAAGGAAATTCCGTGTAATAACCAAAATAGGAAAGAATATTCAATCATTATGAAAGAACTCTATTCTAACAATTTGTGAGACATATATCTTTATAGCGACATAGTTGCAATTCATGTTTTATCCCCTTTCCTTCATTGATTTTAATTAATGCATTCATTCACTGAATATGCATGCTCAAAATCGAACATTTGCCTTACTAATCAACGGACAATGAATGTTTAAAAATGATTAGTATTGAAAAGTAGCTGGAATTTCAGTGTTGTTTTGTATATTTATTCCAAGTGCAAATTTAAACAAAATATACTTATTCAAAGTGCAATGTTTACAAACAATCAATCAATAAAAGTCACATCTTTTTTTCACTGGAAAAAAAAATGATATTTGTTTATAAAGATAAGTATTTAATTACAATAGTACGAATTTAATTTTTAGACTGAAGTTTATTCATTGTTACCGTTTTTAGTCTAAGTTTCTAGGAAATGAGTATTTTATTTTGCAAGATAAAGTTCTTCGATAAAATTAGCATGAAAAATCTTCTTTCGTATAAGAGTAATAATAAGTTTCCGCAAATCTTATTGAGAATAGTACGAGAATTTTGTTTGAAATTTAAATTTTGCATAAATAAAGAATGGATGCAAGAATTTTCCAATTCCATTTTGTTAGAGTTGATTCGTGATTCCATATTGTCGATTCCTATTCCTGTTTTTGGTGCTTTACTATGATAACCAAATTGATTTGGTTATCATAGAAAAGAGACCATTATCATTCTTAGAATTAATTATGTTTAGGGTTGGTTTATTGGAATAAGGAAGTTTATAATACGTGAACACTTGTTTCCTCATCGAAAAGTCATAACGCATAAAGTCGATGTTTCCTTAGTACAAAAAGTGACATATGACGCTTAACTCTTTATTCCAGATAATGACCATATTTATGGGATTAAAAAGTTTAGGAAGCTTCTCCCCAATAAATTGGCTAAACGTGACATAATTTATAACAATACTATGGTACTTAATATGAAATTACTCTGGTTATGATTTTAATAAATTTGATAATATTTTTAGAGTATTTGATAATAGTTTGAGTTATTTTCTTTCAATTCAGGAAATCACAAGTAATTATACATCTGTATGAGGCAATTGATTATAAAATTTGAGAGTATTTGAATTTTATCGAGTTAGATGAAAATGATTAGAAAATATTCAGGGTGCTTTTTTAATCAAAATCATAAAAAATTGAATGATTTGTCAAAAATTTTGCAAAGAAACGAAATTCAATCATGGGGAAACTATATACGCTGCAAATGCAATAGATATATATTTACTCTTGTTCTAAGATTATTTTATGAAGTCAAATTCTAAGAGTGTTCGACTATAAACTATTGAAAAATCAAAATGAAATTGTAAGTCTCATCACACTTTTCAATGCTCGATTTTTAAAAACTGTTTAAAAATGGAGCTTATATTGAAATAGTGTAGAGACTAAAAATTACCACAGACTATTTCAGAGGATTGAGTTGCCGCTCAATCCTCTGAAAAGTCTGAGGTAATTTGCAAAATTTTTAATACCTGATTTTACGTTAAATAGTAATAATTTTTTATCATTCCACGATATTTATATAAATAGATGATTTTGAATTCTCGATTGTTCTTCATTGAAATTTTTCAATTGTCGGCTTTAATTTATGTTTTATCTGCTACTCACAAGGAAAATTATTTATTTGGACCCAGGAGTATATAGTATTGAACTGAATGGAGCTGCTGGTGGTATAGGCTGCGCAGGCGGTGAAATGAAATCAGATGGAGGAAACGGTGCAACTATCAAAGCTAATTTTAACTTTCCTTCAAGAACAAAAGTAATTTTTGATGTTGGAACTAAGCCAAATACGAATTGTCGGAAAAAAAATAACGGAGGACTTCCCTATGGTGGAAATGGTGGTAAAGATCTTGGCTTTATTGGGAATGGAAATGATAATCCGGGTGGTGGTGGTGGCCTAACAGGTATGTCATTTGATGGAAGTTCATATGTTATGATTGCTGGTGCTGGATCTGGAGGTGCTTATACAGTTAACGGCTCACCTGCAGGTGGATGTTTTACTTATGACTATATGCAAAGGAGTCGATGCAATGAATATTATTATAAAGTAGTTGATAATTTTGGATCATTGGAAAAAAAGACTGATAATTCTTACAGAACAAGTAGTCATTATGGAGGTAACGGCTCAGAAACAAGCAGAATTCCAGGAGCTGGAGGTGGTGCTGGATGGTTTGGTGGAATTGCAGGGAAAATTGCAACTAATCCTTATTACCCTGCATGTGGAATTGGTGGATTGAGTGGCTACGACTACAAGAATGAATATTTCAAAGAACTAGTAAGCTTTACTGATGGAAAATCATCTGGAAATGATGGTGACGGTTCATACAAATATTTACTCTTATTTACTTGTCCTTCCGGATGTTATGACTGCTCAAGTAGCACATCATGCACTAGATGTAAATCAGGAAAAGTGAAATATGCTGATAAATGTTATAATTTTTGCTCAGAAGCAGCTGATAATTTATATCAATCGGGATCAATTTGCTATAAATGCGATAAAAGTTGTAAAACTTGTGATAAAAAGTACAATAATTGTACTAGTTGCTTTAAAGGAATGATAGTTAAGAACGGAGGATGCATTTCAATGAAAACATATATCCCAAATTATGGTACTAGTCAAAGATTAAGGCTCCTTGAAATGGCTTCAATTTATATAGCAAATATATGATAATTTGATTATTTTTTGTTTATCTTTTGTATGTTTTTATTCTAAAAGTTTTAATGATGTTCGTTTTTAAATAAGATGAATAACCTATAATTCAATGTTCAAACATGAATGAGAATTTTCATTAAAATCTCATAGTTAAAAAATGTGAAAATGCATTAATATAATCTTTGTTGACTATAATGGAGATAAGAAACAAAGCTTTGCATACTTATGTACGCTTTAATGAGATTATTTCCATAGCTTGATTACAAAGCAAAAATATTATATTATAAAAATTGTATTGAAAAAATTGAATTTGTTTACTAATCTTAGATATTCTTGCTGTCTGTGGATAATCTTGCATCTGATGAAAGGAGGCTTTCTGTTCCAACACCCGGCTTCTTTCTTCTCATGCAGATGACAACAATTACAACAAGCAAAACGACAGCTGCAGCAGATAAAACTGAGGATGTTATTATTATAACTTTCTGTCTCTTTGGTAATCACTTGGTCCACAAATGTTATCTCTCTTAACTGGAATTCCTGACATCTTCTTCTTAGAATAATCAAAAGAAACTGTGATTTCTTTCAAGTTTGTGCATCCACTGAAGATGTTATCTGCAATTTCAGACTTTCCACAGTATAAGAATTTAGATAACTTAGTATCATTTGCAAAGCAATTTTCATAAATAACTGTGTTGTTAGCAACATAAACTTCGGTCAAATCAAGGCAATTTGAGAAAGAATAGTTTGCTAATATCAAATCAGTTTCGTTGTTGAGAATACTTAATTTCTGGATTCCTGAGAAAGCGAAACCAAATTGTCCAACTCTTGTGATATTTTCAAGATTGAATTCCTTCAAATTCTGGCATTTGTAAAATCCATAATCGGAAACTTCTTTAGTTATGCTTTCTGTTTTAATTGTTTGCAAATTCACGCAGTTTTCAAAGCAATGAGGAGGGATATTGTCCAAATCCTTGATTTCGATACTTGAAAGCTTCTGGCAGCCACAGAAAGTATAATCAGAAACGCTGATAATTGAAGCAACATTGATATTTTCTAAACTGATACAGTTATGGAAAGCGTATTTGTCTAAAACTACATCAATTTTAGCTGATTCAAATGTATTTAATTTGGCGCAAGAGCAGAAACAATGATTAGAAATAGTTAATCCTTGTTGAGTATCAATTGAAATTTTTTCCATATTAGAGCATCCTTTGAATGCAGAATATCCTAAACTGCTCAACATGTCACTCTTAATCTTGAAACTTGAAAGTGATGAGCAGCCATTAAATGTGAAGTTTTCGATCTTTTTGACAACAGAAAAGAAATCAATCTTTTCAAGTTTGGAACAATTATTAAATGCATATTCTCCCATTGTTTTAACTGTTCCATTTGCAACAATATTTGTTAAACTACTTAATTCACAGAAGCAATGTGGATTAAAGATGATAATTGGTGAATTGATTTCAATATCTTTCATCTTTGTTTCTCCAAATACTTTTTCATCAAAAGTAACTTGATTAGCATTAATTGTGATTTCATTCAAGTTTTGGCAATTTCCAAAATATGATTTTTGCAAAACTAATGCATTTTTAGTATTCAAAGATAATTTTGTTCCTTTCATGCCTGAAAATGCATTGTCTTCTAAAGTGAATTCACCATCAATAGAAAGAGAAACTAATTCAGTAATTTCACTCAATGCATTACCTTTAATTGTCATTTTACCAGAAATTGACAAAACATTAACAGAAGGAATCTGTTTAGTAAAGGCACTTGTTAAAACTAAATCATTAACAATCAATGTAAATAATCTTATGTTATTGCAACCATCGAAAATTGAATTTCCTAGTTTGAGATTAGGTGCACAACGTAAGAAAACAGTGTTCAAGTTTGTGCATCCAGCAAATGCGGAATCTTTAATTTCAGCAAGATATCTGTTAACAATTACTTTTTCAAGATTAACATTGTTTGCAAATGAACTTTCATCTAAATACAAGTCATTGCAATCAAATTCTACTCTCTTAAGTTTGTCTTTGTTATAAACAGCATTCTTTTTAAGTTCAACATTTTGGCCTTTATCGAATGACAAACTTTCCATATTTGGAAAACCATTAAATGTCTTTGGTCCAAATTCTTTTATTGAGGAAGCTTGAAATGTAACATTGGAAATTGCTGTGAAAACATTGAAGCAATCATTATCAAAAGCAGTTAGTTTGTCAACAGAATCAATCAAAATAATGTTTTCAATTGAGTTAAATGATGCTGATAAACATGCTGTATTTATCGTGTTAAATAATGGATAAGTAACTGTCTTAACATTAGAAACTCCTGTGAAAGCAGATGCAGAAATATCTTTAAGTGCTTTTCCTAAAACAATCTCTGTAATTTGAGAACAACCGTTGAAACTGTTGTCACCAATTTTTGTCAATTGATTTGGCAAAACTAATGTAGTCAATGAAGAACAATTGAAGAAAGCTCTTTGTCTGATTTCTCCCAATTCTTCACCGAAAGTAACTTGTTTTAGATTGATGCAATTCTCGAATGATGAAGCATCAATGAAAGTAATGGAATCAGGTAATGTCACTTCTTCTAAACCAAAGCAATTCATAAATGCTGAAGAATAAATTATATTTATGTCAGAATTTTCTAATTCAAATGTGACATTCTTTAAACTAACACATCCTTTGAAACAATTATCGGAAACGAAAACTAATGATGAGTCAATTGTCACTTCTTCAAGTTTTGCACAGTTACAAAATGTGTTTGCACCAATAATTGTCATTGATTTTGGTAATCCATTTGTCATTTCTTTCAAGTTTACGCAGTTCTCGAAAGCAGAAATACCAATCGAGTTGATATCATGATTAAATACAACACTCTGCAAATTAGTGCAGCCATAAAAAGTGCTGGCATATATAACCGTTACTTTTGAAGGAAGTGTCACTTTTTGTAAACTTTCGCAACCCTTGAAAGCGAAAGAACCAATTAATTCAACAGTATCAGGGAGAAATATTTCCTCAAGTGACTTGCAGCCTTCGAATGATGAAATCAAAAGTTTGCCAAGATTTTTGAATGGTTGTAAATATGTCACTTTTTGTAAACTAGTGCAACCTTTGAAAGAATTCATTCCGAACCAAGAAACGTTAGGGATGTTGAGTTCGATCTCCTTGATTGATGTGCAGTCCAAGAAATAGTTATCGGGTATTTTGAGTAAGAAAAGAAATTCATTTTCGATCAAAGTAACTTTTTCAAGATTTTTACAGTTCTTGAAAGGGGAACGAGTGTATTTTTGTTCGGTAATTACGAATGTTATGTGCTTGAGACCATTGCAGCCATCAATGACATTCTCGTGTAATGTGTTTATTTTGTTTTTGAACTGAATATCTTGTAAAGCACCACAATTATTGAAACAAGCTTGTCCTGCTTTCTGTAAGTTGGCGGGTAATGTTATTGTTGCAAGAGCTGTGCATGAATCAAAGCAATTGTTGCCAAGAGAAAGGATTGAATCTGGTAATTGAATTTTTGTTAAAGTATTACAATTTTGGAAAGCACTATCACCAATGCTTGTGATGCCTTGTTGTAATGTAGCTGAATTTAATGATGTGCAGCCATAAAATGCGCGGGACCCAATAAATAAGTTAGAATTTAACTCAATTGACGCTAATTTAGTAAATGACTCGAAAGCGCTTACATTTACTCCTTCAACTCCTTGCTGAACTACAAGTTTTGTCGCATCAGCTTTGAAATTCGAAACATCATTTGGATTGATAACGCCATTTCCCGAACAAGTAACAACACCAGAATTGATATTGCAGCTTGCAGAAATGAGATTTACCTGTTTAACTAATTGTTCTTGAAATTTTATCGTAAGGAAAGATCTCATGAAGAAGCTATTTTCAAAATTGTTTCATTCACAAATATTTCAGATCGTATATATAGTGCTCTAATAATATGCAATATTCCGATGGCTCAAAAAAGATGTTATTGTTGATTTATTTTTAGATCCGTAATATATTCAAATCATGTTTAAAATTGTGAAAAATACGGAACTATAATTAAACATCTCAATTATATTTGCCATCCAATATCTAATGTTTTCATTCTTTTTATGACAATATTTTCAATCACCATTGATTTAAATGATAAAATTTACTCCAAATTTTGATAAAGTGCTCAAATTAAAAGATCATATATAAAATTATCGACAATTATTCCTTATCAAGCAAATGGACATTCATCTTTCTATTTTTAGTTTCATTTAAATAAGATAAAAGTTATTTCAACCATTATTCCAAATAGAATCAGATATTTCATTTGAATATATTGTCTCACGAGGTGATAGTTATACTCTATGATTGAAGAAATCAAATATTTTTATTCCGCATTATTGACAAGAATTTAAAGCAACAATTAATAATTTCGAACTCATACTTCTCTGTTTCCTATCTTCTGTAAATATTTTTGCATGTTTATGGGTTGGATTCGTGTCTTGTGATTGGGGAGCAGCTGTTACTTCAGGTGTATTCTCAGGATTGAAGTTAATTAAATCAGGAGTTATTTTGGGTGTAACTGAATTAGTGATAATTGGAGTAGAGTCAGGAGTAACTAATGGAGTTGGATGTGATGTAACTAATGGAGTTGAATGTGGCGTAACCAATGGAGTCGAGCATGGTGTTACTAATGGAGTTGAGAAGGGAGTTTCTGTTGAAAATGGATCTGTTGTAAATATATTATTCAATCCATTTCTAACCCTGCAAAATCTTTCTGGATCAGGACAAATCGCAGTTTTATTCTTTTGATATGTGGTCATATTTTCCGTATAAGAATATTCTATTCCAGCACTTGAACAGTTTAGAGTATGAAATTCTCCTGTTGTTAGATCTAATGGTATATCTATTTCAAAACTGTAATCATCAGAGCATCGATAGCTTCCACACACATCATCATTGAGAAATGTCATTCCAGGAATTGTAGCCTTCCCATCTTCGCAAAACTTGATGGGATAATTGAGGAATTGATATGCATAATCATCTTCGCTATCAATTGGAACCAAATTATATCTTTTTGGATCATAATAATCCTGGTTATTACAAAAATCATCATAACCATCTGGCACATTGCTACAATTAATTGACAGATGTTCTGAAGAAGTTCCCCACCAATTAAATTCAAATCCAACCGAATATGTTATATTATATGGATCGTTGAATGTAAATGGTGGAAGTGTAGTTAATGGAGGACCTAATGGCCAATTTGGGATATAATTTCCATCAATATAATCTTTATTGCCATACACAGATGGTTTTGCAAAGGACCAATCTACGTCATAATTTCCTGTATCTAGCAAATACGCTAATGTCACATCAGTTACTTTTGTAAATGGTCCTGAATCATATTGAATTGAGTCTACTAAAATATCCTGAATATAAATAATTGGATTAGGAAGACCATTTTCTGTAACCAATATTCCCGAAGAATATGTGACATTCCCTTCAAATGTTTCAACTCCATAATGTTTAACTCCATAAATATGAGAATAAGGTGTTTGCAACACTTTGAAATCTTTTCCATTGTAATCGAAAGAACAAAAAATATCATCATAGGTTTCGTTTGAAAACTTTGGATGAAGGAAAGATAATGCATACGTATTTCCAACTAAGCCATATAAAATTTTGTTCAATAGTAGGTTAAATGTAGTGGAATTCACACCCGAATCATCAGAAGGATATTCTGTGAGTAATTTTATATTAATAAATATATTAATTTGAATGATTCTATGATAATCCATTTCCCACTGTATTGTAGTTGGATTAAATTTAGTATAGCTAGATGGCATTGGATGTCCGAAAAATATTAAATGCAAATCTGAGCTTGTAATATTCTCTCCTCCTTCATATGTTGTACTACTTTCTGCTAATGTTGTTATGGGTACTGAAAGTTGATCGACTCTTAGGAGATTGGTTAAATATGTTTTAACATTTTCAATAGTCTGAATGAGAGCATTATACTTATTAGTAGTCATCAAATCTGCAGCAGTGCATTGAAAAGTTCCGAATTTATCTGTAATTCTTTCTCCTATTTTATGACAAATTTGGCTATCATATTTACTTCCGTTAATATAACGATAGTCACTTGTTATTCTAATTTTTTGAAATCTTGAATCAAAATTTACGACTGGAGTTGCAACAGGAGTTGGTTTTGGTGTACTCATTGGGGTTTCCATTGGAGATGGCTTTGGTGTTGGCATTATAACGTTTGTGAATGGATCACTTTCATAAAAATAATCTAATAAATATCTTGTTCTGCAAAACCTTTCTGGTTTTGGAAATGTAACAGTTCTAAGGCTTGAAACATTGCCATCACTGTATATTCTTGTGAATGAGAATGTTTATCCTTCCATTGTGCAATTCAGGGTTGTTGTGGTATTATCTCTTTCATCTATAATTATATCAATTGTGAAGCTTGAATAATCATTGCAAGAAAAGCTTCCACAAGTATCATTTTCATAATATGTTAAACCAGGTATTGTAGCAGTACCTGATGAGCAAATAAAGTCTGGGATACGGATTAATTGTCTATCATAATATAGATTCAATCCCCATTCTGTGTATCCATTCGGATTATACCATTGAGGTGCTTGACAAAAATCTTTTGTGATGAAATCTGTTGTTACAGTACAATTTATTGTTTCATTTTCTGGTATAAACCATCCATTATAATCGTATGAAATTGTATTGGTTGGATCTGAAGGATCATAAAAGAATTCTGGAAAAGTTGATGCTGGTGCTGATAATGGCCATCCTTCTCTATATACCCCATCAATTGCATCAACATTTCCATATATTAATGGTTGTGCCATTGACCAATTCACTTCATAATTTCCTGAATCAAGAAGAAAAGCTAAAGTTACATCAGTCAGTCTATTGAATCTTCTTTCATTGTTTCCTGAATAATATAAAACAGATATATCATCTGAATAAAATATTGACTCACCATTAGGTGATGCAAAATTATTGTTGTTTTCATAAAAAATACCTGAAGGACATGTTGTGTTATCGCTTTCAAATGTTTCAACATGATAGTTTCTAATTGCAAAATTATGTGCATATGGAGTAACAAGAACTTTAAAATCTCTATTAAACTTTTTGAAAGCGCAATTAATGACATCATATCTTTCATTTGTATCTTTGACATGAAAGTTATCAATAAGTTGGTCATTAAATACCATAATATTGAAAAAGCTATTCAAAAGAACTTGGAAATAATAATTTGAAGTAGAATTGACATTGTTGATAGATGATGGAATTGTTCTGGCGTTAACATAAATGACACCTAAAATAGGCCTGAAAGGCTGGGCATTATCAACTACATATGGTAATGAAGTAGTTACATGAGTGTCAGATGCAAATGGCCGAACAAACACCAGAATATGTAAATCTGAATTTGTAATTGTTTTTGATTTAACAGATTTGAAACTTGAGTCGGTTGAAACAGTTATTGTACCTTCATAAGGTTCAACTTTTATTAAGTTTTCAACATAATTAACGGTATATTTGAAAGTTTCTTGAAATGTTTCAATTTGTTCACTTGAAATTATATCTGCTGAAGTGCATGCGTAATTGTTGCCATTCCATTGAATTATTTCACCGACATTATGACACATTTGGGAATCAGATGTTGTCTTGTTTAAATATTCTAAATTATATGAAATTCTAATTTTTTGAAATGAATCTTCATCTGACCAAAGCCTTTTGAACCATTTGAATCCTATCTGGGATTTTGATGAATCAGAATTCATAACTTGAATTTTAGAGGTGCACAGGAAACCCACTAGAATCATTAATTGAAAAATTAATTCAATTTTTCTATTCTCTCAATATTTTCAGGCCATTTTTGGTCAACGAATACTTCAGTTCTTCGTTTCAATATTATATGTGAATATAAAATCATGGAATATGAACTGTAATTTAGGTTATCGTACTTCATTCATTTTTGGCAATATACCATCAATTGAGATGTATTAAAAATTTTATTATTGTCAGAATATCTGTTATTATGAAAACTATATTAATTTTGCAATTTTGTAAAGCTTTTTTTACGTCAACCTTGCCTTGCTCTTATTTTGTTATGGCTTATGAGTGCGGGACAAATTTGCCAAGTGTCACTTTTTCAATAACCCTAAATTACGCTTTTCTAATTTTTTTAAAAAATAACCTTAAATTATATTTGAAGAAATTATGTCTATGATATATGTTTTATGCTAGAATCTTGGAGTTTTTATGCACTACACAAGAGCTCCAAGGTTCCAAGAGTGAATGCTCAATAGCAATTATAGAGATGTACCTTTTCAAAATGACTTTTACTGATTAAATTTAATCAATAGAAGACATTTTGAAAAGGTACCTCTACAATTAGATATACAAGAGATTCAAAGCTTCATTTCAGATAGATTTGAAACTTTGAAACTCTTGGTAGATTTTGAGTGAATGCTGACAATCATCTTTGAGAAGGTTTTCTTAAAGAAAACCTTCTCAAAGAGGTTTCTCAGGAGCCCTGAGGCTCCCTTTCGTAATGATTGGGAGCCTTGGGGCTCCTGCAGCAGAGTATCGCTCCGCTCCATTAATTTTTTTAAAAAAAAGTGCCGTGTGGCAAATTTGTCCTGTTCCCATGGCTTATCTAAATGAATATTGTGAAAGTGGAACAATTGCAAAAGAAATATGAACAAACCTTACCAAAAATTATGCTATTTCTCAAAAATTAATTTTGAAAAAATCCCAAAAAATGGGATAATGTTATCTCATTTAAGGATCCCGTTTGGAAAGCTCATGTTGTTTTCATGAACTGAATTTAATTTTCTTATTCCAACTTCAAGCCAAATCCATTAAAGAATTCAAACTTTAAATCAAAAACTAAGCTAAAATTTCAGGATACTTGATTCTTTTACTAGCTCATTTTCTAATATGGTTAGTAACTTTTAATTCTCATTTAAATTATTTGAATCTGACGGGCTTGCAGGGTTCTTCAGAACTTACACAAACTACTTCTATAAATAAATGCCAATCTGATGACACAATCTAATGCTTAAAAACATAATCTTATTTTAGATATCGCGAGAAAGAAAGGCGCAAAGCTGTATAACAAATTTTAAAAACAATGTTATTGTGTTTGCATATTGTAAAATAGTAAAATAAATGTAACAAGCTGTACATTACGCCACAATTTGGAAACAAAAAAAATTTCAGCTGAACTATAGGAATTTGCATTTGTAAATACGTTAATCGATATACCCAATTATAGTACTATCTTTAAATATGTTTTTAAGCCTGTTTCCAATCCTTCATGTTGTTTTCAAATCTAAAATGACATGGATCTTTAACAAAATCTCTTTGAACCGTTATTTTTAGCATGTTACAACATGGTTGATGCATACCGATCCGAAACTCTAAAGAATTGCCATGTTGAATAATTTTTCCCTCAATAACAAACTCAAATAATTTTTGAATGCTTTTCAAAAAAAATTAAAAACGACAATATAAAAGTAATAAGTATTTTCAACTTAGAATAATTAAATTTTTTCAATGTTTTGGCAAATTTAGAGTATTCAAAAATTAAAAAAAATCATGAATTATTGAATGAATTCAAAAATTCTCGATCATAAATGATGAACAAAAATTAAAATATGATTTAATTTTCGATAAAATTGTTGAAAATTTATTTTTCACTTTTCTTCGTTCATTTTTCTTAATCCAGAAATTCAATCAGTAGGTATGATTATATAAACGAATTCCTTAAAGATCCTTATGAAAATCTAACCGGGATTGGAACTCGAATAGCCCCTAATGCTGCAGGCCCTTCATATTTCATTCAGAAATGTATTTTCGAAAATTTCAATCGCCTGAATGCTATTAATAGTATTGCAGCAACTGGATTTGTTATTATCGTTGACTCGCAATTTCTATCAAGTGCTCCTACCTTCAGAAATTCTCTTGTTTACATTCAAAACAATGCAATACAAATTAGAAATTTATATAGAGATATATATGCTAAAACTCAAGGTCTTGCATTTACAACTGCTTCAAGTAATGAAACATTTGTCAATCATTTTTATGAATCAGCAGTTACAAATTGTAATTATCCACTGGGGACGAGTGGTGAGAAATCAGGTGCGCTAACTTTTTTGATACAAGGTGGACAAATCAAATGCCAGTATATTAACTCAACAAATAATGTTGCAAAAAGAAATTGTGCCGGTTGTTTTGAGTTGGGTAGTCAATCGTTTATTGTATCATATGCGAACTTTATGAACAATAACCAGCCCAATTCTACAATATTATACATAAATACAAGCTCCGAATTCAAATCTGTTACGTTACAGTGCGTAAATTTAGTCAATAACTCACAAGAGCAAAATGAATATGGTGTTATAAGATCAGATGTTAATATAACAATGATTAACTGTGTAATGCGAAATAATTCAGGCCGTCAATTATTTACAGAAAATACAAATGATATTAAACTGATAAACACTTTCATTGATGTAGAAGACTATAATATTAGTAATGTCTTGGTTTTGCAGCCTGTTAGTAGCTTTATTGACTGCGGACAAATCAAAAAAATCCCTTGTACAATGGATAAGTTCTGCGAAACACTTTATTTCCAACATGGTGCAACAAGTATGACAATTAGTGATCCTAAACTATAAAATCATCAATTTTTTTTGTGAGCACATTGAAATTCTTTCAAGTGTTTTATTTTTCACAAAAATACGCCTTTTGAAATAGAATGGCATCATTCTTACACTTTTTGAATTAAATTTTTGTCACCAACCACTCAAATAATCCAACAAAATATTATGATTAAAATCCAGAACTCAATGTATTGAATATGGATTTCCATATCATTTTTATTATAAAATAAAGTCACTAGTTATGTAAATTAAATGGCAAACTATGAAATTCAATATAGAAAAGCTCCATAAAAGATCTCATGTAGTTTAAAATGAATCAAGTGATGATTTTTCAACATTTTTATACTACATGAAACCTTTTAAGGAGCCTTTCTGTATTTTATCTTGTTCAGTGGTAACACAACTTCTCCTGTTTATCTAATGCTAAAAAAGTATTAATTTCACTTTTAGAATCTTAACAAAAAAGTTTAATGTTTTTACATGTATAGGAATGGAAATAGTAATTCGGGTGAAATTGCAATCTTGTGGCCAATCTTGCAGGAATTCATTGGATCACAGTCGTCGGAAAATGCAATCTTTGGAATGCCGACATTGAGAAATGTGTTTTGAATGGATGCTGGAACTGAAAAAGCACCGCATTTCCTGAGAAGTGGACATCCTTTGAAGGCATCAGTTCCGATGGTTTTCAAGCTTGGAGATGAGAAGAAAATCAAGTTTAGATTTGGACAGTCCTTGAATGATTGATATCCAATATCTTTGATCTTGTTACCATTGAAGAAAACGCGGATCAAACTTGGACTGCCCATGAATGCACAGCTTCCGATCTCTTCCATGTCCATGGGAACAATGAAGTTCTTGATGCCGCTATATGGAAGGAAAACAATGAGTTTGGATTTATTATAGTATGTCAATGCACCATTCTCAAACAAGAATCGTCGGTCATCTGGATTCAATGTGATCGTTCGAAGATTAGGACAATCATAGAAACAACCACCTTCGATGCTTTTGAGATTGCCATCCATCTCCATTCTGATATCTGATAAGCTTGTGCACGATTGGAATGCAAAATCATATATTCGCTGCAAATCGGATGGAATGGTGAATCCTGTCAAAGATGAGCATTCATAAAATGCAAATTTGCCGATGGATTCAACATTTCCTCGAAGGTTAAGTGTGGTAAGTTCATCGCATAAGCGGCACATTTCTTGTGGAATACTGCAGCTGATAGTGATTTCGGTGACTTTGCTGCTATAGAATGCTTGAAGACCAACAGATGAAATGGATGTCGCAAGATTTGCTGTGGTTAAACCAATGTTAGCAAATGATTGCATACCGATAGTTTGTATGTTTTGAAGTGCTGATAATCCGATGTCTTGTAATGATGGACAATATTGGAACGCAGAAGTTCCGATGCTTTGGATAGACTTGGGAAGAGTAATCGTTTTCAATTTTGGATTGTTATAGAAACAAAAATCGGGAATTTTTGTAATAAGCTCGCCTTCGAATGTTACACTAGTTAATAATGAACAATCTCGGAATGCTTGTCGATCAATCTGTGATAAACCTCTGGGAAATGAAATTGTTTGGATAGTTGAGAGTTCAAATGCACTTTCCCCAATAACAATGTTTTCATTGTTATCGAAAATAACACTTCGCAAACTCTTGGATTTAAATGTGCCTGGATCAATTCGATTGCAACTATTTCGGATTCGAACATCATATTTCGAATCTGAACCAAGATAATAGAAAACGGTTTGATTCGAATCTTTCAACATAATATAATCATCAACTTGGAAACTTGGATTTTGAGAATCAATAACCAACGAACTACTTGTTCCACTGAATACTCCCGCACCTAATGAAGTCAAATTTGCAGGTAACGAAATATGAGTCAATGATCTGCAATTTTCAAATGCACCATAACTGATTGTTTTCAATGATTTTGGCAAAATAATATCTTTCAAATTAACACAGTTGTAAAAGGCAGAATCTTCAATTGTAACAATTGATTCGGTAAGATTTACTTTAGTAATTACAACATTGAATGAAAACATGTTACTGATGACAATAGTTAACATACTATTAAAGGTAAATTCTTTAATAGAACTCGCACAAAAGCAATATGAAGATATGCTAGAAACGCGATCATGTAAAATCACATAAGATAACTTGCTACCTCTGAAACTGTTTTTCCCAATTGATGTAACATAAGGCGGGATATAAAATGTCCCTGTCAAAACTGATGAAACAAAAAATATTGTTGAGTTATCATTTCCTGTATAAATGATCTTTTTATCTGTTTTAAATATGGTGTTTCGTGAATCAATTCTAAACTCTGTAATGGGGCATCCTTGGAAACTAGAAGGTCCAATATCAGTACAATATTGAGGAATATAGAAATATGTCAATTGAGTGTTAGAAAATACATCAGTGCCGAGTTTTCGAAGTTGAGAATTTTCGGAAATTCCAACTCGCTTTAATCCGCTATCACCAAAAACTCGAAAATGAGTAACATCATAGCCGGCGATCTCTGTTACTGAATCTGGTAATATGATCTCTGTTAATGATGTTGTCGCACGAAAACATCCATAGGATATATATGTAATTTTTGGAGGCATCTCGAAACGAGATAATTGGGAACAGTATGAAAATAATGAACTGTTTAATGATAAGAGCTCTGTGCATGAACTCATGTCAACGTGTGTCAGACTTGATTGACAAAACCACCATTGACAAATCGACTTGATCTTACTTCCGGTTTCGAAGATAATCTCGGTGAGTGTGTCTTTTGAATAAAAGAAAGGACTTTCTTTATCTGTAGTGCCTCCTTTGATGCAGACACAACTTGCAATAATTGTGTAAGAATCTTGAATTTGTCCTTTGATGCTATCAAGAACATGATCATCTGTATAATGAACACCAAAATCTTCTGCATAGCATAAACAACAAAATAAAAAGCTAATGACCTATCTACTGTTGTATTTTACTGATAATGTAAAATTTTTACCCACTAATATCATTTAAGAGTTTGTTTTTGAAAAGTTTGAGTTTTTATCGATATTCCCATAAGTAAAAGAATGGCAAGAGGATTATTAAATCTCAAATTCTTAGAGCTTTTTTGAAATAGATCATTCACAGAGATGTGATAATATAAAGTGCTAATATCATTCAGGGTTCAATACAACGTTAAACTCACCAACAATAAATTAGATTAAAATTGGAAAGTTGACTAATCACGCACTGATCAGAAGGATGTATTGTTGATATAAATATTATATTGAAAGAATGGTTAGGATTAAAAGATACTTATTTGTTAAAATTAGTAATATTTTAATAGAATTTTCCCACAATCAGAAAATTCAGCTATTTAACTTTTAAAAAAGTCGGATTTAGATAGCTTCTTCCCAGGAAACTTGCCATTGTGGGTTTGTCTCTGTTGAGAAAGCTGGTCTTCCGTTGGCGACTGGAGCGCTGTAGACAGCACGTGGTAATGAGTTGCGGGCGTTAACACGAACCTTGCGGCAAAGTTTGACCTTCTCGCAAATCTCGGTTGGTGTTGTTTTCTCGGCAAGTTTGACGATTTCTTCGATTGGGATCATAGCTAATTGTGTGCAGATGGACTGGAAAGCAGCTGGGAGCTTCTTGCATTCCTTCTCGATAAGCTGTGGGATTTCAGCCTTTTCGTACTCCTTTAAGAGGAGATCCTTTGCGATTTCAGCAGCGAATTTGCAAACTTGGCACTCGCCCTTGAAGGAAACAGCGCTAGCAAATAAGAATGCGAGCATTGAAAATTTACTTGTGGCAGTTTGCCAGATTAGAGTATTCAATTTTTTCCGAAAGATTTTCACCTTATTTATAATGTAGTTGCTGAGTAATTATTTATTTAAAGATTTTTATCGTTTTTGTTTTGAATAGATTCCGATTATTAAAAACGGATAATTAATCGCACAATATTAATGAGATATATTTTGCAAGAAAAATTTTCATAAAAGTGACAAAATGGATAAAATTCTCCATGAGGATCTGGTTATCGTAGGGACTTGAGAAACAAATTTGATACTCGCATTGATATTTTATCGTAAATTTTTAAAATACTTTCGTTTTTTTGTGTTGCAAAGGATTAATTTATTCACAATTGTGTAATTTTCAATTATCTAATATGAAACTACACTTTTTATGATAATTTTATATGAAAATGTCCGCTCATGTCCCACAATTTCCAGAGAATTTCCTGATAAAAAGCAAATTTATATCATATATGAAAATAATTATTTTGTGGATGATATGCATCAATATATTTTGTTTTTGTTATGATTGGAGCTGAAAATCGATTTTTATATTAAACAACGTTACAACGTAGAATCACCAAGCTGATTAGCATCAGAAAATTATTCAAATCATTAAAACAACTGTGTGAAGTCAATTTATCATAATCAAAAAAAAATAATTTTTCAAGCTAAAATTTTTGGTTCCTATAAACAAAATATCAATATTTATATCATTTTATTTTGATATATGATTAAAATATTTAATTTGTGTCTAAATAGCTGATTTTTCTAAAACTCAAGAAAATATGTGGTTAATAATTTATAATCCAATATCAATAATTGGTCAATCAAATTTTTTCATTAAAATTTGAATGCATAATAGAGGAATTGAATTTAAATCTGTAGATTATCAAAAGAACAAATTTAATTGAACATTATAAATCAAGCATAAATATATATTTTTTGGAATTCAATATGTTTTATTGAATTAAAATAAAAAGACTGTAAAATTAACTAATGTTATTATTTGTTAATTTCAATAGTAAAAATCAATAATTTGCATTCAATCATTTCAATTTAAATTATTGTCACTTTTAAGAGGAACACAAAAATAATGGATCAAAACTTATAAATTTATTAATTATATATCATACATGAAATATTTAAAACGTCATAAACTTTTGATAAGTTTACAATAATATAGTGATGAAAGCAGCCGATATTATCTACAACACATTTAAGCTTTTCCTAAATAAGCATATTGATGAAATCGGAACAGTAGGCTCTTCTGTTGCTATCCCAATATTTAAATCAGACCTAATACACGACCTTATTACAGAATTCATTGAAACTCAAAAATTCATGCATCCAATAATTGTTGCGCCTCCAAAGGTTATAATTATTGGAGATTTGCACGGAAACTTGCATGATTTGCTCAGAATACTTATCAAAAATGGACTTCCCCCTGAAACTAATTATCTCTTCCTTGGAGACTATGTTGATAGAGGCGAGTTTTCATTGGAAGTTGTCATTTTAGTATTCGCTTTGAGAATCCTTTTTCCTGAAAACGTTTTCCTTCTAAGAGGAAATCACGAACTTTCCAATATCAACGCAATGTATGGCTTCAAGCAAAATATTGTTGATGTATATGGAAATGATACACTATGGCAAGAGTTTAATGATGCTTTTGGATACTTACCTCTAATTGCCATTATTGCTATGCAATTACTATGTTTACATGGGGGAATATCGCCATTATTGACAAGCTTGGATCCCATTAAAGCTATCAAATTCCCAATGAAAGAAATAACTCCTTTGGTTACTGATATTTTGTGGTCCGACCCATCTGAGTCAGTTGATGATTACGATAAGAACGATAGAGGTTGTGGAGTAATATGGAGTCCAAAGAACTCCGAAGAAACCCTGAAAAGGCTTAAATACAAGTTAATCATCAGAGGCCATCAATGTGTTACAAAAGGAGTTGAAGCTACGCATAATAATAAGGTAATTACGGTATTCTCAAGCTCCAATTACCTTCCTACCGGAAATTTATGTGGATATCTTGTTTTGAAGGATATGACCATTAACAGAGGCTTCCTTGATCCTTTACATACTGTCCAACGACAGAATGCTATATTTGCAAAAATTCATTTGAAAGAAAATGATATTTTTGAAGAAGAAATTATTGAAGAGAATTTCCCACCTCTGCAGATGCCAACTGCTGTTTCACGACGATCATCTACGTCAGCAATACCAAACTTAACGAATGCTCATTCTTACGGTTCAAATCTCTTAATGGTACGAAAGAAATTTGTTATTAGCAGCCCTGCAGTACCTCAATTTACATCTGCTATTGTTCTACAAAGGAGAAATAGTCAGATTTAGTTGTAATAAATGTTTGTTTGTTTCTTGATAACATGTTTGTTGTTTTTTATACCTTTGTGTTGAACCAGGAGTATATCAATATAAATATTTAAGAACTGTTAATATTTTATTTGATTTGTATCAAAAATCGCATTTCAATTGAAAAATGGAGATGAATCAAATTTTACAATGAAAAATGATTGTATTGGAACGCTCATGAAATCCCAAAAAAATTAAAAACTATAAAAAATACATGACAAAAATACAAAAATGATTGATATTTTTGATTTTTGCAAATTTTCGGAGTTGAAAAATGAAAATCAAACTCGCTAATTTAATCATGTTTTAGGAGATATATTGGAGTACATATATTTTATTTAATTTTTGACACTTAAAAAGAATTTATCGATTGTTTCAAATAATTGAAATAACAGATCAATGACGACCACAATCCGGTCTCATGGTATTAATAGATTGATATAGATTTATTGTTTAAATAGAACTTTAAACTTTATTTAGATTAATTACATTGCTATTTTACCATTAAATGCACAGTAATGCAATAAAATATACCAAGCTCATACAAATCATCGAAATATTTTTAAAATTCCCCACTGTATGGACGGAAAAATTTCTAAACAATTTTGAATGCTCTCAAATTTAATTCAGTGTCTGACATACAAAATTCAGGAAATCTAAATTAGAAAATATCATTACCCAATAGATACAGAATAATTTATTCGATACATTCCTAATCGGTACTTACAAAATTTTCAATTACTGATAGTTGTCATTATCGAAACATAGCTTGGTAGCTTATCTTCAATAAATGATCTTTCATCATGAATTTTTTGACAACTTTATTTTTTGAATATAACTGAAAATGTTGACAAGCGATCTACTTTTACCCAGCATACATCCTATAATAAAATAATTATATAAAATTTCATTTTGTGACATTTTCTCATATTCATAAAATGCTTGCGATATTTTTCTCAATCTTCATAATTTACAAAAGATTTAACGTTGATATTCATGAAGAATCATTACAATGTGGCCCTGAAAATCCTTGCGTTTTTTATGTTTACAGCGGAAGAGGAAATCCAGCAACATTTTTATATTTTTTTGATTTAACGGACGATGATGAAGTGTGATATGCATACAAATCTTATAGAAGATCTTCTTCACCAGATACATGGACATTAGCGACTAACGAAGAAAAAACAAAATTATGGAAATCAGCTTCTTCTCTTTCAGTTTATGTCAAACCTCCAGCAAACAGGACAGTAGTTGCCCGTGGTGGGAAAGTTTCGAAAAGAGATTGCCCAAATGGAACAATAATTACATCTCGAACAACTTTTAATTATATTGATTATCAAACCGAGCCATTCGCTTAACCACCAACAAATTTTTGCGTTATATTCATGCAACAAAGAGGTAAAGCTACCATTCAGAACACGCTTCCAATGAAAGACGTGATGAAATACAAATCCTCAGATTGGTACTTCTCTAGAATCCAAACAGGAAAAACAGTAAATATTGTATCAGGCAGAATACCGGTATACTTAGCTTTTTCTCTTTCTAACACAGCCGGAATTCGAGATATTTCTTTAGAGTTAACAGATGCATCAGATACAATTAAGGATGATTTCGAGATAATTGATACAAATATACCATCGTTAGCTACAGAACCTGACGAAGAAGAAGAAGAAGAAGTAGATGATGGAGATAATGATGAAGATCCAATACCTTCTTCGTCAAGCGAATCATCATCTGCAACAGAAGAACCAAGTAGCGAAATATCGGTTGCGACTCCACAACCAAGAATGTTCGATTCGACACCATTTATGACTCCAGATGAAACGTGGGATGGAGGATGGAACGACCCACCGAACGTAATCGTCCGCGGCAATGACGTTCCAGAAATACATGAAACGCATCCACCGATTCAGACAAAATATATAAAAACAAATGTTCCAAAAGTGACAAAAATAATTAATGTTACTGCCGGTACAGGTGTAATTGTTGTTGTAGTCGTTCTGACAGTCATAAATATTGTGAGGACTTTCCATAGAATCAAATCTCATAAAGTCTCTGCGGTTGGTTCAAATTCAGATTTTTCTGATATGGATCTTGATGTTTACTCTAGCCCTGAATATGTTGTAAGTGATGATAACCCATTTGTACTTAAATAAAAATTGTTTGTTATTTTTTTTATGTAAAAATTTGAATTTTTTTTATTGAATTAATCTGATTTACATCATCCACCATGGTTCCATTCATAATTACACTTTGTAAGTCAAAACTTGCTTCTTCCATAGTATTTTTTTATAAAATATTTTAATATTTCAACTAAATATTCAAAAGCAATACAGATTTTTATGATAACAACTTTGTCTGTTATCCAAAATAGGAAAAGTAAATTGTTATTTAAATTCACACACATTCCTTCTTTAGTTTTGAGGTATTATTATTGTCGTCTGGCGGTTTTAGACGACAATGCGAATTTTCAAATAATAGGATTTTTGCCAGATAAAGAGCTACTCCATATATCATGCGTGTTTGCACACTATATACATAGATGGGATTGATGTTCTTCCTTTATTTAGGTACCAAAACATGCTTGTAAAATCTCTTTTTTAGACGACAATGATAATTTTGTCACTTTTCCAGACGACAATAAAACATCCTCTTTAGTTTTGATATGAGATTATTTCCTATCAATAAAGAGTCAGAAAATTTCTCAAAAATGAATAAATTTTAATCAGGAGTGAAATATATAATATAATCTTACATGGATCTTAGTAGGGAGGAATGTTTCTTCTTTTATTTTCTCTTCTATAAAGTTTGAAAGTTGCAGTTGGACTTACGACACTTGTTGGTGCAAAGGTTCTTACTGGTGTTTGATGATTAGTTTTTGCTGGCGTATAATGGTTAGTTTTTACTGGCGTTTGATGATTTGTTATTGCTGGTGTATATTGATTAGTTTTTATGGGTGTTTGATGATTGGTTCGTGCAGGTGTAGCATGAAATGTTTTTCCAGGAGTAATGAATGGTGTTATATATACCGTTTCGAAGGGAGTTGGATTCGGTATCAAACCAGGACATTCATTACTTATCGCTAGAATGACTGGACACCAATCTAGAACACTTGGAACTTCTATGTTTGCAGTTTGTAAAAATGTTATGGAATTTTGTACCGTAGAACTGCAAGCAGTACTAACAGTGTTATCTTTATAAACCCTTCCACTCAATGTTAATACTTTTGATCCTTCAATGATGGCAAAATAGTTGTTTTTTCCTGAGATTGAACATTCATTAAATTTGACTAAAGCAGGATTTCCTGCAGCAACAACTGAGTGACATGTATTTTTTACTATTTGAGATTGTGAAAATTCACTATTTCCTTCTATTTTGAAAATTATATTAGCTATGTTATCCAAAAATATACAATATGAAGTAGAAACTGGTGCAAATGCTGAAATAATTGAATTAAACTCTGATTTTGTAACATTACTTTGCTTTGTTTCAAACTTATGTTGGTTAAATAAACTTAAAAAGTTTATACATTGTTTCGAATCGAAGAAAGAAACATAGTTTGCTTCCGATTTCAGTGTTTGTTTATCCGCTTGTTGATATCTTAAGAAAATTATATTTCCATCGATATTATTAAAGTTTATAGGTTGTGTTTTGATGAGCTAATTGTTAAGATATTGTAGTTCTAAAGAAAAATTTGAGTTTCGAGGAAGTTTCTCGACAGAGGAAACTTTCATATCGAATGTTGCCTCTGTCGAGATGTATGTGACAGGCAAAGTGCAATCACCTATCAATATTGCACTTTGCCTGTCAAAAGTTCTTCGCATCTCTTGAGGTGTGAGGAAGTTTCTCGACAGAGGAAACTTTCATATCGAATGTTGCCTCTGTCGAGATGTATGTGACAGGCAAAGTGCAATCACCTATCAATATTGCACTTTGCCTGTCAAAAGTTCTTCGCATCTCTTGAGGTGTGAGGAAGTTTCTCGACAGAGGAAACTTTCATATCGAATGTTGCCTCTGTCGAGATGTATGTGACAGGCAAAGTGCAATCACCTATCAATATTGCACTTTGCCTGTCAAAAGTTCTTCGCATCTCTTGAGGTGTGAGGAAGTTTCTCGACAGAGGAAACTTTCATATCGAATGTTGCCTCTGTCGAGATGTATGTGACAGGCAAAGTGCAATCACCTATCAATATTGCACTTTGCCTGTCAAAAGTTCTTCGCATCTCTTGAGGTGTGAGGAAGTTTCTCGACAGAGGAAACTTTCATATCGAATGTTGCCTCTGTCGAGATGTATGTGACAGGCAAAGTGCAATCACCTATCAATATTGCACTTTGCCTGTCAAAAGTTCTTCGCATCTCTTGAGGTGTGAGGAAGTTTCTCGACAGAGGAAACTTTCATATCGAATGTTGCCTCTGTCGAGATGTATGTGACAGGCAAAGTGCAATCACCTATCAATATTGCACTTTGCCTGTCAAAAGTTCTTCGCATCTCTTGAGGTGTGAGGAAGTTTCTCGACAGAGGAAACTTTCATATCGAATGTTGCCTCTGTCGAGATGTATGTGACAGGCAAAGTGCAATCACCTATCAATATTGCACTTTGCCTGTCAAAAGTTCTTCGCATCTCTTGAGGTGTGAGGAAGTTTCTCGACAGAGGAAACTTTCATATCGAATGTTGCCTCTGTCGAGATGTATGTGACAGGCAAAGTGCAATCACCTATCAATATTGCACTTTGCCTGTCAAAAGTTCCTCGCATCTCTTGAGGTGTGAGGAAGTTTCTCGACAGAGGAAACTTTCATATCGAATGTTGCCTCTGTCGAGATGTATTACAAATAAAAAAGAATTCCATCCCAATTATACTCTATAATACAACACTATCAATATGATCAAATCACATCCATATTAAAATATGAAAAATCCAAAATCATTCTCTCTCAAAATCATATATCCACACACTCTTGTCGGTCAAAGTTCCGCGTTCAAGTTATGAATGCGGAACTTTCTATCATTCTGGGAGACATGCACAGGCAATTTCTCCCGGAATGATATATGCAGAGCGGTAAGAGTGCATAACACACTCTTGTCGGTCAAAGTTCCGCGTTCAAGTTATGAATGCGGAACTTTCTATCATTCTGGGAGACATGCACAGGCAATTTCTCCCGGAATGATATATGCAGAGCGGTAAGAGTGCATAACACACTCTTGTCGGTCAAAGTTCCGCGTTCAAGTTATGAATGCGGAACTTTCTATCATTCTGGGAGACATGCACAGGCAATTTCTCCCGGAATGATATATGCAGAGCGGTAAGAGTGCATAACACACTCTTGTCGGTCAAAGTTCCGCGTTCAAGTTATGAATGCGGAACTTTCTATCATTCTGGGAGACATGCACAGGCAATTTCTCCCGGAATGATATATGCAGAGCGGTAAGAGTGCATAACACACTCTTGTCGGTCAAAGTTCCGCGTTCAAGTTATGAATGCGGAACTTTCTATCATTCTGGGAGACATGCACAGGCAATTTCTCCCGGAATGATATATGCAGAGCGGTAAGAGTGCATAACACACTCTTGTCGGTCAAAGTTCCGCGTTCAAGTTATGAATGCGGAACTTTCTATCATTCTGGGAGACATGCACAGGCAATTTCTCCCGGAATGATATATGCAGAGCGGTAAGAGTGCATAACACACTCTTGTCGGTCAAAGTTCCGCGTTCAAGTTATGAATGCGGAACTTTCTATCATTCTGGGAGACATGCACAGGCAATTTCTCCCGGAATGATATATGCAGAGCGGTAAGAGTGCATAACACACTCTTGTCGGTCAAAGTTCCGCGTTCAAGTTATGAATGCGGAACTTTCTATCATTCTGGGAGACATGCACAGGCAATTTCTCCCGGAATGATATATGCAGAGCGTAAGAGTGCATAACACACTCTTGTCGGTCAAAGTTCCGCGTTCAAGTTATGAATGCGGAACTTTCTATCATTCTGGGAGACATGCACAGGCAATTTCTCCCGGAATGATATATGCAGAGCGGTAAGAGTGCATAACACACTCTTGTCGGTCAAAGTTCCGCGTTCAAGTTATGAATGCGGAACTTTCTATCATTCTGGGAGACATGCACAGGCAATTTCTCCCGGAATGATATATGCAGAGCGGTAAGAGTGCATAACACACTCTTGTCGGTCAAAGTTCCGCGTTCAAGTTATGAATGCGGAACTTTCTATCATTCTGGGAGACATGCACAGGCAATTTCTCCCGGAATGATATATGCAGAGCGGTAAGAGTGCATAACACACTCTTGTCGGTCAAAGTTCCGCGTTCAAGTTATGAATGCGGAACTTTCTATCATTCTGGGAGACATGCACAGGCAATGTCTCCCAGAATGATATATGCAGAGCGGTAAGAGTGCATAACACACTCTTGTCGGTCAAAGTTCCGCGTTCAAGTTATGAATGCGGAACTTTCTATCATTCTGGGAGACATGCACAGGCAATTTCTCCCGGAATGATATATGCAGAGCGGTAAGAGTGCATAACACACTCTTGTCGGTCATAGTTCTCCAATTTTATTCTTTTCACCACACATTTTCTCATTTCATAAGAAATTATCTATCACCCTTTTTCACTATTATACAAAACATCAAATACACATCCAATTTCAAACTATTTATTCTAATTTATTCATTCATTTTATTTATGCCTAACAATATACCATTCACTTACATTTGTACTATAATTCACTCATACAACCAAATATACTTAACAATATTATTCAATATTAATATTTCTTTTATTTTTTTCTATTTCTTTCTATTTCTTCAATTTTATTAAAAAATTATTCATTATTAATATAGTAATTCATTGGTAAACTTCCTTCTTATCTTCACTTGTGTTATTTGAAATCAAATATCATTTTTCTGAATTTACTGAAATACTAATCAAAACATCTATAATCTTCAAATAATGACCATATACTATCTTCAAGTATAGTTTTCAGTCAAATTTTATAATTCTTTCGAAATCCAACTTAAGAACATTAATATTCATAAAGTAAAGATTGAAATATGCATATATGTGTTAAATCAAAGCTGATTCTGTGAAAAAATTGGAATAATAGCTTTTATCAAATATTATATCTTATTTTCCTCAAATTCTATAAAATCTATCTAAAAAGCTTCTATATGGACCAAATAAGAAAATATCAGTATTTCATCAATATGTCATATTAGCATTGTTATCAGATTTAGGTGAAAAAAGCTTTTTCTATTTTGGCATCATGAATATAAAGTAACATGTATGCATATATGAATGGTAATTTTTTACGGACAGATATCTTCTGTATCACGAGATAATGAAATCCTAAATATGTTATAATGCGCCCAAATTCATATATTATACTATCTCTGTATTGGGTATCATTGTGGTGATATGCGTTTTTGAAGATATTTTCATAGTGTGTCTGCGGTGAAAAATATGCAATTTTTGGGTCATGAAAAAAAATTTCGATTGTCGGATTTTCAGGGTACTACTACAAATGAGTTTTGTATCCATATAATTTTTACCCAAAGATATCAAAAATATGACGAGATATGAGCATTTTATTTTTGGTTATTCACTTCACTTTCCGCCACCCTTAAATGAATAAACCACAAAGCGGTCACTGCAGAAACCAAGAAGATGAAAGCGTTAGGATTTATTAAGTTTATGCGCCCGACTATAAGTTAATATGAGAACTGGACGTTAATACTCTCATTTTGAGAAGTTCGTTAGCGCATCATCTCGATGTAGAATTCTGAAAAGTGCCGTTATTTCCTCGATCTCAAGACAAAGCGGTTTTTAGGGTCAAAAATTTTGCGCGAACTATAAAAATAACGCCTGATCATCAAATATGTCCCATTTTTCTCTTTTTCCTCTCTCTTCTTCTTTTTCTATTTTCTTTTCTTTTCTCTTTCTTCTTTCCTTCTTTTCTTTCTTCTATGCGATTTTCATTTTAAAAATGAAATTCACAACTTAATTAAGGATAAATATAGAGTGATAAGATGAATTTTTAAAATTATTTATGTATTTTTAACTCTAGAATAGAAAATAAGAATATAAATTAAGAAAAAAATTAAAAATTGAAATTTATTAAAAATAAAGTTTTTATTCAGACAATACAAAGTTAAGGATAAGAATAATATAGTATAAGTGAGATCTGAGTTCGCAATGTGGGAATCTAATTTGGTAATGAGTTGGAATGAGGAAGATCTGAGTAGGTTGTGGGAGATGGACTGGGATCTGATTTGGTAATGAGTTGGTTGAGGGATCTGAGTTCTGATGAGTTGGTTGAGGGAGATCTGAGTTGGTTGAGGAAGATCTGAGTTCTGATGAGTTGGTTGAGGGAGATGTGAGTTGGTTGAGGGAGATCTGAGTTCTGATGAGTGAGATCTGAGTTCATATGAGTTGGTTGAGGGAGATCTGAGTTGGTTGAGTGAGATCTGAGTTGGTTGAGGGAGATCTGAGTTCTGATGAGTTGGATGAGGGAGATCTGAGTTGGTTGAGGGATCTGAGTTCTGATGAGTTGGTTGAGGAAGATCTGAGTTCTGATGAGTTGGTTGAGGGAGATGTGAGTTGGTTGAGGGAGATCTGAGTTCTGATGAGTGAGATCTGAGTTCATATGAGTTGGTTGAGGGAGATCTGAGTTGGTTGAGGGAGATCTGAATTGGTTGAGTGAGATCTGAGTTGGTTGAGGGAGATCTGAGTTCTGATGAGTTGGATGAGGGAGATCTGAGTTGGTTGAGGGATCTGAGTTCTGATGAGTTGGTTGAGGGAGATTTGAGTTGGTTGAGAGAGATCTGAGTTGGTTGAAGGAGATCTGAATTGGTTGAGGGAGATCTGAGTTCTGATGAGTGAGATCTGAGTTCTGATGAGTTGGTTGAAGGAGATGTGAGTTAATTGAGGGAGATCTGAGTTCATATGAGTTGGTTGAGGGAGATTTGAGTTGGTTGAGAGAGATCTGAGTTGGTTGAGGAAGATCTGAGTTCATATGAGTTGGTTGAAGGAGATCTGAATTGGTTGAGGGAGATCTGAGTTCTGATGAGTTGGATGAGGGAGATTTGAGTTGGATGAGGGAGATTTGAGTTGGTTGAAGGAGATCTGAATTGGTTGAGGGAGATTTGAGTTCGTTGAGAGAGATTTGAGTTGGTTGAAGGAGATCTGAGTTCTGATGAGTTGGTTGAGGGAGATCTGAGTTCTGATGAGTTGGTTGAGGGAGATCTGAGTTCTGATGAGTTGGATGAGGGAGATCTGAGTTCTGATGAGTTGGTTGAGGGAGATCTGAGTTGGTTGAGGGAGATCTGAATTGGTTGAGTGAGATCTGAGTTCTGATGAGTTGGTTGAGGGAGATTTGAGTTGGTTGAGAGAGATCTGAGTTGGTTGAAGGAGATCTGAATTGGTTGAGGGAGATCTGAGTTCTGATGAGTTGGATGAGGGAGATCTGAGTTGGTTGAGAGAGATTTGAGTTGGTTGAAGGAGATCTGAATTGGTTGAGGGAGATCTGAGTTCTGATGAGTTGGTTGAGGGAGATCTGAGTTCTGATGAGTTGGTTGAAGGAGATCTGAGTTGGTTGAGGAAGATCTGAGTTGCTTGAAGGAGATCTGAGTTGGTTGAGGGAGAATTAAGTTGTCTGAGCGATCTACGTTGTCTGAATGATATCTGAGTTTGTTGAATGTATGAGTTTGTTTAACGCCAGAGTTCAAATATGTGCCTGAATTCCTACGCGAGTCTGAATTCCTAAGAGAATCTTAATGATGATTGATCGATTAGAGTCCATCAAACAGTGTGAATACTCCAAATTTTTCCATTTTTTCTCTGCCAAAACTGACAAAATACTTTTTCTCGCTATAGGAATGAGTTATATCCATTTTCACAGTGGCATCTGATGCAGAATTCATTGCTGCATATACCATAATGCTTTCATGATATGTTTCCAAAAACCTTATGTTAGATTTCGACGATCGTAGTCAATATTAGTTTCACTCATGTAAACACAGTGGAATTAAATAGAACTAGTATTAAATATTTGTGTGATATAAGTAAATTATGTATATCTCAAATTTTATCTCTGATGCATAACTTATTCTCACTCAAAAATAGTAATTCAATTTTTAAACGAATGTTTTGATTGGACGAGCTTACTGAGCATAGACTCATCTCATCAAAACATTCACTTAAAAATTCTGGCTTTCATCAAGGCCAGTGTTCACAATTCATCACCTCAGAGCCAAGTTTCTCCACGGTCGTCCTCATTAGGCACTATCCAGGAGGAACTTGGCTCTTCATTAAAATCACAAGCTCTGGCTATTGCTGAGGCCAGAGCTTCTCAAACCATCATCGCGGCCGGTTTCCTCAAAGACCGCCCTGATTCGGGGCGGCCGAAGAGGATTCCAGTTCCGGAAGAACCTTTATACGAAGCTCTGGCCTTAGGAATGGCCAGAGCCTGCAAAATTCATCCTCAGGGCCGAGTTTTGCGATGATCGTAGATCATGTCGACGGTCTCGCAAGAACTCGCCCCGAAAGACATACAAATACAGGCTATGGCCTTGGCAAAGACCGGGGATTTGTTTTAAATACTCTGGGCCGGCTTCCCCAAATGCCGCCCTTATCCCGGGCGACAGGAGAGGAATCTGGCCTTGGGAATTTTACAACACGAAGCTCTGTTCTCATATGAGGCCAGAGCCTGCAAATACAATCCTCAGGGCCGATTTTGAGGGAGATCGTCCACATCATTGGCGATTTCCTCTCATCTCGGCCCTGAAAGACTCCAAATTACAGGCTCTGCCCTCAGCAGAGACCAGAGCCTGGCTCATAGTACTAAGGGCTGGATTTCTCAAATGCCGCCCTTATTCCGGGCGGCAGGAGCGGAATCCAGCCCTTAGACAATTACAAAACGAAGCTCGGACCTTAGGAGAGGTCAGAACCTCATAATTTAAACCTGGGGTCGAAATGCAAAGATGATGCCGGAAGGAGCGCCCAGACCGGTCAGAAGCGCTCCTTCCGGCACCAGAAAGACTAGAAGGGGGTCCTGACCTTGAGAATGGACCCCCTTCTATTCTCTTAAATTCACATCTTAACTTTCTGATTCTTTATTGATTTCTAATATTCATACAATACCCAACTTCTACCAACACATCCTAACCATTTGGACATATAAAACACATATATTATCGATTCTCACTCTTTGATGCAAATCACATTCTTAATTCATACATCTAATTTATTCAAACCAATATCTCAACCATAATCACAAAGGCAAACCTTGTTAACACCTTAAATATTGAACCTGTTTTGCCTAATCTCAAAATTTGATAGGTTATATAAATAGTCAACATCCGCGAAAAACGAATAGATGCTCATCCACACAAGGTTAAGACAAATGCCGCTGTGATTATGGCTCCAGATATATCCAGTGGCGAAATAGCGATTTTGGCAGAAAAAAATGGAAAATTTTTGAACGATAAGAAATAAATGGAACAGACCCATCAAACAGTTCCCAAGAATAATTAATGGTGAGTATATTGAGGAGATCTGGGGAATCTGAGATGTGATAAAAGAGTGAGTAAGTCGAGGAGGCCTGAGAGATGAGCAAATGATGAGAGTTTGTCGAGGAGGCCTAAGGGGTAAGTATGAGCGAGAATGTCGAGGATATTTGAGGGAACCGAGAAGTGGAATGGGAGTGAGTAAGTTGAGGAATCCAATCAACATGGAACTTCAGGTATACTGGATATATCAGTTCCCTGTAGCCCCATCCGTTGATCCTTATTTAAATATTTTTTAACTCTGTACATAGTTTTTTAAATAAATAATAAAAATCAATACCCGCCAATTTTTTTAGTTCTTAAGGGTGAACTTACGCCCCTATGACATGGCCTTCAATTCAGGCGTTTAAGGTTAATTTTCAAGGGTGCTTCATGCCAGTTGTCAGAATTTTGAATTAAAGTCAGATGGGCGTAAGTGCGGCCTTAAGGGTCCACTGTAAAAATTGAAAGTCTCTCAAAATTGAGAGGCGATTTGCAAATAATCGTTATTGTCTTTTTTCGAAAATCCACTTTTCCAAGTGTTCTGATTAATATTTTGTGAATGCAATAATGAAGTATCGGTTTTTGTAAGATGGTAATATATTCTATCACTTCAAATAGGATAAAAATTGCAAAAACGGCGAGTTTTCTAAGAACATGATTTTTTCGATTTTTTTCGCTTTTGGATGCGTATTTTGAAAAATAAATATTTTCGAATTTTGATTTTATCTTAAGTATAAGTTTTATAGTAGAAATTTTTTTGACCTATTTCCAATCATTAATTCCGATGTTTTTTAGGAATTTATTTGAGAAGAAATCAGGAATTTCGCTTTTATGCTATTACAAACTAATATTATGATGCATGCAGTTTATATTCATTGAGGCCAATGCCGGGATATCTTGCATTAAAAAAATTCAAAGAATTGACAATTAGATAGCACAAATTTAATTCTCTAGACAAAGTATTATTGCTTATATATTCAAAACATTATCCTTAGTTTTGATATGTTGGCCAAAAATTTTCTTGTTATTTTTTGTGTTTAAGCATAAATTAAAAAAAAAAAAAGGTAGTGGGGCTTCCAGGCACTTCGTGCCCTCTAGCCCCGAAGATGTTTAGTATAAATGAAGTTTTTATTCGGAAAATTGTTAGTCTTCTGGTGTGAATTCGGAGGACTCTTCTTCTTCCTCCATTGCTTCTGGGAAGAAGCCTTCTTCTGGGTCGAAAACATTATATAATGTTTCACTTTTCACAAATTATATATGTTTTCATGGTTTTTTTGTCACTTTTCTGTCACTTTTCAGGAAAAAACATTTTTATTATTATATATAAATGAATTTTACAAAACCACCGTTACCGTTCTTTGGAAATAAGAGTAAATGTAAAGATATTATATTGAGAGAACTTAAGAAACTACCGAATGGTCTAACATTTGTAGATTTGTTCGGTGGAAGTTTCTATATATCCCATTTATGTCATACAATATTCCCAGACTCAAAGATTATATGCAATGACTTCGACAACTATATGGACCGTCTCAAACATATTCCAGACACAAACAATAATTGAAAGAGTTAAAAGAAAAGATACCTATAGGTAAGATGGAACGTATACCATTAGATAAGAAAAATATTGTGAGAGAGGTTTTGAAAAAAGCAGAATATATAGACTGGGATAGTATATCTGCTAGACTATTATATAGTGGTTCTATAAGAGTTCATGACATTGAAACACTTATGTCAAAAGTTTTATATCTTAACTATACAAATGTTTTCAAAGAGGACATAGAAAAATATATTGAGGGTATAGAGTTTGTGAGATGTTATTGGACAGAGTTGTATGAAAAATATAAAGACAAGGAAAATGTTTTCTTTATAGTGGAACCCGCCGTTCTATAACACATGGGATTTTCAATACCAAGTAGACTGGACTTTGAGAGACTCTTTAGAAACTTTAGACGTTATACATAACCATCCATGCTTTTACTTTACATCCGATAAAAAGTGGTTTGGAAAGTGTCATGAAATGGTTAGAGGACATACATGACTATGAGTTTAGATATGACAAGATAGAATATGAGAGAGGTCCTATAAACCGGAGAAAGTGTCATAACAAGAAATTTTATTAGTAAGTAAATGTGGTTTGAAATAGGACTACTTGTTTTAGGTTTTTTCCATTGTGTCATTTATTTATTTGACGTGGCAGAAAAGTACAGAGAATATGAAGATGAACCAATGCCTGCAAATGTTCAGTATATGTACTCGTAAGAGATATTTTTATCTAATATTAAATGGACGCACAGAACTATAGCGAATGCACAGCAACCTGGACAACCAAACCCAGAGAATATTCCAAATGAAGTTAGAATACAAACTGCAATGGCAAACTATGGTCAAGTGCCAACAGATGTACAAATGCAAAACTGCCATGTCAAATGACGCTGCGTTAGTTTGCCACCATGGTATGCAAATATGAGATGGAAAGAGTTTTATACAAACCCTGAAGTGGGATAATAACAACTTTATGCAGATGACGCGAACACAGGAGTTGACCCAGAATATGTTTTCTACCAGAGGAGAAACAGAATGTATGAGCTCCAGTTAAAGAATGCTATGGAACTCAACAGGAAACGTAAGAGACTAGGCGGACATTAGATTTTTACATATAGTAAAATGGGTTTCTTCAGTAAGATAGGAAACTTCTTTCGAAATGTTGGAAGAGGTATATGGAATGGAATAAAAACCGTAGGAAGAGGAATTTGGAACGGAGTCAAAAATATTGGTAAAAGGGTAAGGTCAGTTTGTTGGTATTATCCTAAAGACCCTGAACCAGAAGACAAGCTCCTGTTATACAACAGCCTGAACCTGCACCACAGTCTAGTTGGCAACCAAAAT